TAAATATTACTTAGTTACTAGTAGTATAGTAGGCGTATACGTAGTTAGATAAAAATCTAAAATAGAGTCTTCTAGTAGTAACGCGCTAGACTTACGTATACGTAGTATTTAATTTATAAAGCGTATTACGCGTTAAGTTAATAGAGTAGATAGTATTTAGCTTCTAGAGTAGAATTATAGTTATACTTATAGCTATTAAATCTTTACTAAAGTAGTAGCTTTTTTCTACTATAAATTCTAATACTCTCTATATATAGTATCTTCTTTAGTAAGTACGTTAGTAGTAATCTAGTAATATATATAGATTTATTATTTAAGTATCTAGTGTATAAGTAATTAGCTAACTAATTTATTAATAATTTTATCTAGCTTTTCTAGAAAAAGCTCTTAGAGCTTCTTTTTAGAGGTAGAGAGTATATAAGAGCTATCTACTACTAATAACCTAGATATTACTAAGCTCTAGCGTAGCTATACTAGCTTCTATTTAAAGTTATTATTCTAATTCTTATTAGTTATTATATTATATTATATTGTTAAATAAGCGCTTTGCAATAATAATATTATTTTAAGTAACTAGCTAGCAGGTTCTCTACCTAGAATTTAAGAATTATAGAGGTAAAAGAGTACTATAAAACTAGAGTCTTACTTCTAGAGTTACTTTATAAGAGTTTACCTATAGTATTTAAGTAGTCTAACTTAGGTATAGCTTTTTATTTAAGAAGTAAGAGTATATACTACTAGTAGAGTAGCTAATTATTAACTCTACTAGTAGAGTAGAGAATTATTAATTTTTAAAATAAGAGAGAGTTTTTATACGTAGAAGTTCTATAAAAGTTCTTCTATATATAGAGCTCTTATAGCTCTCTTTAGCTTATTACTAGTAGTATTTTTTCTACTACTAACTAGATCTACTAGTAGTCTTATATAGCGCTTAGAGTAAGTAACTAGACTCTTATAGCTCTAATTCTTAGTATAGCTATTAGTAAACGCTTCTTATAAGGCTACTTAGTTTAGTCTAATATTATACTATTATCTTTAGCTAAAGAGGTATTAACCTTTAGATAATATAAAAGCTAAGTCTATAGTCTCTACTACTATAAGCGCCTCTAGAATACCTAGCTAGGTAAGTTAGCTATAGGTAGTACTATCTCTATAAGCTATAAGAATAAAAGATACTAGTAGAGTAGATTAGATTAAATTTAGCTATCTAAAGGTAAGAAGTAGAAGAATACTCTAAGAGGCTCTATATATAGAGGTACTAAGCGCTAAGGCGCTTAGGCTAGGTTATATAATAAGGTTACGTAACTTAAGGTTATATAACCTAAGGTAAATCTCTAAACTAGACTATTATAGTTACTAAGAAATTATAGATAGTTTAATAATATAGACGGTTTAATAATATAAATAGTTCGATAATATAGATAGTTTAATAATATAGATAGTTTAATAATATAGATAGTTTAATAATATAGGTAGTTTAATAATATAAATAGTTTAATAATATAGATAGTTCGATAATATAGATAGTTTAATAATATAAATAGTTTAATAATATAGGCAGTTTAATAATATAGACGGTTTAATAATAAAGTACGTTAACGTACTTTACTAGTAAACGCTCTATACTACTAAACGCTCTAAAAATACTAAGCTCTTACTAAATACTACTATCTTAATTATAAAGCTCTCTATAAACGCCTAATTAACTTTAGATAAATTCTAGATATAGCTTACGCTTTAGACTATTTAGTAAAACTTAGAGCTAAGCTTACAACGCGCTATAGCTCTCTATAACGTACTATAGAAGAAAGTCTGCTATTAATATAATAGAGTAACTTAAAAACGCGAAAAGATATCTAATTTAACAAAGCTTACTATAAATAAAGAGTAGATAATAATTAACTATATACTTAACCTAGACGCGTAAGAATTTACCCTCTAGCTTGCTACTATTTAAGATATAGCTAATTAGCTACTTACTAAGTAGAAGAGAAAGGTTATAGGTAAGAACTAGCTAAACCGCTTTATTACGCGCTATCTAGAGCTTAAAATATAGCTTAATTATAGGTATAACTATTAGAGAGTAAAGTAAGAAGATTCTATAATTATTTAGACGTAGTTTAACCTAGTAGGTAATATAAAGGTAAAGTATAGTATTACTAATAAAGATACGTATAATTTTAACGAATCTAGCTTTATAATAGAAATAATATTACCTTAGATAGTAGTTACTAGCTCTAAGAGATAATTGTAACTAAAGAGCCTTTAACTAGATAATTACGAGTAGATTTTAGTAATTATAATAGTAAGAGTAGTAGGTAATATATAGGTTCTACTATTTCTTATTATTATAAGTAAGAACTACCTCTTAGCGTAGTATAAAGGTAGCTAGCTATTATATAACTAGGTTATAGCTATCTCTAAAAGTAGCTAGATAATAAATAAAGTTAGTATTATATAGTTAAAGCACTTTAACACGTATACTAAGAGTTGCGTTATAGGTGTATATTATCTACTAATTTTAGATAGCTATAAAAGCTATAGCTCTATTAAATTCTAATAGTACTATAAGAAGAATAAAATTATAGCTTTCTATATACTAGTATATTTATTATACCTTCTATAGCTACTTAACGTTAGCTACTTCTTACTATTAAAGATAGTATATAGCTACTAAGTTAAGATTCTAATACGTAGCTATATTAACTACGTTATAAAAACTAAGTTTCTACCTACGTTTTACGTAGCTTTTTACGCGTTAATTATAGATAACAATATTAGAGTAGAATTTAGAGGCGCTAGCTTAGTTCTATTTAACCTAGATTTAGTAGTATTAAAGCTTAAAGTTTAATTACGTATGCTAATACTCTCTACTAATAATGCTACTACCTAGAAGTGTAAAACACCTAGTAATTCTACTAAATTAAAGTTGTAATTAACTCTAATTTAGAGAAAGATTACGTAGCACTTTAATTTGTTACTAACTTATATTGTTAAGTTACTTAATTAGCTTAAGAAAGGCAATAAGCTAATAGCGCATCGGCTGGTGCTTGTAGAGTCTAAAGTCGCCTAGCTTTAAGCGGCCAACGCACAGAAAAAGGAGCGTAATTCGCGCAAAAGAAAGTGGATTTAGGAAGGGGATACCCTTACGATTAAAGCTGGCTTGCAGCTGGTCGCTCAAAGGGAGGCTGCGGATCAGAATAAGGGTAAGAAGCGGCGCGAAGGGGTAGTGGCACGCGACGGCCAGCCAGCTCAGCGACGCTGTGGACGCTGCGGTAAGCCAGGGCACAACGCGCGAACGTGCCAGGTAGTTAAAGACGATACAGATAAGTCGGATAGCTTATCCAGATTTATCTCAAGCAGCTCGGAGTTGGAGCAATCTGAATAAGATGGTGGCATTTGGTGGGGGCTTGGCATTTTTGGGACGTTCGGTGGTGTGGGGCGTTCGCTGGTAAAGTACGTTATATATAAATTTTTATATAAAAATATTAAGGTTTTGCTTAGTTATTTAAGAAAAACTCGTAGATTCTTGTTAATTTTCCTTGCCAAGAAATCGTAGAACGTTTAGTAGTGGATACGGGTTTACATATATTTTAGTCCCATGAAGCGGAGGGCGCCGGCAGAGGAGAAGAGTAGGCAACATCAATTCTCGAGTCTATCCTACCTAGCCTTAATAGCTGTAAATAACTACGTATACTAGCATACTATGTAAAGCATTGACATGAATACCTCGGCATACGTATCCCCTCGTCCAGCTCCCACTTTCCATCCCTGGTGACCGTATCGGCTCCTGAATCCATCGCACTATAAGCTCTAAAGGCCCTCCATGTCACTGGAGAGCCGAATCTCCCCATAAATCCAAATCTGCTCATCTGCTGCGCACCCTCCTCACGTACGCCTCCCGACGCCCAAAACCAAGGTCACGCATGTCTATGGTAAGCCCCATCAACCAATGCTCTCTAGGACTATCTAGCTCATATCCGTCATGCACAGAGACAATCAGCCATGACAGAGGCAAGGTGAAAGGAGATCTATCCGCGATGTCCCTAGTCTCAGATTGAGAGAGGGGGGAAGATGTGAATCAGGGATCCAGAAATACGAACGCTTCAGGTTAACGCACTAGAGTGAGTGGGAACTAGAGCGGAACCTTGTCCGCTCTGATAACAGTGGCTTTAGAAGAAGTAAAAGGTTGTACAGAGGCCGTTCCGGCTAGGCGACATGCTCGAAACACGACTCCTTCCAGGTAGAATTCAGGTATAGCGGAATCCCAATGCTCATTCCCATCTTCTATAACAGGCAAAGTCGGATTGTCAGAACCTTAACATCACATTCAGGCAGAGCACGCAGCGGATTATTCTATCAGTCTTGATTCAAATCATTTACTGGTTACAGACAGGCCGTGGCAACCCGTGCCAGGCGTCAAAACGGGTCAAAAGACCCCGCCAAAGTCTAAACATACAATACAGAGAGAAAGAAAATACAAGAAGACAAGAGCGGAAAGTATCCAGTCGAAATGCTAATGCCTCGCCTACAACCCACCCCTTCACCTGGCTATATTGAAATCCAAAGGGGAGGCCCGCGAAGGCCTACAACCCTACGGAAATCTCAAGCCGCGATGAAGGGGCGGGGAGGCGGATGGCGGAGCAAGCCCAAAGAAATCTCCACAACAAGACTTCTCAAGAAAATACCGTCGACCGTCATTACCCACCATTAAAAATTCGGACGAATACAATGTCCTCACACAAAAACCACCCAATCCTTCTGACTATTCGCCAACAGACCGTCCAAGGAAATCGGGTATCATGGGTAGCAGCCCAAAAAGGTCGTGCGAGACAAGCCGCCGTGGCGCCGGAAACAAGCAAACTTTTGGAGCGCCGAAGTGCTCATGCAATCGTGAGTCATTAAACAAGGGAGACACCAAGACACTGATGCTCGTGAGACCATGGGTATGCCGGATGCAATGAGGTGCAAAGAGGCCGTCCGTCTATCAACGCCAGGACCAAAATAGAGACAGGGTAGTGTACAAAAGGGAAAGTCCGTGAGAGAAAACAGTCGTGGCGTCGTACATCGATGCGTTAGGGGTAGGGCCGAGAGTTTAGTCGCTTGTGGTCTCGTCATCTGAGAAGGTAAGGACAGGCTCATCCCACTCCATGGCACCGACCTCAGCCGGGAGTCGGGCAAGAATATCCGCTTCGACATCGGCAGAAAGTCCAAGAGAGACGGCATCGGGCATATCGTCGAAGGCCGGCTCGGTAAGGTCAAAGCTCGCGATGGGGGAAGCTGTAAGCATGGTCGCGTCACCAGCATCGGACTTGAGGCTCGGGGAAGGCACATGGATCTCGCGGAGACGACTCGGCTTAGCGGGAGTGTGCTTCAAGGCCTTAGCACGAGCGCGCTGAACCTCATCCATAGGCTGGGAGGTGGAGGCGAAGAAAGGAGCCTGAGTCAGAGGGATCGATTGGCTAGCGCCAAATGGGGTCGGCAGGGAAGCATGAGCCGGCACAGGTGCAGGCGGCGGCTGCTGGGTCCATAAAGAGGCGGGTGGCCCATTGGTGTCTTCTTCCTCATCAGAGTCAGAATCATCCGGTACAGAGAATGAGCCAAAGACGGTAGTCTTGGCAGGGACACCATTGCTTGGAGGTGTCTGCTGAGGCTCAACGGTATCTTGTCCATGAAGCTCGCCGAAGACATTGCCGCCTTCCCGGTGGATGACTGGACCACCGAACATGGGGGATGCAACGTAAGAAGGGCGAGGTTGGACATCCAGCAGCGAGGATGACTTGCCATGCGTATTCACGACCTTGGGAGGGGATGAGTCGCCAGCAGTTGAGGCGAAGCTCTCGTTGAGAGATGGGACTTCGTCGGTGGTGACTTCATGAGCAGCCTTTTGTTTCTTAGCCGGACGCTCACTCTCTTCCTCAATCAGCATATCATATAGGACCGCCCAGGCAGGAGCCGGGTCCTCATCATCGAGCATGTTGATATCATCGTCGAAACCGTAACCTGACTTCCATGGCTTGGTGCCGGGGAGAATCTTCAGGTCGTTGACCGTCACTGCTCCAACCTCCAAACGCTTGCGCTTCTCACCAAGGATGGCAGAGTCCAGAGGGAGCTTGGCGAGGACATTCTCCGCCCAGGTCTTGGCATTATCACGCTCAGCGGTGTCGTTGACGCTCTCGACAATAGCGTTGATCATGGATTGGCGGTGGTCCGTTGATCCTCGCTTCCTCTTGGACTTGTTGGCAGACTTGTTGGGGGACTCGCCAACTGGAGTCGGGGTCGGAGTCAGGGTCATAGTAAGCGCGTCTGGGACTGGGGAGGACGGCGCGGATGCCTGTGTTGGAGTGGCCGAACGCGAGGCGAAAGGAGCCCTGAGGGTGGAGAAGATACGGCCAATGATACCCTCTTTGCTTGGAGTCGGCTGAGATGGGGTAGTTGGGGCGTTCACCGCAGGCTCTTCCGTATCTGCCGGTTCGTCTTGAGCTTCCTCTGGTGCCGTCTCTGATTGGGGCTCAAGCTCGGGCTCAGGCTCGGGGTCCGGCATTGGCTCGTCAGCTCGGGCGCCCCAGGTCCACTCAAGCTGAGGAGCTGGGCGGGCACTCGCTTCGACGAAGCGAAGCAGAGCCTTGGCATCCTCAGTACCTTTCGGCGATGGGTGGTGAGAGGGCTCGGTGACTGCTGGGGAGTTGGCGGGGTGGGAATCTGGATAAAAACTCTTAGTCTCATCCTGACCGGACGAACCAAACATAATGGTGTTGAGCAACGTCATGGTACCCTCAACCCAGTTGACCTGACCCTGGAGCTCAATTATCTTTGCATCCCTGGGGTCCTCCTCTTCCTCGGTCTGTGTGCCGCTCTGGGTCAGAGCAGGGCGCTCAACTTGGGCAAGGGTCTTGACTGGGGTAGGGGTTGCAACCCGGGCAAGGCTCTGAGAAGGGATAGGGGATGCAACTCGGGCAAGGCTCTGAGAAGTGATAGGGCTCGCAACTCGGGCAAGGCTCTGAGAAGGGACAGAGGTCTCAACCAGGGCAGAGGCTGAACGCTCAGCGGCGTCGGCGAGTTCGTTCCTCAACCTCAATTCCAAATAGGAGAGCTCAGACGGCTTACGATTCTGAAGTTTGTGGTACTGGAAGTAGATGCCCGCACCCGGGTCATCATCGTCGCTGTCGGTGGTGTGCTCGGCCTCTGCCTCTGCCTGGGGCTCGGCCTCGGGAGAGCGTGCCTTGGTCGACTTTTTCGGGCGCTTCTGCGGGGTGGAAAGCTGGCGCAGTGGCGAGTTGCCGGTTTTGGCGGAGCGGAGCCGGCGCTTTGTCGCGACCGTCTCGGTAGGGGCCGTTGCTGCTGCTGCCTTGCGTCGGGTAGCGCGCTGCGTGTGCAGAGGCTGGGCGGGCGCGTGGGCGGCAGCGGGCGCAGAGGCACCGCCGCGGCGGGTGTTGACCGCCATCGGAGTTGCTGCGAGAACAGTCAGTCTCAGTGTGCCAATGGCCTCGGGCGGTGACTTACAGGTTGGAAGAGTCGACTTGCGGTCGGACGTGGGGTGCGGTTGCAGGTGTGTTGTGGCGTGGCTGCACTTGCGAGTGTGGAGTGTGGTGTAGAGGATGAGGTTGAAGTCGCGCTGGAGCCCGCTCAAATGGCCGGCTGCGGCTTGGCGCGGTTGCGCGGAACAACCACGCCGGCTCCGCCTTGGCACGGCAACCGCCGTTCCCATGACAGCGACCACGCTCGAGCCGCTTCGGCCTCCGCAGCCAGGCTTGCACTCACGCATCATGGAGGGCCTTTTCTACAATGTCAAATACGGGTACGCTGGTGCGCTGGTGCGCTGCTACCCGCAGTCCCAAGCTAACGCGTCTGCAGCTACATCGAGGGCATCGTGCGCGGCTATCGCAATGCCCTCCTCACCAGCCAGAACTACAACAACCTGACGCAGTGCGAGACCATCGATGGTGCGTCTGCGATGCGCTCCCCCATAGTAGGCTGCTGACTCCGCCCTGTAGATGTCAAGCTGCAGCTCTCCCCCGCTTACGGCGATTTCCTCGCGGCGCTCCCGCCTAACCCATCGACATCTGCGCTGGCCGGCAAGACGACGGAGAAGCTCGTGGCCGAGTTCCGCTATCTCCAGGCGAATGCGACGGGCTCGCTCTCCAAGTTCATGGAGTACCTAACCTACGGATACATGATCGACAACGTTGCGCTGCTGATAACGGGCACCCTCCACGAGCGAGATACCCGCGAGCTGCTCGAGAGATGCCACCCACTTGGCTGGTTCGAGACGATGCCCGTGCTCTGCGTGGCGACCAACATCGAGGAGCTGTACAATTCTGTCTTGATCGAGACGCCGCTTGCGCCCTACTTCAAAGGATCCCTCAGCCACCAGGATCTGGACGAGCTGAACATCGAGATCATCAGAAACACCCTCTACAAGAACTACCTCGAAGACTTCTACAACTGGGTCAACTCAACACCAGAGGTAGCTGGCACGCCCACGGCGGAAGTCATGTCTGAGGTTTTGGAGTTCGAGGCAGACCGCAGGAGCATCAACATCACGCTCAACTCGTTCGGCACGGAGCTGTCCAAGGCAGATCGGAAGAAGCTTTACCCCAACTTCGGCCGGCTCCATCCAGAGGGTACGTTGATGCTGTCAAGGGCAGACGACGTCGAGGGTGTCCGCATCGCCGTCGAGAGCGTCGCCGACTACAAGACCTTCTTCGACCAAACCGGTCTCAGCGGTGGTGGTGGCGGCGGCCTTGGTAACATGGCGGGCGGCGTAGGAGGAGAGACTCGCAGTCTGGAAGACTTGTTCTACCAGAAAGAGATGGAGATTTCGAAGTTGGCATTTACCAGGCAATTCACGCATGCCGTTGTTTATGCCTGGGTCAAGCTACGAGAACAGGTGTGTTTGTGTCGAGTCTTCGCATCGAGTCGCTTCTGACTGCTTATAGGAAATCCGCAACATCACCTGGATAGCCGAGTGTATCGCGCAGAACCAGAAAGAGCGGATCGGCAACTACATTTCTGTATTTTGAGGTGACACTATGTAATGTTCTATGTACTTTCTATGCATGGGCTCTCTCCGGCTGGCGTAGATGGTGGTCTGTATATCAGAATTTTGGTCTTCTACCTGTCCATTTCTCATCCATTGGTCTCCATCTCTTGAAAGTCTTCGCATTCTGTCTCCCTCGAAAGCCTGGATGAACGACCTGAAGGACTTGCCTCCAGAACGTACATCCAAACATGCCCCTCTAACAGACCACAACTCAATCCTATCTACTCCGCTTTGGTATGGAATAATCGCTCGTGGGTCCCGAAAGCAGAATTGCGTCACTCTTTCCCTTGTTTACTCTCACTTGCACTTGTTTACTCTCACTTGCACTTGTTTACCTCGCATCTAGCTGTTTGTTTTCATTCTGGCTGTTTACTCTCGCGTCAAGCTGTTTACCCTCTTCCAGCTGTTTCTTCTCATTTCCAGTCGTTTGCCCTCGCTCCAAGCTGTTTACTTCCATTTTGAGTTTTTTACTATCACTGCCAGCCTTCGGCCTCACCATCTGACAGATTGACCGGCTAGCAAGGACGCTGGAAGCTCATGCTCGACTATCCAATGTACTAGACTGCACAGTCAGACTTTGCATGCTCCATCTCGGCTACCAGCCACGAGCTCCTTCCTGCTAGATACCTCCCGCAAGCACGCAGGCGTTCGCTTCCGCATGGCTAAAGCAAAAGACGAAGGAGTGGGTGAGTTACTACTGTTTATCGCAAGCTTCCTCGAGGGAAACGGACTACTGACGGTTGCGAGACGTCATCGATGTTCTTATGTATGAGTATCGTGAAGCTCTTGTCCGCAAGGGCTATCGACGGCGGGAGATCGACGACCTGTGTGCAAGGGCGAATGGTCTTCTCGACGAAGAGCGTGAGTCACCGCGAGGTAAGTTGGCCCCATACGCGTATACAAGGCGCCAGCTTCGGTGGAACATGACCCAGCCTGGGACTACAGCAGGGTAAAGGAGAAACAGGTTGATCCTCTCGTCCTGTACTCGTTTAGCTAGGCTGCCCACAGGAGCTGGCGTCCAAAATGCGGCAATCTCGCGCAACAACCTAACATGCACTCTAGGCGTTGATATCGTCGACATGATTATGGACGACGCCGTCGCTCGCGTGTCTCATAGGCGTCTAGCGGCTGCGCGTTCTACATACTATCGCTCCTATGTGGGACCGGCCTCAAGAGTCTATATGAGGAAGGTACGTGGGTTTTTACACGTTCTTCAGCATGCTGCAATCCTGACCATCAGTTGAAGACCTTTGTGGGTGGTTTTGCATGATTACCCCTTGCCCTCCTTAGTGATTGCGCTAATGTGTATTTTCTCCACCCTTTTAGAATATGTCAGCCGCTAGGGATGTTCCGCACTTCCTTGTAGGCCAAGCGGTTGAGCTGCGCCGAGCGAAGGCGAATCTGGTCCGGCTGTACTCCTTGGAGCAGAACGCAATGGCTGCGGCCTGGAGGCGCCCCGCTCAAGATTTGTACGGAATCTCAAAGCGTCGTGCCAGCGCTGAGCGACGATATGTGGGCGCTCTCATTCGGTATCTTCGCGATTCAAATCAAATGGGCAGGGCACGCGCCACTGATGTGCAGCGCTACTTCACGCGCCAGAGTATGACGGGCATGGGGCCAGTCAACAAGGGATATCTGCTTGGTATGTTTGCCGGATGCCTACCTATCGCGGCGTTCGTGAATCAGACGTAACGGATAAAGACGGTGGATTGTGAGAAGTGGGACAACATCATCACTCTCGTGGACACAGTGTTGTCTTCAAGCCTCTCCCGGGGCCCTTTCCGCTATTTCGATGCACATAGTTCATCCTGTGGTATGGATGGAACATTCGTGTTAGGTACGATGCGAATACCTCTGTTCGCAGCTAGGAGCCATGAATGCAAAGATCTTCGATTTTCACCACATTTCTTGTCATTTTTGGATCCCGAGTTAAGATCGGTGTCCGCCGCCCCGAGACGAGTATCTCAATACCAATGATGTTTGTAGTTTGTGATATCGAACCGCGGGACGTTAACTTTTTGAATCTCGTGTGCTCTCTCCTGAGTAAGGTCTAGAATGTGTCTAGAATATATAGAAAAGCATGTTTAAGTACAACCCTAAGGATACTATGCGTCCCTCCATTTCCCCTTGGCCTCCCTCACGCCCCACTCCTTCTCGAGCACAGTAGCCACCACTCGCTCAAGAACCGCCAAATCCTCCGCATTCCCACTAAATACATGCCAAAACTGCTCCAAGTAATCCCTCCTAAACTCCTCCATCCAGTCCCCAAAAAGCTCATCCTGCTCCTCCCGCGTAATCTTCCCTTCGCGCCGCTCGCGCCATATGTCGCCAAGCTCCGCGAGCATGTCGGAGAAGTTGGCCGCTGTGGCGCTGAGCTGGGGGCTCTCGGGCATGGAAGCGCCCGCTGCTGTGCCGAGGAGGCGGAGGAGGGTGCGGAGGGGTCCGCGGGGATAAGTCGAGGGTTCTGGGAGATGGGGTGGTGTGTAGGCGAGGTGCGGACCCCAATTTTGTGAAGGAAGGGGCTTGACAGAAGGGCTGGTGGGAGGACTCGAGATGGAGGTAGCTAGGGATGGGTGGGGAGCTAAGATTGGCGACGCATCTCGAGGTGTGGTCCGTGAACTGGTCTGACGCTGATGCGGAGGGCGACTTAATGACGGATGGGCAGATGAGGTTTGAGACGCGTTCTGGGATGTCCTCTGCGAAGCAGTTTGACGCCGATGCGGGTGTTGATTGAGGGACGTATTTTGATGCAGACCCAAGAATATATTTTCGGTTGTGCTCATAGAGCTTCTGGCGCCCCTGCTTCCGGGTCGATGTTGATCAATATTAGTTTCCGAAACACTGTCTGAGCCCCCAAAGTCCTCGGGAAACTTCATGATGTTCTTCACCATCGCTAATGCGTCGGATTTCTTGACGAAGGAAAGGAGGATCATTTGGGCGACTTTGACACATGCCCCAAGCAGGGCTCCGGGGAGTCGACTTCTTTGCCTTAGTACAGTAGGCTGGACGGGCCGGGATGTGTCGGGGTCCGTAGATGCGGTTTCAGGTGGACCGTCATCGGGTGGACTAATTTCAAGTAGACTATCGTCGTACATTTCGAACTAAGAGCGGAATTAGCGTTACCCTGACCTGAGAAGACCGCATTACTTACCTGTTCAAGGGGTGAACCTGAGTGAGAGTGCCTTCTCTTGGTAGCAGTATCCTTAGTCCTTAGGAAACCCATGGCTGCCACGTCTGGAGGCGATACACCGAGACGCATTGTTTGTAAGTATGGCGTAGGCATAAGGTTATCGATGGACCGGCGCCGACTCGGAGTCTGCTTCCAGAACACCGCCTCGAACCCTCCCTTTAAAGGGTATCTGTCCGATTCAGCGGTGGCTGCGGTGGCTGCGGTATCGTTCTGCTCCAGCTTGTCGCCATCGACAGCCTTCCGCTCTTCCCGGGATTTGACGAAAGCGTTCTGATATCTGTTGAGAATAATTTCCATGGGAGCTCGAAATACTAACCAACAACATATCGGTTAAGATAGGCTGCGACTTTTGCAGTATTATAGTGTAAGTAATCTGGATGAAGTTGGCGATGCCAATGATTAGAGGAATGAGCTGCCCAGTGCTTGTGACTGAATAGACGTTGGATACTCGATTCCAGTAGAGTGTACACTCCGTTGCTGCTATGCCCCATAGCAGGCAGGCCAGATTCAGAGTTACAAATACGTTGGCCCAGACAATACGCCTACATTCAGATTAGAGGCATAGAAAAGTATTGTTTGCATGTACTTACGTTTGGAAAGACTTCAGTCGTAGGACCCGGGTCTCAATCCATTTGACATCAAACCGCAGGAGGGGGGGCTCTTTGGGCGGAACGGGCTTTTTGAAAATAAGAAGCGACCAGAACTGTGCTGTACCCCAGCAGAATAGAATGACGCTATTGAGTACCGGAAAGTCAAGCATATTCGTAGGCACCGAGAACTCAGGCGAGACGCTCCTACCGTTTATAGTGAGCCAAAACCGCAGCGGTGCCGTCTGACTCCAGCGGCGAAAGAGCATAGTGGACAGGGGACTGCTGTTATTGCCCCAAATCATGTCAATGAGGGCAAGGATAATGGCTGGGACTAAAGCGTTGAGGAGCGATTTCACGGCGTACAAGGCCCAGGTGAAGCAGTGCCGAACCACAAACCACCCGTACACCAGGAGCAGAACAACGGATTGAACCTGGTACTAAAGGTGGTGGTACAATTAGCAAGCTGTTTTGCGTGGGAGGCACAATTACCAGTTATTAGACAAATTCAAAGAATTGCCTATTAGCAAGAGGCCAACTAAGATACTATGCAAGGCAAGTGTCTTGAACTATAAGGGGAGCGCTTACTACCCACAAGTTAGCATAAGTTCTCGCTATCTACACCGGGGCCTTAGTACCGAAGTAATGAACGGGACCGAGAGTGTCTACTTTGCCTAACACGAAGGTGACGGTCGAGCAGGATTCGACGGACAGGCTGTTGTTCCCCACGAACCAGAACCACACTCCGTACCCGCAAATCGCAGCCGAGAGGCCCAGACGAAACGATTTCTCTGCTAGGGAGAAGGCTGCGCCTAACGACTTGACCCTTGCGCGGATTCGGAAGCCCCATACGGTAAGGACTGTAAAGAGGAACCCAAAACAGAGGTGTTGAAGCGCAAGTGATTCAGCCTTGCGTAAGTCTCGCGTGGCTGTGGCCTGAGCAGCAGCGATGGCTACGGCGAGAAGAAAGATAGTGTTCGTGATGAGAAGGTTTCGTATCGCTTCCGGTACGTATCGGTTCGCTAGGAGGGAAGAGATCCATTGTAGGTAGATACCAACTCGAATGCCTAACCCGTAGAAGTCTGCATTGCCATCGATTCCACAGATAGGATGCGGTAGCCGAGTCGCGTGAGCGGCCCGCCGGGCGGAGGTATACTCAAGGGGCGCGCTACTGGCAAGGGAGACGAATGCGTATAGAAGGTGCATACTCTTGGCTGGGGCATGATCTTCTAAAAGTTCGGGCTTGGGAGTGGGAGGAAGGGTAGTTTATGCTCATTTGAAAAGTCGTTCAGCTCAGGCAGCCAGTGATCTGCTCCTGTAACGGCACCTGATTGGCTGTTTATCGGGAACAGCCCTCCTCTCCCTCTTCAAACTTTAGAGGTCAAGTCTGGATGAACTCACCTCAATTTTTGCGCTACTTCTATCTAAACCAGGGTTAGCATTGTTTAGGGAGGCGGATGTCATCGGATGGCACCCCGTGAGGCATAAAGAAAGTACCTCAAAGTTTTTATACTCAACCCCTGTCTCTTGCGGTAGGGAATTCTCCAGATCTAAGGGCTCGCCGTATAAGTAAGTAAGATTAACTTGTCTATTGTACGCACCCGCGAAGGCCTCTAGGGTAGCTGTTGCACACGTCGTTCTATCCGGAGAATTCCACACCGTAAGAGCCCTGTCCCTAGGAGGTAAGGGTCATTAACGAGCTCATCCTAGACCAAACAAATCTGTTCAATATACTGAATCACTTCTAATGCCACGTCTTACTGCTCGCTGTCCATGAAGAAGAGGGAAGGGGGGGTGCCGAGAATGGCTGGGAGGCTGACGCTTGGACACGTTAGGCACTCGATCGGTCCAAGTGAGGGGTTGCCGCAGTGGATATGGAGAAGAGATTGGATATTCTGCTCGTAGAGACGGACGTGACGGAGAAAAGGATGCGCCGACATGTCCTCCATCGAGGTGCTCAGACATCTAGGCATGAAGTTTGGTCGGGATGGCGCTAGTCTGCGAAAAGCTTAGGGTGGGGCGAATCTTCCAGATCAGAACCTTGGAAGTCACGAGTATAGCTGCCTTCCCATAAATCTTTGTTCCCTCTACCAAGACTTCATGCTTCACAATCCTGCAGCTCGCAAGCAGCGTCGGAGTCTCCCTACTGCATAGCCGCCGATTACTCGAAGAACCGCTCTCTCCTGGGCCGAAGACACACCTGGGCAGTTGCCGCGAAGCGCACAACTCTAGCTGAAGACCAGCCCAAAGAGCTTGGAATCACCCCCGCCGGAGTTCACCGGACTTTTCACCAAAAGAGCTTGGATCTTTGGCTCGAGGCTTGGAAAATGGGTTCCGTCGTTCTTCCGCATCTGAGGACCGGATGGCATGTCGACCAGGCGATCTTGAGCGAGGAGGACCGGCTCGTCGTCATTCGGTTCGGACGCGATCACGACTCAGATTGCATGCGCCAGGATGAGGTAAGAAACGCCTCTGAATTTGCATCCTTTGGGAGCATAGGCTAACGTCGACAGGTTCTTTACAAGATCGCGGATAAGGTCAAGAATTTCGCGGTAATCTACCTCTGCGATCTCGACGAAGTACCCGACTTCAAGGCCATGTACGAGCTCTACGATGCGTGCACGGTCATGTTCTTCTTCAGGAACAAACGTAAGAATTTCCCCTCCCCGCCAGTTCCGAGTCAAGAATGTAGGCTAATGGCCTGCCAGATATGATGTGCGATTTCGGCACCGGTAACAACAACAAGCTAAACTGGGTCCTTGAGGATAAGCAGGAGCTCATTGACATCATCGAGACCATCTATCGGGGTGCGAAGAAGGGACGCGGCTTGGTGGTCAGCCCGAAGGACTATTCGACGAGGTATCGATATTGAGCGGCCTGTCCATGCGTGCCAATGTCTGCTGGTATCTGCATGTCTACTGCTTATATGTTCGGTCATGGATGAGTTCGAAGACGGCGTCGAGACGGTCGAAAATATGAGGCTGGAAGGATGGCTAATCGGATGCGAAGGTACGATTGCACCACAGATTCTTAGACTGCTTGCTTATGGGCTTTGTTAGACTTCGGAGCGCCTCAGAAGGGTATTATAATGATCAATATTCAGCGTTGCTATCTCCAATCTTTACGACTCCACCCCTTCCTTCTCTTTCTCCCTCTTCTTCACCGCCATCCCCTCATACAAGCACGCTCTCGCCCCTCTCCAAACCTCCTCTAATATATCCCTCCTTGGCAGCAGCCTTGGAAACACAACCACAACTTCTTCTTCGCTCTTGACCACGATCGCCAGATAAAATCGTACTTCAAATCCCCTGAACGCCTCATGTATGAAGATGTCCTGGATACTCGTCGTGGGTATGAAGCGTGTGGTCGGGGTTCGAAGATACAGCGAGGACGCCGTGGATGTTTGGAGACCGAGACCGCGCAGCACGGTGAGAGATTCTTCTGCGGAGAGTTAGTTAGGGGGCGTGAATCTCACTGCGGGACGGAGGAAGGGGTGCTTACCGGTGTAGCCTCGATGGAATACTAGATAGAGAACGAGGAGAGCTCCGGGAGCTAAATATCTCCATTGCGACATGTCTGCAACTTTAACAAGTTGCTCCTTGCCCGCATTTCCGAACATCCATAGCAGTAGCCCCGTTGACTTCGTCGTGCTCACGCGCCATTTCGTCCACAGCACCACTAATGTCCCAATTCCAATCAATATGCGCACCGGGATTCCTATATAGAAGCCCAGAATCGCCGGGAGCGTCTTCGGGACTGGGCGCGTTGAAACGGTGTACGAAACTGTGGAGGGGGTGGGTTGAAGCGTGCGGAGGGTTTGCTTTGGCGGCGAAGCTAGGCGTTGGAGGATGGTGATTATGGTCGCCATGACGGCATTATGGACTTGTGTTAAAGCTATGCCAGGGAGCTGCGAGCCAGCTGGATGACGCGCTTCAGCCCTACGGGCGGGAAGTAGCGAGGGGTCCGAGCTCCTAGCTTTCCGTGGCTGCCACCTTCAGCGAGCCGCCGCAGCTGTTCTCTTCTGTCGCAATATCAAACATCATTCACAATCACTCCCTCGTACTCTTTACTGGTTTCAGTTCAAGCTTCATACCTTCGTCGAAGCTTTCACGACAAGCGGCGCTCGAACAAAGAACGCTTGGGCGACTCTTCCTACCTCCTCGCAGAATGCCATCTCCGTCACCCGACGCAGCCCGAGCACCAGCTCGTTCCCGCTCCAGGTCACGCTCGAGAAGCCCCGCCCACAAAGAGAAAGACTCGCGCGCTCGATCACGCTCCCGCTCTCCACGACGAAGCCCACCGCCTCGCAAACCGAAGAACTACTCCGGCTTGAAATGGAAGAAGAACGACCGGGGTGCGGATGAGCCCCGAGAGAGGGACAGGGACAGGGACAGGGACGACCGCCGCGGATATGAGGCTTTCAGAGGGCGCGATGAGCGGGATCGTGGGTACAGGCCGAGAGACGATGGGGATCGTGGGTACGGACGAGACAGACGAGACGACGACCGGCCTCGAGATAGAGATCGCGACAGAGACAGGCGCGACAGGCACAGGGACTCAGATCGACGCCGCGACGGCCGCGACGACCGCGACCGCCGTCCACGCGAAGACAAAGACCGCCCCAGCAACCCCAAAGAAAAGAAGCCGGCCGCGCCAGCAGCGCCCCTCCCAACCGCAGGCGGCGAACCCATGATCATCGTCACCGTCAACGACCGCCTCGGTACCAAAGCGCAGATCCCGTGCTTAGCATCGGACCCCGTGAAAGTCTTCAAAGCCATGGTGGCGGCGAAGATAGGCAGGCCGGTGCATGAGATTATGTTGAAGAGACAGGGAGAGCGGCCGTTCCATGATCAGTTGAGCTTGGCGGACTATGGGATTAGCCATGGGGTGCAGATTGATCTGGAGCTGAATACTGGGGATTAGCCGGGTCAGGGATGGGAGGAAACAGGGGGAGATGGACGGGTCAAGAGACGGCCGGTATGTCGATGCGGATACGGATGCAGATATAGAGTAGGAAAGCTAACGAAGAAGTCCGGTCCTATCTGTGGGCTACGTCGGCAGCCTGAGACCTGGGCGACGGAGAGGAACATTCTATTCCTCTTTTCTGGCTTCGAAACCTCGAAGGGCGCAAATAGGGCATGTACTCTGACTCTAAAGCGCTCAGACTGCTCAACTCGATCAATGACATGATCGAAATAGACTCTGATACCCTTCTGTGGAAGCAAAAGATTAACCTTCTGCTTTCGGAGAATGTTCGGTATATGTACTCAGAGCGGCGCACCAGCGTCTGCGACACCTTCAGACTAAGTCTTGTCTGATACCTAACTTCATATATAACTGCCCACGTCTATAACTGCCCACGTCTGGGCACCAGAAGACCCAACTTATACAAGAGTCGAGTGCTTGTGTATCATACGCGAACCAAAACCCCGGTCCTATGTATCACTCGTCCGCTTCATCCTCCTTCGGCTTCATCTTATTTGGATCCTGCCCTTTCTTCCTGGCGTATCTCTCATTTACCACTTCAACAGGATCTTGTCTCTCCCGCTGAAGTACAGGGATATAGCTCCCCTTCGCTCTGCCTAGATCGCCGCCATCAAACACCCTGGGTCCGCCCTTCGCAATACCCGGCTTCGCTTCATAGGAAGTAATTTGCTCAGCGTCGAGTGTTGACTTCCCTTGGGAAGAAACAGCGTCCAGCAATAAAGCTGAGAGCGTCTCATCAATCTTGTTCCCACGCCACACCTCCCATACATCATCGATGACGCCGCCTCGTCCCCACTTGCCCCTTCCCATCGTACTTGGCCCGCCTCCTTTGCCTTTCACCAGGCTCTTTGGCTCGATGCCTCCTTCGTCGCCTACGTATATCCACTCCAACCTATCTTCATAGCCATGCTCCCGCTGCTCGGAAGATTGAATCTCCGACTCATGTGGGAATATACAGTCCCAAAGTACCAGTGGTGCATCGGACGCCATTTCGTATTTTGGGCGTGTAGGGTTGGTGGAGATATCGAGGAGTTGCGGAATCAGGGAAGGGGCTTCGAGGCCTTGCCCGATGAGGAAGAGGATGGCGACTATGGAGCGGACTTGATGCCAGAGGAAGGCGGAGCCGTGGAGCACAAACGCGTACATCTTCGGCTGTTCGGTTGAAGATGAGGGTTGGATAGTGGAGTGCGAGAGGAACGACGGAACAGATAGGGGGCTGATCTCTTCAATGTCCGCGTGGAAGATTCGCCGCTTGAAATTCGTGAGTTGCTTCGAAGCGTCTATTTTACAGAAGTTGCGGAAGTCGTGTAGTCCGACGAGCAGGTTGCAGGCTTCTCGCATCTTTTTGATGTCAAGCCAGCCTTCGCGCATGGTGGACTGGTCGGTGTTGGTGGTGTAGAGGCCCAAGGAACCGGGGACGGGAGCGAAGCAGGGGTTTGTGAAGAAGTATTTGTAGCGTCGTTCTTTGCAGGAGAAGCGGGCGGAGAAGTTGGGCGGCGGATTGGGACACCAAGCGTAGATGCGGATGGTGGGTGGTAGGACACGGTTGAGGAGTTGGATGTACGGAAGCTCGTATCTGAGGTCATCGAAGGGCTTCGATGGCGCTTCCATGTCGCTTTCTGCAGCTAGTAATGGTTCCACTGCTTCCGGCGCTGCTGCCTGTCCTGCATCTTCAACCGAAGAGGTAGTTGGAGTTTTCGGTTTTGGTAGAGGTCTATTGCTTCGAACGCGGACCCCTATGACCTGCCCAAATGCACTCACTCCTCTGTCCGTCCTGCCGCATTTCGAGTATTCACAACCGTCCCAATTCACATCTGCACCGTCTCTATCCCATGCTTCGAATGTCTTCCTGTCTATCCTATCATATCTTTCTTGGTCTCCTTCACTGGGTGTAGGACTGACGAGCCTTGTTTTGACCAGCGCCTTCCACAGCTCTTCCTCGATTGTCGGCAATGGTGTAGTATTGTTCCTGTGATGCTCGAATCCATTGTACTTCTGGCCCAGGTATGCGAATTTGAGCGCTATGAGCCTCGTGCTATACTTGGACGCATCGAACGCCTTCGGTAGCTGCTTGGGAGGCTTGCGGTAGGGAATCTGCGTTTGGTCGTCAACGGGGGAAGGGATTGGAAAGGAGGTAAAGGTCGCGGGATTCGGCTCCGAGATATTCGTCGTTGATGTCTGCTCTTGTGGGGGCAACTTCGCTTCTAGCTTGTGGATCCGGGCGATCAATTGCTGTTGCGTCCATTCCTCGTAACCCCCAGCCATGGCGCTTCGAGCAACGAGACGATTGATTTGGATGCGGCGCGGAACTCGGGAAAGCTTGTGGAAGCTACGGCGGGTACAAAAGACGCGGTGCAGCTGTTGCTCGAACTCTGGAAAGGCGTGGGGCAGCTGGGAAAGCGCTGCATTCATTATTGTGTGGGATGGGAGCGTTCCGATCCTGGAACTTTTCTGGAAGACGTCAGAGTCTCTCGCCCTAGCCTTTCCGGGCTTAGATTCGGGGCCTGATTCCGAGCGTGCTTCCGACCTCCCTATCCCACATGCAGTACCATCCACTGACTGCTCAATTCGCGTTCAATTCCAACACGTCTCCTCATGGACGAGCTGACATCGAGTTGCGCACGTGTTCCGCGCTTGGCGACACCGCTCAGCCGCCACGCCCAGGCAGCTGGCGAGCTTTTAAGGGCAGTGCCATCTCGCACCTCCTTCCCTCCTCTTTTTCATCCACGTTTCCTCGCGACTATCGATGACTGACGCTTATATCTGCCAGATTCAAACAAGTGCCCAATTTTGAGGCGTTACGAAGCATCTACGGCTGTGTTCTCGGCTCATCAGGCCCCAGTAGGCACCTGGATGAGGCCGCTTAGGCGACTAGGCAGACGACAAGCATAAAGCATCTCACTGTTTCTATCTTCGGCTAACACTCAATTGCACTGTGTCACTACTTCCGTTCTGTCCTCTTTCTGTCAGTGACTCGTGGAGGCCCTTGTTATTCTATTCCTCTTGCCCCTCCGACCCCCTTCCTAAGGAAATCCCTCTTTGCTTCGATATGTTCGGTAGCAACGCACACCAGAAGCCGGCGTGGCGTCACCACGTCTGCGGTCTCTACTACACAATTACATCGGCCGAGAAGCTGTATCTGCCACAAGTCGAGCTTCAAGCCCATTCCACCATCCTTGCTACTACCTCCCGGACCACCCTCACCTAAACCTTCGTCAACCCGTCGACGTCGAGAGGCATCGGAGAAGTCAGGTACACATTCCCATTGTACGATGGCGTTAGTGTAGTTGGCTTCACCTGCCACGTGGGAGACCGCATTATCGTTGGCGCGAGGTTAAGGAGAAGGAGACAGCGAGAATCGACTTCAGGGAAGCCATTACCCGGGGCGAGACAGCGGGCCTTTTTGAGCAGCTGGATACTGCCGATGTTTTCACCACCACCGTCGGCAATATACCGCCCGGGGCAAGAGTCGTCATCAAGATTATCTACCTCGGCGACCTAAAACATGATATGGAAGTGGATGGTATTCGGTTCACCATCTCCAACGTCATTTGCCCACGCTATGGAAGATATCCTCAAGCGCTCTCCAACAACGCCGCCCAAACTGCTCTTAGAAGTGGCATTTCCATCACCGTCGATGCTGAGATGGCCGAAGGATCGTTCATTCAAAAGATCCCCTCGCCTAGTCATCCAATATCCGTTTCCATGGGCACGACTTCTTCTGCCTCAAATGCGGAGCCCACAATGAGAAAGGCATCCGCAACGCTCAGCCTAGGCAGCGCCCAACTCGACACAGATCTCGTCCTCCAGATCGTTGCTAAGGACACCGGCGTTCCAAAGGCGGTGCTTGAAACACACCCCACGATCCCAATCAGCGAGCCCTAATGGCGACTCGGGTACCCAAATTTGCCCTGCCTCCAGAGAAGCCTGAGATCGTGTCCATCTGTGACCGCAGCGGGCCCATGTCTGGAAGTAACATTATGCTTGTCAGACAAGCTCTCCACGTCTTCTTGAAGTCCTTACCTGTGGACGTCATGTTCAATATCTGCGCTTTGGGATCTATACTCCTTCCTATGGCCAAGGAGCGTCGCATACAGCCAGGGGACGCTTTATGAGGCTGTCCGGCATGTGGAGTCCTTCGCAGCCAACTATGGTGGAACAGAGATGCTTGCTCCGCTGAAAGCGACGATCGAGCAGCGCTACAAGGATATTCCATTAGAAGTCATGCTGCTGACCGACGGCGCGATTTAGGATCAGCAGACCCTGTTTTCGTATTTGAACGAGCAGGTCAGCCAGCCCAAAGCCCCGATTCGGGTGTACTCCCTTGGAGTGGGTGCCGGTGTATCACACTCACTGATCGAAGGCATTGCGAGAGCAGGAAACGGCTTTGCGCAGTCTGTTGGAGAAGGCGAAAAGATGGACAGCAAGGTTGTGAGGATGCTAAAAGGGGCCCTTTCTCCGCACGCGAGTAACTATGCCCTTGAGGTGAAGTATTCGGACAACATGGCTATGGGGGAGGATGATGATTTCGAGATTATTGAGAAGGTTACCGATAGCTTGTCCGTCAAGCTCAATCTGAACGAGGAAGAGAGGGCTTAGCCTGTTCGTTTCCAATCCGAGACGATGCCAGCTTTCTTTGCTGACTACTATCAGAAGAAGCCGATATCCGTCTTCGACACATCAGCGGACCCGGACAAAGAGGAACCACCCGCATACGACGAAACCGGAGAATCGCGATACGCCCATCTTCCCAAGATTCACGACCCGAAGATCATTCAGGCGCCCCAGAACATCCCGCCCCTGTTTGCCTTCAATCGAACCACCGTGTACCTTCTGCTTGGCCCAGACGCTGCCCGGAAGACACCGAAGTCCGTCATCCTCAGAGGTACGAGTGCCCATGGCATTCTTGAGCTGGAGATACCGATCCAGGTCTTAGAAACCCCTGGCGAGATGATCCACCAGCTCGCGGCAAAGAAAGCCATCACCGAACTTGAGCAAGGCCGGGGATGGCTTCCAGAAACCAAAGATGAAAGTGGAAAGCTCCTGAAAGAGCACTTTGAGAGTCGGTTCCCAGGAATGGTGGAGCGCGAGGCAGTTCGCTTGGGAGTGCGGTTCCAGGTCAGCGGGAAGGGTGCTCGTTCGTCGCAGTGGAGACGAGCAGAAAAAATCAGCAAGAGAAGGAAGATTGGGAGTGGCTGGAGGACGAGGAAGTCGGCCAGATGACTCCAGCTTCAGCGGGAACACTAGGTGAGTTGGACCATCTTTCAGCAGCAATCAGTTCTTTGGATTAGATGGGGAAGAACGGTGAGGAAATCGAGACACAGGGTCGGAGGATTCGTGTTTATAAATCGGCGGACGTTCCTGATACAGCACCTCTGCGAGGACGCTTAGCTCGGATCACTGACACGACTCGATCAGGACCGCTATTTAGTCAGAACATCCTCGCTTCAGCATCACCTGCGCCTCCTGCACCGGGCAGTTCAAAATTCGGCTTCGGCTCCTCCAGCCCCAGTCAGCCTACCTCTCTGTTCGGCTTGGCACCCCCTCCCCAATCAAATCCCAATGATCCCGCAGCAGCCCAGGAATTCATGCGCGCTAACATTGCCAAAGTCTCTGAACGGGGCTATCGTCATGAGGGTATAGCCGCGACGTCAAGCAATCTTCATGAGCAGAGCAAGATGTTTTACAAGCAAGCGAAGAAGTCTAGCTTTGGAGGGCTTTTCGGGGTTTTATTTGGTGGGCATGGTAGTTCCCAAACTGCAGCGGCGGCTCCGGCGGCGAAGCCTTCAGAGGGTTAGTTTGGAGGAGGAGGTCTCGGCAGCAACCAGCCTCAAGCGCAGTCGACAGGAGGGCTCTTTGGCAGTCAGAGCCAAGCTCAAGCTCAGAGGTTCTCCCCCTCTCAGACGTCTCAGCTTGACTACTCCGACCAACACAACCTTTTTGCCGGCAACAGGCCCCCATCCGGAATGCCTGCGCGTGTTCCAGGCCCGCACCAGAGAGACCACGCTCTCGAGGACTACCAAACGAGCATCATGCTCCTAGAGCAGCAGAATAAGAAGCGACTCTTCATAGCGCGCCAGGAGAATGCGGCTGCAGTACCACCTCCACCTTCGGGTGGAGCTCGTCCATCGTTACCGTCGCCGGCAAGAGAACCAGCCCCTAGACAACCGGTAGCCATGGCGAACTTCGGAAGCGCACCAGCCTTCAGTGCTCCTGCTCCTGCGGCCGCTTCACCATTCGGAAACACGTCGACGGCTTCGCTTTCCGGGAGCGCATCTACGAATGTTCGGCCCCAAGCGGTAGGAAGCTCGGAATCCGTTCGCTGCCCCAGGGTCGACGGGCTTCGGGAGTGCTCCTCCGCAACCTCAAGCCTTCACCGGCGCAGCAGAAGGATCTGGCTTCGGATCCTTTACCATTTACACGTAAGCTGAATCTAATCTTGTAACTGTAAGCGTATTTGGGTAGATGAGCTGATGACTGCTCCTCCAGGGGACGCGATACTTCCAAAAGTGTGGAGAATACCTAGAGTCTTGTGCGTTGGACTTTTAATAGCCTTTGAAAGCTAGGGATTCCTCTGCGTTTCTTCATGTGGAAACTTACGGCACAGCTGTCGGATCTTATAGTCAATGTAGCAGACCCCATGGGTGTGTTAGAGCTTCTGACCCACTCGTCTACGGTCTATCCACCTTATCCCTATGGCGGCCTTCGATATAGGATAACTTTCGAAAGCTGCGTCGAGGGTTAGCGCTCCCCACCAATCTTTCATTGCTTTGCGTTTGCTTCGGAGAGGGATACATAGCCGTCCCTGGCGTAGTCCCTGCGTGATAGCCAGGAGAGAAAAGTGCAGCAGAAGTGGCAGTGCTCGCTGGCGCTTTATCCTTAGGGCAGGACAGGGGCTTGTGCGTAGTTTCTGTGTGATAGCGAAGGGAGTAAAGAGCAGAGAAAGCTGCAGTACGCGCTGGAGTTTTATGCTTAGTGCAGAAGAGCCATCCCTCGTTCCACTCATGATAAGAATTAACTTAGTCCTCTATCCCCCTAAATGGCCCCATATTGGGCCTCAGCTTTCCCAGTAATACAGTGAGACGCGAAACCGTGGTGTACATGGCATACGGTAGACAGAAGTGCATATGGCGCAGCTGCGCGCTCGTTGCTCAATTAGGCATGCTCGCTTTGGGTCCTTCATCCTCGGTAAGAGCAACTGTAACGAAGTCCATGATTCCATCCAAAACCTTACAAAAGCGGGGAACGTAGTGCGTGCCAGAATGCTCAAGTCAGGAAGCGTTGTAGCAAATTTCCAGCAATTGATGAGTGCTTCCTCGTGGTATGACGGGATCAAGCATTCCAAATTGGTGTCTTGATTCGTGGCTCATAGAAGCCTCCATAAAGGTTTCTTGCAACAAGAAACCCAGAAAAGCATACAGCGAATTCGAGGGGACCTTGGGCAGCTTCCCATGGTATTGGTCGTTCCTGCTCTTGGTGTGCCTTTCGCCGTTCCGGGTGCGCGTTTGACTCACCTAGTGCGGCAAACACCGCCTCCAAGGCAGCTCCTTGAGAGAAGCCTACAATGGCATCAACAGGTCCGGATGATTGGACCACAGAAGAGAGTGCTGCGAGAGGGATTTTGAGCTTTGCGTGGCCACCATCGAAGTCGAGCCACCGGGCCGATGCCTTGCAGTCTTCTAACGGTTCGGCGTTTATACCAGGAAAGTCGGAAGGGTCTAGACGGATGGGTGTGTTCGGATATAGGAACTCAATATCGCTGCTAGGGCCAAGGCATGCTGATGCATATGCATCCACTAGGCAGGAGCGCAAACTGTGCATATCCTAGAGACACGTTAAGGAGTGGGCAACCCTTACCGTGTAACATCAAAATACGCATGATGCCGTAGCGGCGTACTGTGCGAGACGGGGGAACACCATATATCTTAGGTTCAAGGAATCTATATTCATTAAATCAGCACGCCTTTTCTAGGTACTGTTCGTGGCGGCAATAAGAATAATCAAGAGCAGGTTTCGTTCACATTCTACTATAAAGGGATTATACTCGCTATATGACTAGTTATGTAATGTGGTTTTACGCTTACAGTTTCTAACTGATTATAATTGTAATAAAGACTTGTCTACAATTGCACAGAAGCAATATTATATCGTGCTGCTTAAGTTTTTAATCTGTCTGAAATACATAAATGAATTTAATAATCGTATAGACCTCAGTATCAAATAGTTTAAGTACATAACTAACAAGACATTATATAATTGCGTTAACATTATCGTGTGTTATCTACGCCTTTATGTGCTATGGTGTCCCTGCAGCCAGTGACTAACATGCTCTTCGGCATAGCGTCCGTGGCAGAGAGGTAATGACAACATGAGTCACATTCTCGCAAGGAAAGGGTCCTCAGCATCTCTCAGACCAAAAAAATTAATTTTTTATCAAATACTACTCGTCTCAGTTCATGTCCCAATCACGGTTCACCTTGCAGAAGTTGGCCACGCGCTCCACGAGCTTCATTGTCCGTATGTCCTTGGCGCTCAACCACACGGCGTCCACTTCGACCAAATACCTCGGCCTGCCCTTGTGGTCGATGGCCATGTCGATGATGTCGTGGATGGGCGGCGCGTCCATGTCCCCAGGCAGGGGGACGCAGCCGATGCGCCACTGGCCCGCCTCGGGCTATTCCAGCGGGGGTAGCTGTTGAGGGACAGTTCGAGCAGGTGGCTGTCCTTGACGTTGTCGTGGCCGACCCAGATGGGGCCGTCGAAGGAGACGACGCCGTACAGCTTGCCCCTTGGCGCGATGTTCTCCTCGAAATACAGCTCGCCCAGTCGCACCGAGTGGGCATCGAAGTCTGCCGAGGACGTATCCGTCGTACGTATATCACGTATATCGCGTCTGGTGTTGGCCGCCAAAGACGCATGGTCTCCTGAAGTATCCTACGAAGGCAAGTCCGTCGAACGCATCTCGACTCCGGGCTCAACCGTCGGAGGCATCGTTGTCGAAGGCATAGTCGCTGAACACATGTCGGGTCTGGTCTTGGGAGCCGAAGGAATAGCCGCCGAAGGAGCAGCCACCGTATGCCCGTCGCCTTTGGGGTTTTCCGCCGTGGTGTTGTAGTCGATTGTCGCGTCGGAGTCGTGAGACTCATTCAAGGCGACATTCCGGCTGGCCATGCGCATCGGGACGAACCATGGCAGCGTACATGTCGGCGAGCACCGCATCAGCTGTCGTGGCGGGGTTGCGATGCTTGGGTCTGGCAATCGGCCTCCCCTTTTCGGACGACGCGGGGTTGTAGCAGGTCCTGGCACTGGATGCCGGCGATACCGTGCGGTGGCTGTCGTTGTCGTCTTCTTCATCTTCGTCCTCGACGTGTGCGTTGCGAGTCCTGACAGATAACCCCTCGGCAGTCACGGCCCCTTTGTGCGCCCCTTCCCGTCCACACCGTGTCCCAAAGGCGTCGCGAGCCCTTTTCCTCGAGCCTGACTCCCGCACGGGCTCGGCGATGCTGACTGACTTTGCGGCTGCGGCTGACATGATGAGGTCTTCATGACTTGGCTATCAAAAGGAGATTTGTTCAGGAGAAGGTGGAGGTGCGAGAATAGAGAGTGCTGTGAGAGTCGAGAATAGACCACAAAGGCAGCTTAAGTAGCTTCTGGGGAGTGAACCTAAGCCTCTCCTCGCATGACACTCGCTGAGCAGCTCTTGTCCAGCTGATCATCTCAGGAGACTCTCAGCCATGTTGCATGAAGATATACACAGCCATGCTGCGTCGTCAAGGCGGAGTTCGAAGATGGCGGAAGGGATACGAGGGCGCAATAAGCTTCCTCGACTATAAGGTAGTAGGCACCAGCATTGGTCTAGCATGTCGTCGTGTGTTGATGATGAGAGAGGACATGATTTGGCTGCTTACCGCCATCGCAAATCATAGCAATATCAATACGAGTAACCTATGCATCGCTCAAGGGTGCCCGCATTGCCGCCCTCCAGGATGGGATGGCTCCAAGCGCGCGGCCGGCGAGGATTCTGATGATGAGGGTGAGCGAGGTCACAAGCCACAGGGCAGTATGCTGCTGCCTCGTGGTCGATCGGTAGATGAGCTTAGACGCACGGTGCCAGAGCTCGCTCAGTCTTTCCGGCTGGTATGACGCCGCGTACTCCGCCGAGTACCCGTACTCCGAGGATGAGGCGTTGCGACCGCCTTTGCATTCCACCGCCACCGCCTCTCTGTCTGGTCCTCTTGGGCTGTGGCTCGGGGGGTTCCTCGTCGCGCTGCTTCCTCTTCCTGCTCTTCGCCAAGTTCCTCTGCAGGGACATCTCCGCCTCCATCAGACGCGCCTCCTTGATAACCCACTCCACCCGATGCCGTTGGTACAAGGCATCTCTGCGCGCCCGTGTGTACGCCTCCGTCTCCCGGAGGAAGTTGTCGATCGACTTTTGGCTAGCGTCCCGGTCGGCTCGAGCTGCTGCCAACTCCTTGGCCATGTTGACGCCTTTCCCACCCAGACCGCGCTTTCGAGCCTGCGTAGAATCCGAAGCCGCGGGACCGCTCGCAGCGTTGTTTCCATTCGGCTGTGTTGCCCTGAGCAGCCGCCTCGTGGATCGGTGGTACTTCGGTTCCAGAGATTCCGCAACGGCTGTCAACATTTCCAAGCACCTCAGTTCGAAGCCAAGATACTCGAGCCAATCGGTCCACGCAGTCTGCTTCTGTGGGTCTTTCCTCAGCTGCAGTGATGGGGTGAAGTGGTAGGGTGCGAGGCGAATCTTGACAGTGTCGCTGTAGGCGGCAAATGTTTGACCCTCAGGTGGTGGTGGCTGTCGGGATGCTGGCATATGCTGCCACTGCCGCTGGATGGTCTCGTCGAACGAAGGAGCGGACACCATCGCTTTTGCGCCCGAGCCCTCGTATCTGCGCCTGCTTGCCTCGAGGAAGGCAGAGAGGCCCGCCTCGCTGTCGCCCAGGCCTCGGCTGTCCCATTGCGACTTGCGAAAGTCCCACCACCGCATGAACTGCCTCGAAAAGACCGTCTTCAGCTCTCCAGCCCCGGTCTCAGAGTCTGGAGAGTCGCTGAGCCATGACAGAATCGTCTCATACCTTTCCATGGGCGCAGCGAGTATGTGACACAGCTCTTCGATTGAGCACACCGGACGGCCGCCATCTCTGGCGAGCTCCTGGCGGCTTGATACATCGAGGTCTTGGACGGCGATAGGTGGCGGAGTGCCCGCGATCGAGTCGGGCCGTGATTGTGAGGGTTCGAGGTCCGGAGAGCCGTCGTCTTGCGTGCTGGCCACATTCTGCAGGCGCGTGTGAAGGTCATCGATCCCGAGCGGTAGCAGCAAAGCTGCTTTGCTAACCAAGAAATGCTTTGTTAGCTTTAGGACAGGCCAACGCACTGACGACCATCGCGAATCGAGCCCTCTCACCTGAGTCTCTGCGTCAAGTCATCTCGCTGGCTCTTTGAAAGCGATTCCACACCGGCAAGACTCGAAATATCGAATTCCCCACCACGGTCCTGTCTCTTTAGATAGCGAACGAGCTGTTCTTCGTCGTACGCCAGGAGGTCCGCGCAAGTCACAGCAGAATCCCGGGCTTCCGATCCAGCCACCGACATTTGAGGAGGGATTGCGCGTACGGAGTACGGCCAGCGTTGTGGGTAAGTGAGTCGGGAGGTGGGCAGCGCGGGGAAAAATGTGAGGGGGGAGCGCGTCTATGTATCATTTGCTTTGGCTGACGCGCTTTTTCCTGTGCCCCCCTGCAACTGCATCATCGGCTGTGGCGCCGTAAGCCAAGCCTTCAAGCCCCACAGCCTCACGGAAGTCACAACATCACATCTAGCCGCAAAAGGATTAATTACTGTGGCCGCCGTCCTTTGGGAGGGCTAGCTGCTCAGACATCACATCAACCCTCTTTCTCCTCAACACTATATGTTAGCGACGAAAAGCCACCTGTTTCAGGCCCCTGTACGGGTCACCTGACCCCCCCCTCAACAGGTGTATATATAGGGCCTTCTGCCGCCCCTACTTCTCAATACAGAGCTCCTTTTCTCCCTGAAACTATATAACACCTCGACGTATCGGTCTTGACACGCTGCTGTACACCTGTTCCTGACCTTCAACTACCCTATACTCAAGAGCTACCACTGTTCGGCTTCTTCTTATGTACAGGCCCATGCCCACCACGCAATCGCTCTGGCCCTCCAGACAAGTCCCTGCTCATCGACCCATCCCTCCTGCTCCGTTTGGGATCCGGTGGTCCTTGGCTGATGGCACGTTGTTGACCTGCTGAAGGCGGATACGCTGGCCAGCTTCTCTTGCGCATTGAACGACAACTTCCCCTGGAGGCCGAGACGGCATCACGCTCCCCATCTCCCCCGACTTGGTCGCCACCAAGGAGGTGGTCAGCGACTAAGAATGCGTCATCCTCCTCTTCCTGCGTGTCCTCCTCTTCCTGCGTGTCCTCCTCTTCCTGCGTGTCCTCCTCTTCCTGCGTGTCCTCCTCTTCCTGCGTGTTCTCCTCTTCCTGCGTGTCCTCCTCGGCCTGGGCGGCCTCAACAGTGCCGCGTTCTGTAGCCTGGCTGCCGTCGCTGCTCGCGAAGCTTGCTCCCTCAGGGCCTCCAGGGCCCCACAGCAAGCCATCCACCGTGCTTCCCTGCGGCACGACCTCAGTGGTTTCTAGAACCTGGCTCTGCCGAGTTTCAGCGCCTGGGGCTTCTGGCCACTCCCATTCTTCTTCTTCAGCATCAGTCACGCTGCCGCTGTCGCTATTCTCGTCGAGACCCTCAGATCCCGCAACGGACTGGGCGCCGATAATGGAGAAGGCCCTTGGCGTAGCTGTGCCTTCGTCATCTGACTCGTTGGCCATGCTTTGCAAGAGCTTCGCCGCCCCGGTAGTGACATAATCTGCTGACGACCTCTTGTCCGGGTCTTCAACCAGCATGCTGTCGATGATGAGGTAGAGAAGCTCGCTGCCTTGCTTGTAGTAGCTGTCGTTGACATGACTCTGTAACGCGCGTATCTAGGCCACGGATTCTGTTCTCCACTCTTCCTCGTACACCGGGAGCCCACACTCCAGCGAAGCGACGACAGCGCCGAGAGACCAGATGTCAACGGCCACGCTGTACGTATCCTCGGCAGCGCCAACCGGATCAGCGACCTTAGTATAAATCTCTGGGGCTGCCCACAACAGCGTACCGCAGCATGTCTTCAGAATGTCCGCCGCTTTGGAGAGGCCGAAGTCGGCAAACTTGACGTAGATGCCATCCGCTCCCCTCCTATGAACAACGAGGATGTTCTCAGGCTTGATGTCACGGTGCCCGATCGAAGGGTTTCGATTGTGAAGATACTCCAGAGCCGAAGACAATTGGCAGAGCACCTGCGTATTCTCAAAGGTTGACAGGTTGGTGTAGCTGTCGAGCGAGCCGCCACGGATGTACTCGAATTCCAATTTTGGATAGGGAGAGAAGGTCGCATTTCGGAACGCAACGATATGTTCCTGAGATGTCGAGCATTAGCAATTAGCAGCTAGCAAACACAAGGATCCTGGGACGCCAGTGCTAACATGAGAAATACTCCGCATTATATCTGCCTCTTTTCTCCAAGTCGTCTCGCCAAAGGTGCGGCTTTTGATGAGATTTGGCAGCGGCTGCTTCACAACATACTCTTCTCTGGTCGTCAAATTCCATACGTACGTCACGACCCCATAAGCACCCTTGCCAATTTGCTTCTTGTAGAAGATCGGGCGGGAGCGGGGGCCCGTCGATGACGTCTGTTGTCCGCTGGGGAGTCGAGTGCCTTGAGCGCTCTGGATAATGAGAGAGGCGAACAGGTTCTCGGGGTCTCCCGTGCCCGTGCGGAATTTCTTCACCTTGTCGATGTACTCCGGAGAGGTGTAGTCGTGATTAGGCAGAATGACCTTGAACTGAAGCAGGTCTGTGATGTTGAGAATCGATGGTTTGCCGTTGGCAATGCTGGGGCCCACCAGGGGCCAGTCGAAGCTGGACAAGCGCTGCCCCTTCTCCCCATTGTAGGTAACTTTGGTCCCGCCCGTGGAGCCTAAGTCTCTTATTATTGGTAGGTTCTGATCGTCGAAGGTGATGGTGAAGTGATATTTGCTGACACCCGGCATGTCCTGGAGAGAGAAGTCGGCGTCGATGGTGCACCCGCCTACCACACCAACAGAGGTCCTCGCACCATGACTAAACAAGAACACGAGGCAATCAGTATTCTCGAACAGCCCGTACTCGACTGGGAGTTCCGTTCCAGCTCGTTCTTCTCGAGGGATGTCGCGTTGCTTGGGCGAATCGTGGCGGGCTGCGACGAATCGCAACTTGTTCTCTGGCTTGGCGGTCGCAAACGCTGCGCCGTCGAAACCCTCGCCCCTATGCGGCAACAGCCAGAGAATAACATCGCGAGGGTCAATCTCGTTCATCAGATCAAGGCCATGTGCGGAGGTGTCATGAGTGTTTAGTTGAATGGAGATAGAAGTCCAATGTACGCTTAGAAGAGTGAAGAGTGAGCGACAAAAGCCCCGCGCATGGCCAGACGGGCTCATGCAACCCCTAACCACAACCTGACGGATACCGACCTAAGCGCCGTGGCAAATCTTGGTGCCGCCAGCTTGCTACGGTCGACTGTGACGTAGCGTGTGGCTTTTTCCGTCCTCGTTAGCCACCACATGCACCTTGGTAGCGCAGGGCATACCCGGGGCTGTGGTTGTCCTCATTAAGCCCCTTTGGAAAGCGATATTGCCGAGGCCCCTCCTACTTATCTCCTTTCATGCAGCACACCTCTAACTGAAACAAGCCTCCTCGTTGGATCGAAGCGACTGAAGCTGAAGGCCGCTGGTCAACACGGTGCCTCCTGGCGTGGCCTGAGCAGGCGCCACCTTGTCTACCGCAGCGATCACCAGCGTTTCGGCTCCGATATCTACACCTCGATGATTTAAGCATGACAGGTGGGCTAGTAGTGGGCGGCCCGGTCCAATAACCCCTACGACCACTGCGTCTCGATGCATTATAGCACTTTGTGGCACTTAGCATACGAGTCTGCCTAACGGACTAGTATTCCCCAATCGACTAGTCCGTGTTTCGTACCAGTACACACATGTGTACCAGTCCGTGTAATTTACCAGTCCCGTATGGTGTTAAAGCAAGAGCTAATCTAGCTAGAGCGTCTAAGGTAATTTGGCGTGCATCTCCGTTCGTTAACCGCAGGTAACTATTAGCATTATTGACTACATACGTTACCTACACAACCACGTCTATATCGCGTATAAGCATATGCAATCGAATCCCCGTCTTTCCCATTACTAGATCTATCCGACCAGTCTACGCCCTCGAGCCTACGACGTCCGTCAGTCGCCGTCACGTCTTCCACACCCGCTAGCCATTAACAAGCCTTCCCTCCGTCATTCTCTCCTCTTCCTTAATTGTTGATGAAACCGCTGTATCCAGCATACGATCCGTCGAGCCCGTCGCCATATTTAGACGACGTTGGGGACGCTGGCGGTAACCCTGACACCTAGGAACCGACGGCGAGGGCACCAAACGCCCCCCTTGACACAGCAGCACAAGTTAAACAGGATAATAAAAACGCTGCAGAGCGTTCGGTAGGCTTTGAAAGACTTTATACTGGTCTAGGCGGGCTTTAAAGCGGGCAGACAAGACATCTAGTTGCGACATAAGAACTATAGCAGCTCAACGGACGGCATAGTAATTCCGGAAGTTTGCAAGAGTTTGCGGAGGCAAGAGTTTGGAAGACAGTGGGCACGCTGCCCCTAATTGGCCCAGGAGTTTCCGGAAGTTTGCCAGAGTTTGCAAGAGGTCGTGGGGGGTTGTAAGGGAGCGCGGAGGGTTACAGGAAGAAAAACGCGCCGGACGCGGTTGGGTCGCGCCTGCGCTAACGCAAGATCACGTGCTGTAGCGACTTTTGCACAGACTCCTGTTATCCTTGGTCAGCGTTTCAAATACGTCACCTACTAATGTTAGTAGCTTCTCTATAGATGAGTAAGCGGCTACGCTACTAAAAAATACATGTATTTCTATATAATTCTAGGTAATTATAATTCTACGCTTGGTCCAAATGTCCGCATTTACAATCAATCTTTTCAGAGCCACGGTACGCGTGCAGTAGGGCGTGATTAGGACGCGTTAGAGAGTGAACCGAGCCTTGGGTGCGTGAGGATACTTCAAGGTTAACTCAAGTCTCCATTAAGAGCGGGGAGACTAGGCTCCTAGCTGCTTCTATGAGTGTTCCATTCCACCGGCCGAGCTATATAACCTAGTGTTCGTACCTCTCTAGCCTTTTCCGCTTACTCGGGAGAAGAGAAGGACCTTTCGGTGGCAATAGGATTTCGGGTTGGACTGCGGCTGATGGTCAGGATTTGTACACGGCTTTCAACCATACCCATACCTACACCTACCAATAACAATGTGGCGTTCCCGGCCCGTTCGAGTTCTGACTGCCACAGTAGGCGGCCTGCGTCCAATCCGATCTCGCCTATAAACGTATCCGCCGCGAACCTCTGGCAAAGCCAGTTTCGCCCAGGCCTCAATATCCTACGCGCATCAGCCAACACCACGACCGGAGTGCGATCACTCGTACCTGATAAAGACTCATCTCGCAACCTGAAGAGGCAGATTGAAAGTCGAAAACTTAGTAACGCGATTCAGAGCTTGAACAGAGAGGTGAAGTCAACACATCCTGCAAAGATCAAACTCCTTTCTAAGAGTCCATTGCGCCCGTCACCCCGAAACGGTGAATCGAGCACTGCAACCGCGAGGGCGCCCACTTCCAACCAGGGCTAGTTGAAGACCCCGAGCTGACCAGTGATGATATATATGAGGTCGGGATGATTCTCGCTCATCCCTTCTCTGCACCAAAACCCACTCCGAAAACCGACGACGAAATCCTCGCCGTCCTGATCTCCTTGCAAACCTTCGAGGGGTACTGGGACCCATCCCCTGAACTTTTCGCCGCTATCGGGATTTCCGAAGCTGGGGCTGAGGAACAGTCTAGGGGCAGTGGGGCAGAGCAGAAGGTTTAGGTTGCTGCGCTTGTGGTGGCGTTCTTTGAGAACAGATTGCAGGCTTTGAGGGGGAGCTGCGAAGGCCGAGGAATTAGTCAGGAAGGCTAGGACGTTGGCTTGAGTGTTGGAGGGCTCGTAAAATAAACTGGATTATGAATTGGGCATACTAGATAGAAGGAGATATAGCATGAACAAAAATGGTTAGGCGGGAGTGGGCCGGGAAAGGCTGGGTTCTTTGGAATGGTATCTTAGGGTAGTCAATATAAGCATTCTTTCAGTACGCCAAGCTGTTCTATCCGTCGACAGACCAGGAGCCTGACCAAAGGGAGACTCCTGCGATAAGACACGATTGTGAGGATCGAGCTGAATGCAGGGGCTAGGCCGGGCTACCACGGTTGCGAGCTGCAAGGGGCCTGACGCGGCCATAATCGTATGAGGAGAGGCACTCGAGGCAGTGAAACCTACTTCTCCTCAGCTCTCTGCAGCACCTTTGCCGTCGTCCAGGAACGGCTTTGGGGCGGGCGAAGTGCCAGGGTGCTTATCGCGTACTCGGGAGCAGTTGTACTCGGGAGCAGTCCGTCTTCCGCATTCTCTTCCGGGCTCGGAACGGCAGTCCGCCTCCCACAGGATCCTCCGCTTAGCCATCGGACTCCAGCATTCAGCGCATGCACGTCCTCACCGCCGGCTCCAGCTCTTGACCGCCCTGCTTTGCCCTCTTCCCTCTGCCTCGTCGCCCCCAGCGCTCACGAGCACAAGCAGCCTCGCTTTGCCCGCAAACCCGCGCAAAGTGGGCGCAAACAGGGCTTTAAAACACCCCACCCCACCCCTTTGCACAGTCCACCTCCACAGCGTTCCCGTTCCGGCCGTGACAGACGGACGGCGCGCCCAAAAGCAACTTCGCATGGCGATCCCACAATCCCGCGGCCGTGGTATCATGCAAGCCTCCCACCAACGTGCGGCATCGCTTATTGGCCCGATAGCGGCTGTTCAAGCCTCAATGTACAACGCAGCTACGGCTTCCCCACGCGGGTCTTGCTGCAATCATGGCACCATGGATGACGGCCTTCCGAGAGGTCCAGATAAGCGTTGCAGTAGTAGTGGGTGACGCGCCCCAGACGCAAGCCCTGCGATGCTGTATGTGGGCTGGACTCGGCTTAGGCTGGATCTGTGTATCTCTTCTTCTCGTTGGGTCCTCTCTGCGCTGTTTCTTCTTCTCTCCTCTCTTTCGTCACTCTGTTGTTGACGGCTTCTTTCCACCCCGCAGTCTTCTCCGGACCTCGAATTGATTGCACCTAGGCTATCTCTAGATGCGCTTCTAACATGCGCCTTGCCGTACCGAAACATGTCCCTCCGCACCTTCACGCATCCGGCCTGCACTGAACACCGCACCGATAAGGGAAAGGATTAAGAATTGAGGAAGAACGGCGGGTTCGCCGTGCCCGACCATGAGGTTTGACGTCGAGTCATGGATCTGGTACACGTTCGCCGTCGGAATCATCGTCGCAAGGCTGTATGTGTAACCGCTCGTCTCTTGTCGCACAGACACCGTTCGTGCGAGGCCGATGTCACACGGGATGAACCGCGTGCTAACCATCCCTACCCCAGGATTTCACGCTCGTTGCTCTTCGGTTCTCCCAAGGGACTTCAATATGACGACTACATTATGGGGATTTTTGTTACGACCTGCTATACTGTCTTGATCGTAATGTGCAATATCGAAGCCAAGTCCCAATCGAACCTCCTCCCGCCCGGTTTCGACGTCAACAGCCTCACCACCCAGGAGATTCAAGACCGTGAATACGGAAGTAAAATCGTCGTCGTGGTCGAACAGATGCAAATTGCCGTCATATGGGCCTGCAAAGCCACTCTCCTCATCCTCTATGACCGCCTCACGCACATGGTTCAAAGCAAAGAGAACGCCCTCATCAAGCTGCTCGCCGTTTACGTTGCCCTCGGCTTCGTCGCAATGGAGATCTTGTACTTCGCTGCGTGGTGCCGCCCCTTCAGCCAGTACTGGGCCGTGCCTACCAAGTCCTCGCAATGCAACGCGCTCATCAACCACCGCATCACAAACGCCGTCTTCAACATCTCCTCCGACATCATCATGCTCTGCATCGCGCTACCAATGTTCATTCGCTCTCTGCTCCCGCTGAAACGCAAACTCATCCTCTGCTGTATCTTCTCCCTGGGCATCTTCGTCATCCTCGCCGCCGTGCTCAACAAATACTACAGTTTCACAAGGGCCTACGAACCGACATGGATCTTCTGGTATTGCCGCGAGTCTTCCACTGCTATCCTGGTCGCCAACCTCCCCTTTACTTGGACCCTCCTCCGCAAACTCTTCAACCTGGGTGCTTTCGACGCGAACCACCCTCCGCCACCTACATACCACTCCTCCCGCACAGCCGGCGGCCGCAGAACTGCCCGTGCACACACGCACCATACAAGTGGCGGTGGCGGGGGCAGCGCAGAAAAACATCTTCCCCACAGCGGCAGCAACCACAGCGCAAGCAAAGAATCCCGCTCAATGAGCCTCATTGGCTCCATATGCGCCGCGAAAGAAGGCGGCAAAGGCGACCTCAGCGACAACAGCCAGCACTCTGAAAACGGGCTCCTACCTCAGGCCGTTCAACGCCACGACTTCGCCGCCAACGTCGTCGACATCGACATGCAAGATATCGACCTCGAACGCGGCATATCTCCCACCTCCCATCCACACCCTGACCACGAGCACGAACATCATCACCTCGCCCCTCGACCCATATCACCCGTCCCCTCACACAGAAACACACACAAGCGCCTCAGCGCCGACGGCACGGGCGGTTTCTACACCCCCAACCAGAGCCACCCGACTTCCCCTCGACGCGCCCATCTCGCACCCCGCTCCCGCGAATCTAGCATAGCGAGTGCGAACAGGCGGCCCATGAGTCCCTCGCCATCCGTGGGAAGCCATGGCGCGCCGAGCGTGACGGCGCCTCATGCACAAGCGCATCACGCCGCGGGAGCCGGAGGCGGCAGAAGTGCAAGAGATAGGAAGATGAGGGCAAGGATGAGCAAGTAATTTCCCCCACTCCCCTATTGCGAGCAGCGGAGCGAGTATCTCTTTTGTTCTTTCGAGTGACTAGCGGCGACGGCGTTACGGGTTATGATGATCACGACTAAGATACCTTGGGTGGGGCTGCATTTGGCGTTTGTCTGCAATGGACAATTGGGTCAGAGGGTGGGATATCGATTGTTGGTAATGAGGTACACTTTGTATATAGCTAGTCTAACTTAGACGGCAAGAGGACAGCGTAGGTCTGCCGCCTCTACAAATTCTAAACGCGTCGATTCAAATCATGTCCGTCCCTTTTTCCACGCCAACTGGACATTTGCGCCTCCCTAACGCCGCCCAATGACGCGTTGAGCGTTATGCAGACATGCAAGGTGCGTACTCTCATCCTGCTCCTCAGCAGTCAATGCAAGAAAAAACAAACAGCACAGTCGCATTTGCTTGATAGAAACACGACGACTTTTTCTACACAGCAGCCCCACCAACTTGCTCTCTAGGTATATCTCAGGTTTTCTATGCTCCGGCAGCAGGGGAAATGATCAAGGCATGGCATTATGGGCTGGGAAAGGACCGTTCCTTCCAGTAAGACCGGATGATGTGTATGCAGGGGGATATGGGAATAAAGATGGAAAGACATGTGAGGGTGCCCAACTATCCAAAGAGCAGATTCTGACCCGCAGAGGATTAGCTGTAGTCGAAAAGCACGCTGATGCTCTCTCCGTGGTGCACGCGTCGGATGGCCTGGTTGTTCTGTCAGTCTCGAAGCTCACCGTGAAAGAGGTGGATCAGCCTACCTCAGCGAAGACGTTGCCGACTTCGAGCACCTCGAGCTTGGAACACCGCCGCTTGTGGTCCGTCTGATCGACGGTATTCGTCACGACAACCTTGTCCAGCGCGCTGGCATTGATGCGGTCGATGGCGTCGCCGCTCAGAATGCCGTGCGTGATAAGCGCATACACCTTCGTGGCGCCCTCTTTCTTCAGCAGCTTCGCGGCTCGCGTAATTGTGTTCGAAGTGTCGGCCAAATCATCGATGAGGATCGCGGTGCGGTCGGCGACGTCTCCGACCAGCATCATGGTGGCATTCTGGCGATCGGTGATTTGGGTAGGCCGGCGCTCCTGTGTGCATGATTAGCTACTGCCCGAGGGCAGATTTGTCAAGTCAACGGACCTTGTGGATCAGCGCAAAGGGCATTCCAAGCGCATCGGCAATGGCTGTGGCTCGCTTTGCGCCTCCGGCATCCGGGCTCACAATCACTGCTTGCTGGTAGTCTGGGATCTGGAATTGTATGTATTTGCGGAGGAGATGGCGGCCGTAGAGGTTGTCGACGGGAATGTCGAAGAAGCCCTGGTATTGCGGATCGTGGAGGTCCATGGTAATGACGTGGTCCGCGCCTGCACAGGTGAGGAGATCTGCGATGAGTGTGCCGGCCTGCGCGACCCATTGCTTGTAGCCCGGCTGGGGCTCGAACTGCGGCGGCTTTGTCGTGGGCTTTGTTATCCCGTTGACGCCGTTGACGCCATTATGGTTGACGTAGCTCTTCTCCGACTTGTCCGACTTGCCGTCTGAGTGTCTCGAGTCCAATGTATCGCTGCGCTTCACCGGGCTCATGGGTGCCGCGTCGCCATTGCGCTCGTCCTTCATCTTCAAGCGCCCGAGCTGGCGGTCGAGGGTTGCGGTGCCATTGGACAGACCTGCGCTCTCCTGCTGTCCCGGGTATGGCGTCTGAGGTCTGCTGTCGAATGTGTATGTGCCCTGCCGGCTGTGTTGAGTTGGGATTTTCGAGAGCGGCGCGCCGGTCTTGTTGTACGGGATGTCGCTCTGGCGGGAGTACGGAAAGAGAGGGAGCACTGCAGTTATCCGCTTTGCGGAGGCTGTTCTGCAGGCTGATATGCAGATCATCTGTGGTGCAAGTCAGAATTTTCCTCTCCATATCAGCCGTCAGGAACGTACCAACTCCATGAGGTGATCATTCACCTTGCCTCCTCCGCTCTGAAGTATGAAGACTTGGATCGCAAGTCAGCGCTCATCCAGGTATCAAGCATACAATGATCCTAACCATCCTTCCCTCTCACGCTCTCCTCGATTTCGACTCGGGTCTCGCCGACGGCGAACTTGGCAAGCTTCAAGGATTAGCCGTGCGCAGCGAGCTACGACGATTGAAGGGCCTTACAAGAACCTTCGCCGGCGGTATTCCCAGATGGTTACATATCGTCGCGGTGCTTGCGCTGCTCAGCATGGCATTGAACAAAGTTTTGGCGGCCGCTTACAGCTCGGGGTGCGACGAGCCTCCGATCACCACGATGTTGCGGACCATGACGACGGTGGGTGGGGCGCTTGATCAGTTGCGCTCGCAGGGTCGCAAACCGCAGTTGGGGCGGGTGCAGCGTCGTCGGGCGCTCTGCAGTAGGGTCAGACAAAGGGAGCTGGTCGCCGTTGGCGGGCGGAGGTGCGGTCCTTCACGTATTCGGTGGCATGGTGGATGTGAAATTGCTTGTCATCGGGCGAAGTTTTCTACCAAGGACCCCGGCGCCCGCCTCGGCTTGCTTTCTTTGCGCAGCCGAGCCACGCGCGAATTAAGCTTTGGAGCACGACATCAAATCACCGTCTGCAGCTCTGAATAAGCGCTACGAACGCTTGTTCGCCAGATCTTGCATCTCGCATCTGCTGTCTAGACTTCCATAAAGCGCCGCCAGGATCAAGGGAAATCTGAGTATGCGGATCGGTGAGGCAAGCACGAGCATGCCGAGATCGGCGGCGCCGACCGAGTCACGTGCTGGCCTTCTCTCCAGTCTGAACACAAACTCCCCCAGATGTGGAACCATGCCCCGAGTTAAACTCTCATAGCATCGTGCAAGAAATATCATTCAGGGTTGTCTATCATCTGCCTGTTGTACATTATATTGCTCCTCTTTCTCTTCTTCGTACTCGATCAACTCCCTCTCTTCCTATCCATACCCTCTCCGCGCGCCAACATCTGGGGCTAGCAGGCTACGGGGACATCGTGGCTTCTGACTGACCCGAAGATAGATCTACTGAGATGTTCGAATGCCTTCCTCGGACCTTTGGCCATCTTGAAGGGCATCGCTTCAACTCTCGCCTTGCCTTCTTCGACACCCCTCGTACGTTCTTGACCAGCACTCCCTAGCCGAGCTCGGTAACCAGCTATTACCAAAGCCCATAGCCCTCTCAACAATTGATAGCTCACAGACGGTCGAATAAGCCTCATACAGCCCGACCTCTCGCCCTTAATCTTCATAGCATACCATCCTCCCACTTGCCCTCGTCCTTCTTCTTCCCTTGTCCCTGCCCAGGCGTAAACAACTCTGCACTCAGCACCAACACCGCCGGCACGACAGCCAACGCATCCACAGTCCCACTTCTCTTGCCCCTACTCAAATTCATCGCCGCCGCCACATCCTTACTCTTCACCTCCTTCCTAATCCTCGGCCATTCTTCCTCTCGTTTACCAGCAGACGAGCTCGAGGAGCTTCTACGGTGGTGGAATGGCGATAGAGAATGCAGTGTGTGGGCCCGTGGGCGTGATTTGGCTGAGGTGGACGCGGGTTTTTGCTTTGGGAGGGGCGGGAGCGGGATGTTGATCTCGGTGTAGAGGGGTTCTTCGTATTTGGGCAGTGGGGAGGCGAAGGGAGAAGCCTCGAGCTCTGGAGTCGATGGTGCGAGCGGTGTGGTTGGTGATGCCGGCGCCCAGGATGTCTGTGGAAGCGGATCGGTTTGTGGAGTCGCGGGAATCATTGAACTCCACCCTGGTATTGCTTGCACAGTTGGATCCATTTGTAGCTTCGGAGTTCGAAGACGACGAGTGTTGTTGCTTTGTACGCTGGGGGTTGCCTAGCTGTTGCGTATGACTTTCGCGCGACTCAGCCCCTCCAAGGCTCCTTCCTTCTCACTTGGTGCCACCGGCGGGAAAACCAGGACCCGAGCACTCCAGCTCAGGTCTCAATTCCTTCTCTTCTTCTTTGGAATAAGAATGGCTGCTCGAAATGGCGGCACGCTCGTCTCTTTCTTATCGCACGGCTCAATTCAAATCTCGGGGATCGAAACTTCCGCAAACGGCTCCTCGCGACGCGTCCAGCAACCCACGCTATATACCCAGCGCATACGGCCAGCTGATCACCATCTCAATAAGCCACCGCTCGGCTCGCTCAGCCGCCGCCCGATGGAATGCGGACAAAAGTTCGCATCATTCGGCGCCGCTCCTGCCGGTCAGACGCGAGCTGTATTGGTTCGGGTTTGAGGCGGTGAGGCGCAGCATCTTGCGTAAGGGGGTTTCCTTGCCGGCTTATGAGTATTGAGCATGCGAGGGGCACGGTAAGAGTTGGTAAGATTGACTCAGAAGGACCAGCAGGCGGAGGCATGATGTGAGGCGTGGAAGAAGATTGAGTGGGGCTGGAGCGAGAGGTCACGTGGTGGTCGCGCGCCTGGTGGCTCTTCCCAATTCTCGGTATAACAGATGTTTCAATATTCAGTCACCGCTAACTCTAACAGCCTCGTCATTCTCTACCTCTCAGACCAGCAAGGTCGACCTACATCCCGGCGCCGCGAACCACAGCTGCCCAATACCCTTCGTGTGGACCTTCAGGGAACGAACGTAATTTGAATTGGCACGTCTGCTTTCAATCCTCGGTCTGCCTTCCAACTCGGCGACGCACAGAATACACCGTATCACATGCACGTCTGCATCACTTCCAGCCCGGCTCCGGCCCGTTTCCTCGAAATTCGCGCGCAGATTCGATTAGACCAATGCTCGCTCCTACGATTGAATATGCAAAGCATTTGAGCATCCTTGACGAGCTTTCTCCATCTGGGATTCTTGTTGTCAAGCAGTGTATTCAAGGCCTGGACCTCCCTGTCGACCACTTCGACCATTTCGGAATAGGGGGTTTGAAAGCCGCCGAGAGAAAAGCAGGGTGCCGGCCCGTAGTCCGCCAGACTGGAACAGCAGTGCCGAGAGAATTTGATTTGAAAAGACGGAATGAAAGCCTTGATCTTGAGAAGCGGTAGGATGTTGTACTCTCCGGAGGACCACATCTTATCCCGGTAGCAGTTGTAACAGTACTGGATCACTATCCTCAGCTTCCCGGGCACCTTCTTGTCGAGGTCGTGATCGAGGACCTCGAGCCAGGTCGTCAGGTATTCCGCGAGGTCCTGTACCACGATTGAGTGCTCAGTACTGCGCATCCAGATGCTTCGGAATTCAGCACGGACCTGGCGGTTGGCGTAGAAGAGCCCGCTGGAGGGGATTCGCTGGGACGCTCGTTCATGACCCCTCTGCGGTCGTTTGATTGTGTTTTCGCTATGCGTCAGACGGATACTCGGTTCGTCGTACACGGCGGATTCATATATAAAATTACGGAGCTCTGCAGAAACATGGATAAGTCTGAAGCAAAAGCTCTAATGTTGCAGATTCGGGCACCTACCAGCCGGGGGCATGAAAAAGAGAAAATGCACCGTTAGAGCGCCCTCTTTGGTTCTCATGGCGAGAGTCTCTTTTTTTCGGAGCTTGTTGCATGAAAAGGCAAGTACTGGATGGAGCCGATATGTTCTTGTTGGGGAGGGCGGTTGGTGTTGAGGAGTTGAAAAGGGACGGAGAGGAGAGGAAGAACGAAAGGACAAACCGGGTAGGAGCATCCACGCGCGCGCTTCTTTTCCAACAGCTCTCAAGTTCTCAAGTGCGGAAGGAATGGCGAACGAAGGGGTAAGACGGGAAGTCCATGAGCTTTAGTGAGCCAACGCACTAACAGTATAGGAACTTACTAATGTCACGCAAAGAAAGATTTATGGGGGAGACGAAATCCAATACACGTTCTGTTATTTACGATATTCATTCTTTGTAGATTTCGCACGAATGGAGAGGATTTAGGTGGACAAACGAATCGAAGCGACATCCTTGCCACGTCAACGTGCTCTGAAGGCCTTCATTGAGATATTCAAGAGTCAAACATACCATGTCTACTGCACCAACTCGCAAGCCGCCATCTTGCCCTGTAGGGACTCAGCATCCTTAACTCATGCATCATCGCGCGAATATAGGACCATCGGGTTCAACCAGGCCCACGGATGCTTTGTATCACCGTATCCGAGTTCTATGTCGTCCCACCCCAGCCGCTCCATATCCTCTTGCTCATACATCTCCATCATCTTCCCCACGCGCGGCGTCCACACATCCAACAGCGCCACCTTTTCCTCTTTATGCCAGGGGTGGGCCCACACCTCATTGCTCAGGATCGCCGCCGGCCCGCTGGGATACAACAAATCGGCGATGATCTCGTGATTGGGGACAAAGGCGGGACAGCTAGCACTAATGACGAGCGTGTGCGGCGTGATGGCGAGGTAGTGGTGCGGGTCCGAAAGCATAGTGATAGGAAGGGGAAAGTGCTCGAATGCAACCATGTCCTTGGGGGTGTAGTCGGGGTCGTAAGCGTAGACGTCGATGGCAGGAGCGTTAGGATCCTTCGCAGCGTACTGCGAGCGCAGAAAGCGCGCAATGCAGCCTGCGAGGAGGTGCTGATGGGCGCGTTCGCGGCAGAACGTGTCCCCCGTCCCATTCGTCTTCGAATAATCGAAGCTGAACATAGGGCCCATCGCTATGCAGACGATGTTCTTGACCTGCGCCTTCCCCGCCAGAGCAGCCAGGCTCTTCTTCATCTGTGCCCACTGCGCGCTTGCCAGCCACTCTTGCTCCATCTGCCTAATCCTCCCCATCTCACGCGGCTCCCGCGTCCGCTTCGCCCGGCTCCAGGCGGCGTTCTCCCCAGGCCCCAGCGTATCAGTCTGCGTCACACTCCCAATGTTGAGGTTCGGGACGATAAGGTACGCAGTCGGTTGAGCGAGTGCAAAGTCGCTATACTTCTTCCACGCCAAGTGAGCCCCATAGCTGCTAACGCCGCCGTACGGCCAGATTTCATAGAAGTCGCCTCGTACGCCTTCCACGACGATGGGTGTGTCTTCATCCCGGCGCGCTTGATCGACGTCAGAGGCGGCTTGCTCGAGGAGGGAGCGTGTGAAGATACGTTGCCCGGCGAAGTCGCGCTCGAAATCTGTTAGTGAGATTAGAGCTTGGGGATAGTTAATGAGGTATTCTTTCTCGTGGGCGGCTTTGGCCACTGCCATACTTACAGGACGCATTTTGGCGGGATTGAGTATTTCGGATGTATATTCAGTAAGAGGGTGTCTGCGTGGTGTATCTAGTGTGGTTATATAGTCTTCGGCACGCTGAAGGCCCTCTTTACACAATACCGTTGTGCAATCGTCAGCCATAATGGAAGAGTCTGCAAATGCCTCTAAACATAGGGTATTGCTAAGAGTAGCAGGTTTCGTTTCTAGTTACCATCGAGGAGCTGTGGGAAGGGCTGAGACGTCGCTGCAAAAAGGTACGGATTAGCTACCACGGCGTAGAAAACCACCTTCACTCGAAGTTAGAAACATCAGCTGCGTGAATACAACTATGCGAAGGCTTACCTTTCCCGCACCCTCAACTTGCGATTACAATAGCACGCCTTGGGCAGCCGGAAGTCATAAGTTGGAGCATAATGTTGTGGAAAACGTCTCCGATTTCTCTTTGCCCTTCTCCAATTATCTACAAAGAACTTCGATTACTCAGCCTTACCCTATTTGAACTGGTCCTCGGTGACGCCCTTGCCCATCGCCGCCGTCGAGCTCACACCGCCGCTAACCATCTTCAGCATATTATCAATATAGTTCGCTCCGCTCCACTTCTGATGCGTGAGCACATCGACCTTGTTCTCCGCCTCCGGCTCTTGGATGATCTCGCCATACGCACGCATACCCTGCTTGGCGTATGCCTTAGAGAAGGTATCAGCCATGAGCGCGGTCTGGTGCAGGCCTGCGAGCGTGATGAACTGCCAGCAGTAGCCGAGCTGGGCGAGACGTTTGATGTAGGTTTCTTGCTCGTCGCGGGACATGGCGGCTTTCCAGTTGAAGGAGGGTGAGAGATTGTAGGCAAGTCTGCACAATGTTAGTTTCCTATAAGAGGGTTTCGAGAAGGGAAAGGCGTACTTCTGCTCTGGCCACACAGCGTGCACACCCTCGGCGAATTCCTTTGCCTGAGCGAAGTCGGGAAGCTTCGACTCCATCCAGATCATATCTGCGTACGGGGCATACGCAATCGCGCGGTTGATGGCGCATTGGCAGCCACCCTGGTACCTGTAGTAACCCTCGCGTGTCCTCGCAGAATCCCAGTCAAAGAAGACGTCAACGCCGGTCAAGCCTTTCGCGATGGCTCGGGCCTCGGAGTTGCTCTTCCCTTTGCTCTTCTCCAGGAATTCATTAATGAGGCCCTGCTTGTTCACATGCACGCCAGCGTTGATGGTGTCAATGACGGCTTCGTGGAAGAGCTTCAGGTTGGCTTCCTTAGTCCAGGCATCTTCAATGGCCTGGAGCTCGTTGCCGTTCTTACCGGCTTGCTCGGCAGCGTACATGAGCTCGCCGAGGGGCTGGAGGTTAGGGTTTGTGCAGCCCATGATGTAATGGTGGTCGCGAGGGTCGATGGTAGAGGTGATGAGGGTAGCGGCTTCGGAGTCGGTACGGGCGACGGCAAGGAGGTCAACTCCTACAAGCATTGTTAGCTCTTATTTCCCTCAGGGTACCGCGGGGAACCACAAACCCATAATGTCAGCCTGTGCTCGAATAGCAACCAAGCGGTTGATGTGCTCGCTGATCGGCACCAGCACCTTGCCAGCCATGTGTCCACACTTCTTTGTTCCCGGGGCCTGATCCTCAATGTGAATACCGGCCGCACCCTTCTCCACGAACAACTTTGTGAGCTTCATGATGGCAGTAAGACCTCCGTGTCCAGTATCCGCATCGGCGATAATCGGTCGGAGGTAGTCGACATTAGGAGCGTTCGCACGGTCGGCTTTAGGCGTAGTGAGGCGCTCTTCTCGCTGCTTGCGGTCGTGGAAAAGCTGTGCCATGAAGAGGTGCTGTACTTTGTTTGGGACGGTAGTCTTCACCGAATTAGTATGACCCGAAGCCAGAAAAGTGGAAGAAACTTACCATTGGGTAGTCCGCGAGATCTGGGCCTGGCTCATCTGTCGACGAAGCTGTGGAGGAGCATTGCCAGCCGGAGACGTAAACGGTGTCCAGGTACTTCGCCATCTGGGTGACCATGACGGGGTCAAGGCAGCCGTATGTGAAGCTCACATCGCTGTTCTATACTCAATTAGTTATGTTCAAGTGGCCACAGTACAATCTTACCTTGAACCTCCCCTCCACAATGTTCCACAGCTTCTTCGCCTGCGCATTGCTTGGATATTGGAGCTTCAGAGTTCCTCTCTTCGAAACAATTTGTTCGGCTGTGAATGGTCTCCGCGTGTACCTCCATCGTGAATCAGTCCACCACTTCTTGACCTCCTCAACCTCGTTTTGGTACTGCTGCTCCTCAGCGTCGATATTGGCCATGGTGGAGGAAGCTAGGTCGCAAGTATAGAAGGCGACGACGAGATCACAATGTATATTAACAAGAAAGCGGTATAGCCTTCTAATTCCTTTTGTATATACAAAGGATGAAGAACGGAAATGCAAAGAGGGGAAGCTCGAAGTTTTCTTTCAGACAATGACACGATGATGACACAGTCCCAGACCTCGGATCTGAACCAAAAACTCACGAAACAGGCAGGGAGCCAAGCCCTTATGTATGGGCCTCACTGCCAACCTCATACCCCAGGTTAGTCAATGCCTCACATTCCAGTCCGTCCAGTAGCAGAGGCTCGGGAACGTCCGGGTGACCGCACCATTGGCCCGACTTTCGCGCCGAGGAACATGGTCGCCGTGAATTAGCGGCTGTCCTGGGCTGGCTGTGGCCAGAGGTCTTTCGAGTTGCCCCTCGGCCCAAAGGGAATCGCGTTTGGAGCGTTGCGGTGCAGATCCGGTAAGGAGGGGAGCAGCGGAAGCGTGACGCGGGCGGGATGACGTTTGCCAATTGCTTGTGAATCTTCGTCCGGTCAACCTTCCATTCTCTGGTTCTTTGAGGGAGATGGCGGTAATTCGATGTTGAAAGTAAGCCCCAGATGGCACGCGACCAACACGCAGCTTCACATGTCGTCTGCGATGCTTCTTCCGTCGTTCGAAGCGTGAGCGGCATGTGAAGGCGCACATCGATGAGCCCCAAGAACGCACGCTAGTAGCCGCGCTAGTCCGTATCCGGAGTAACCTCGGCTAAGAACCATCCTTGCAGAGCCCAGACCTCCGACTCCCGAGTGGAGCTATGCCACCATCGCCATCTCAGCAGATCTTAAATACAATGAAGGTGAGTCAAGCCCTCCGACTTTACGCCGAAGGTGCTGGCAGGGTTGCAGGGAACGGTAGGGCTTATCAAGGAACCAACGGCACCCGTTGGGCCGCTTTCACTTAACATGCTCTTTCGCGTTCGCCATGTCTCAGCTCTCAACTGCGAAAAGTTCCTCCGGAGGGCCTTCAGCATGTAAAGAACTGCATTGCTATATCTAGTAGGGGCGTCCTCACTTGCACCCTTTTAGGAGCCCATAAAGATGGCATCCGCACACGTAGATTGTCAAAGCTGTCAACCACCACAATCCTATTTCAGCTCTCCCGAGTGCGCCGAGAACTAGGGATCCTTTAGGGTCGGACGAGCGCCAGTCAAGACTATGCTTCTCAACCATCTGAGCCCACGATACTAACTTTCTCGAGCCGAACCAGCATAGTAGGAGCCTCAGGAAGAAGTCGAGTATGTCAACGACTTCCGGAAATCCAAACGTAAATCTTTGAGCAAGGAAGAGTTTAGTGACGGTCCTCCTGTAAAAGCCGGAATACGCACGACCGCCGGGTCCTCGCACGAACCGATCCAGCTCCGAGTAAGGCATCGCTCGAATGTCGTTAACGTTGAAGTCGGCGGACTTTGGCGTGACTGGGTACGCAGGTTCTGCGGGTGGGCATCTCAGCTTCTTTAGCAGCTTCCATCGTAGCTCGTCTAGAGGGCTTCTCTTCACTAGACCTTCGTCGGCCTCAGATTCAAGATCTCTCGGGTTCGGCAGGAGAAAAGGGAGCAGCTCGGGATGCGAGATCCACAGCGTCCGGTTCTTCTCATCCGTAAAGGTGCATTCGCGGTCGAACGCTTCCCAGGTATGGGAGTAGTGCACAAAACGTGAATAGAACGCTGGAGTTAGAATTCGGATATCGAGATTATTAGTGCTAATCTCACCCCCATGTTGAAGGGTTGTTGCGACTATCTGCCTAGGTCGATCGGGAATCGCCGTGTGCAGGTTGATCGAGAATGGAACGGATGATCGCTGCACGAGGTGGTTGAGATAATCTTTGAAGATGTTCTGCAAAGCGCTGCCTTGAGTTAGCGGTTGCAGGAACACATCTTGGTCTGCACTCACTCTTCTGCATTTGTGGGTATACGACCGACGCTGGAAGATAGCACTTCTGGCCTGAACCACACACGTAGGCTTCGCCAGAAGTAGAGCTTGAATGCCTCTTTTAATATCCGCGGGAAAGTCATGAATCCTACCCACCACCAGCCAGCGACAAACCGCAAAGTCGCCAGAACACCGAGCCTAGCAGGATCTAGGGGTTTCCCGGTAGTGTATATCCTCGCAACGAGCTTCGCATGGTCTTTAGATGACTTCATTGTGATGGTGCTGTCGATGGCAGGCTCGGGATAACGAGGAGAGGGGAACGGATTGGCGGCCTTCAAAGAGTAGGATCCCTTTCGGGAGTTGAACGGCGATACATGAAAGTCCTTCATCCAGGTGTCGGTGAACTTTGTTTTCGTCATATCCGGCGAGGATCCTTCAGACTCAGGGGTCCTCGGTGGACAAAACCCATCCAGCAAGTACATGCGTCTCTCTCCGAAAGTGTTGTTCACTTCGAGGATCATCTTCTTGAGCTCATGCTCCCGATTGTAGATGTACCAAAAAGACACGGGATTGAAAGAGTAGCTGAAGAAGCGTGGAGCGGTGACAAGGTAGGCATACGACCATTCTCGATCTTCGACACACTGTCTCTATCAGTACATGTCTCCCATGAAGACCGAATGTGCAATTCCGAAGGGACAAGGGAGTTTTATAAGCGTTGACATACCTGGCCCCTCAAGAATAGCTTTAGCTTTCCATAGAAACCTAGCGCACCATATCCTCGCTCTAGATAGTCCTCAGCTCTTATCCGCAACCACCAGCTTCCCATGATTTGGTCTTCCCCATCCCGTACCTCGTTACCATCCGCTGCGGTGCACGTTGGAGAGATGGGAAAGCCGCAGAGCAGATACGTGTATCCGAACGCATGTTTTTGCGGAAACATACGAGCGTGGGACGTTCGGCAGGGGAAAAGGAGTGGTTTGGGATACTCGGTAGAGCACACGCGAACGTCTGGCGGCGATCTTGCTGGGGATACGCTGCCATGGTCGTTCCTTCCGTATCTGCGACAGAGGGCGAATCCGAATATGGCTAGCGGGATGACGGCTCTTATAGCGAACGTTGAAAGCGATAACGTCTCAACTTTCAATCTTTCCAATTCACCCCATCTCTTGCCAATGCTCGCCAACAGCTCCCTCCTCAACAATAATGCATTGATGGCCCCAAACAGAATGCAATCCTGCAACACGGCCCGATCCCCACGCCAAAATCTCACGCCACCGGCGGACGCCCAGATCGCCAAAAGCGGCCACGTGTGCCGCCCGAAAACGGTTGCACAAGGAACAACAGAAAGTAATAGATAAAAAAAGCTCAGGAGCAGGCCGTTACGGCCGCTGGTTTCGCTCCTCATGGGATGGTGTTGCTGTCAAGAAGCTACAGATGTCAAAGAAGTCTGCTTAAAACATGTTGAGCGGTTTGGCGCTAAACCGCTTTGGTGATATGTACCATGCATCGATCCAGGAACTACTCAGAAAGCGGATATAAGCAATGGCTTCGGCCGACCCGATGAAGAAGGAACTCGCAGAGGAACCGCAGCGGAAAAACCCTTTTGGATTTGGAACTCCTGGTACTCTTTGCCAGGAGCAATGCTGGCCCATGTCAGGCCGGAGAATTTCGGCAAGCCGTCAACGGAGCACAAAACCCAGTAGAAGAACATCTACGTCACCGCTATCACCACCTCAAGAGCAGATGCGACATCGGTTGCCACATCGCGTATTTCCATCACGCCGGAGAAGATTTGTCAACTCTAGGGTCCGGTTGATCTAAGCTTTGCTAGGGCGACGGTGAACCGCCGAGCTGGGTCGGGAGAGAAAACAGTTCATTTTATAAAGGGCACGCTTGCGGGAGCTCTCTAACTGCTTGGGGGAATCTTACACTAGACTTATCAGATGCCGGCCCTGACCTCACTTCCTACCACCAGCGTCTACCGCATAACACATTTCAAGCGTTGGTCTCCTTCCCTTTGTATTCGGCGCTCTTACCGATCTTGTGCCACGGGGCGAATGCTGTTATCCCATTAGCAATGCGGTCTCTTGTCAGGTTTCGACGGACTCACGGTTTTTGCTCGCTTTCAAGCTCTCACCAAGAACGGGGAAGTGCCTCGTCAGCACGTCCTTCATACCGTTGTTCTGTACCCAGCTCATCCCGACTTTGCTATACGTCGCTTCATTCCAATCCGTCGCAATGAAGCGATCGCTCTTCAGCCTCCGACTCGCCATCAGAATGAACACGCGGAATGCGGTATCGCTGAAGCCAAAGCCCTTTGGTAGAGGTTCGCACAGACAACCGACCAGCAAATCCACCTTCTCGATATCCTCCTCATACACCTTCTCCAGCTTGTCGGCGACCTCTTTATTTCCGCCAGTCAAGTTGAGGAATGACGTCGCTGGAGCCATGTGGAATAGCTTCCGGAACTGGTTGTACCGTGGCACTCCGCGCTCGCGATCCCGAAGGATATCAATCGTTCCCATGTCAACGTGTCGGCCTTCTGGTGTGCGCAAATCCCGAAGGAAGTCCGGTGTGTTGTTCAGCGTCACCGCGCCAGGATAATTAATTCCGAAGCTGTAGAAGATATCTTGGAAGCCTAGCTTTTCTTCCTGGAGTGGGTTCCTGGCGTTTCCGAAAGCGACCTGGTTGATCGGGTATGTCTTCTTGTGCTCGCCGGACTTCGCCTCGAAGAAAGCAATATCATCAGGGATGAGCGTATGGAGTCTGTACACCGAGACGAACTCCTCCGTGAGCGAGAAAGGAGCGCCGTGCTGTTCGGCGCCTGATCCTGGGATGCCGGATATGGTCTCTCCTGGAGCAACGCGACCGAGCAACTTATAAAGCTTCTCTCCAAGGATGCCCCACCAGTTGGCACTCATGCCGACCTGGAGAGCCGGGTGTGCTAATATGGCAGGAGTCCATTCCACTGTATGGATTTTTGCCATCAGTGCACAATTGACCAACCTTGCCGTATCAAAGACCTTCTCGCTGCTCCAGTCTGGATAGCTCTTCACCAGCTCTTCGCAAATAGCATTATGCTCCAGCACGAACAGCGTGTGCAGCATCTCGAGCCCCAACCACCAATTAGCGTAGAATCCCGTCCTCGGAATCCCATTCTCATCTCGCGGCAGGAACGTAACGAACTTCTCCTCATCCAGCTCCAACTTCCCCATCTCCGCCTTGCCCCTTAACTCTTTCGTCCTCGCCTCCGAGTTCCCGTAAATCTGGCTCCCGTCCCACCAATGCGTGTTCTCGTTCTTGTACCCGGGGCTCTTCCTATCCACCTCATCGAGCGGCTCATCAGCCTGCGTAGCCTCGACTTCCATCTTTCCCGTTTCCCAACCGTCGCCCTCTGGAAGCGGCACCTCATACTTCTCCGTCGCAGAGTTACTATGCATGAACCAATCATGCACCTGGAACTGGATCCACGCCGCCGCCAGCAAATTCAATATCGTCGCCGGCTTAAACGTATCCCTCTTCAGCAGCACTTCACTAACCAGTCTCGGACTCGGGCTCATCATCTCCTCCGTGCTCGGCTTGCTCGTGTAGCTCCGTGGCACATTGCGTCCGAAGCGCATCCCTATGCACCCCATTTTCGGCTGGCTTAGGTCGTTGAATAGGCCGTCGGAATTTCGGGTGTGCGCGAATTCGGCGTCCATGTGCGGGCAGCCCGGCGTGCCTTGGTAGGAGGGCGACGGGTATACATCGTGCAGGTTGTGTTCGCGCAGTTCGTAGCGGTAGGCGGAGAGATTGAAGGCGCCGATGTAAGTGGGCAGTTTGTGCCAGGGGATGAATGTGTTGATGCCTTTGAAGATGGTGATGAGGCCGCGCTCGGGGAGGGAGGGCTTGTAGGGGATGGCGGAGTCGGGGGTTGCGGGCTCTGAGTTTGTCTTTGACTTGGAAGACATGGTGCGTGGTGGGTTGGGCGGGATAGAGATGTATAGTCGAAGCAGGTGTTCGTGTAGGTGCAGTGTAATTGAAATCGAGGATGGTTTGAACAATTAGACTACCGCGAGGGACAAGAAGGCGCGATTACAGTCGGATAAGTAGGAACGAGCTTATGTTTTGAGGCAGTAGGCTTGGTTTGGGGAAAGCGCTTGGAGTGATGTACCCGGATGCATGTGCTACCGCTCGATTGATGAAAATGGATAGCAATGCTCCTGCACTGAGACATTAGGATCTTCTATGCTCTATATACACAAGGCTTTATCACATGTAGCCCTTTTCAGTCCAAACGGTCAGCTTCCGATCGCTCGGCCCTCAGCTTACTCATACGCACGCATCCACGAGGTCTTTCAGCCGTGAAAAACTTCCTCGTTCAGCTCTGCCACTCACTGCCCACAAGGCAACAGAATAGCACCCCATGGGTTGCCGCGCCCACCCGGCCAACCACAAGCCCCGAGTTTCTCATGTTGTACGGCAGCTGGCCTGACGCGTGCAGCCAAGATTTTCCGCTTTGGGCACATAAGATAAGCAGGGCTGCGGCTCGGGGCCGGAAGCTGACATTTCTTGGCGGGAAGATGATGGCGATAGGAGCGATATTTTGTACTGGTGGCCGCGAAGGTGGGCCCTGCGTTGGGCGCCGCCCTGGGGACGCGAACTGAACTGAACCGAACTGCTTCTGATTATTGGGCTGGTGGGGTTGGGCCTGGTGAACGGGGTCGAGATCGACAAGGCTGCTATGAAGCGTGAACCCATAGGCTAGGGTACGTAAGACCGGGTTGCCTTCTGCAAAGGTGTGGAGGACGTTGTCATCTGCGCCCATATGCCCATTCGGTGAGACCAGTGCAGCGGGCTGCAATCGGGGGGGAGGGGGGGGGGTTGCAGCTCTCGTTCAAAGCTCAGCCGCGTCCTGCGGACGATTCATAATCTTCATAATTTCGTGAGTTTCTCCGCCATCTTTCACCCCGAAGCCAGAATATCTCTTGGTCGTGCCGGCGATTTCGGCGGCTGCGAGTGTGAACTCGGAGGCCTCGCTGTAAACGCGCGAACGCGATTCCGAATCTCCTCCTCTTCATCCATTTCCCTGACGACGATAACGTCGTTGTGTATGTCGTCTGATATTTCGTGCTTCTGCGGGCGGTACGTCGATGCCGGGCTTTCCAGCGGAAGATCTTGTTCGAGCGGTCGACTACCTCGCCTCCCAATCGTTCGCTGCGTCATCGTGGACTGGCCTTCACCGTAGAAGTAATAAGTACGCGATCTCTGGAATCGAGATAATTCGCCGAATACTGCTCTGAAGAGGGGTTGCAGGGATGGGGCGGAGGCGCAGATGATTGCGGTATTCATTTCGACTTGGTCCCAGAACAAGATGTAGCCGCCGTAATATCGCTGCATGTCCAGCTCGGGCACAGTGGCCCACATATAGAGGGCCCAGATGCGGAGCGCTGCCGCAATCGGGACGAGCAGGCCGATCGAAAAGACGAGCAACAGGGAAATGCGCTTGAGCGTCGGCATACGCAGCTTGACGAGAATCGGTAGCGGAAGGACGAGGATGAAGATGTCGGTGGAGATGTTCAAGCCTGCTTGGCTGAAGTACAGCTTCTCTAGATTGAAGCAACCCCATTTGTCTCGCTCGGTGAAGATGTCTGGGGCAAGCGCAAGGGAGGGTTTGTGCGGGCATTCGAAGGCGTTGACGAGGATCATGACGGTGCTCATGCAGGCTACGAAGCCGATGGTGATGTAGGTGACGATCCGGAAGGTCCTGTGGGTTGCAATGCTCAGGTAGAAGACGAGGATTGAGAGCTTGATGAGGGCGGGGTCAAGCAGGTAGACGATTTGGTAGGCGTACCATACTTTGGCTGAACCCTGTCGAACTTCGTTGATAAACTCTAGCGAAGGCTGCAAGGTGTTAGTGCTACAAAGAGAGGAGAGTCGACAAGAATGGCGCACCATCGGCCAGTTTGCTGGCCAAGCACCCGTGCCGGTCCCATAATAGCACTGATAGTGGTTGATCACACACAGTCCCCAGGTACAGAGCTGTTCCAGTCAGTAGAGTTCATGAACTCAGTCGATTCAAGTAGGCCATGATGTCCCATAGGATGTTCTGTTCGTCGAATAGTTTCGAGAAGAGGGCGGGCACGTACAACTGCGGCAGCGATCAAGTAGTCATAGTGCTTCAACTTGCCTACGACCCATATTCGACAATAGAACCTTTCTCTCAATCAGCAGAAAATCCAGCGGATTACGGGATATCAAGGACTGACCGGGTAGCCACTACCAGCGTCGAGAAACTGGTCAGTGTAAACATTGTTATTTCGATTGTGGGGCCGAGGATCCATGGCGTGAACAGCTTTCCCGCGCCCATCTGGGCGACTGCCGCGACAAATCGTTGTAGCTCCTAGTAGCGTTCAGTGCTACCGTGAAGAGGGAAAGGCGTGAAGCAGAGGAGGTTGAACTGGAGGTTGAGCTATTCGCTTCCGGATTGAGGGTGCGCGTAGCTTGACGGGAAGGGTGCAGGGTATATAAAACTGATCGACGATGGAGGGTCCCCAGCTGGGCACTGAGGATTCCGGATGAATGCCTGCCCCTGGGGTGATTTGGCGCACGGGGCATGCGTGATGCATTAAGCTTTGATCGCACCCATCAGCAGATACGAGTGCGGGAGCTAGGCTTTGGTATTTCGGGTCATGCTTTTATTGACGTGAAGAGCGGTTAAGAGGGCATGGTCTGATGACCGGTCGTAGATGAGGCCTCATGTAGCAGTAACTCATCGAAGCAGCTCAGGATACCTCTTCATACAGCAGAAACTGCCGTGACGCGTCTCTTCAGACACGTTTGCGGGCGGCTGGCTTTAGCGAAGCCGCAGGCTGACAGCATGAAGGAACACGAATGGGGCCCGGGATCCCTTCCGATGGTCGCCCGCTTCAGCTAGCTCACCACCGCCGCGGTTCTGTAGGGCCTCGACGCTTGCGATATCTGAACGGGTCTCGAACACTCGTCCTGGCGTCGTGCGCAGCATGCGTAGTTGGAACAGCCTGCGTCGACTCCGGTGTTGAGAAAGCCCCTCTGCGCCGATGACTGGACCCCTCAATTCTCTCGGTATTTTGTAATATAGGCGGTGGGTGGCTGAAGTCAATCAAATGTTGTGCGCATCTGGTAATGGATAGATGGCTTGCATACTCGACATAAAGAGGAGGGCACGCGGCACTTGTTACTCGCTTGGAGGTGCGACTGCACATGGTTGAGCGAGCCGTGGGTACCAAGACTTTGGGCGACAGCGTTCCTGCGCACTCGGTATCGACTGGTGGGTCGATTGCGCACAGTTGAGAGCCAGGCAGGCAGGCCTCATCCTCGAAGACTGCAGAATGTCCAGACCCAGGACGGAACGAGCCGTGGTGATGAGGTGAGATGTGTGGCCAGGGTCGCATGAGGCAGGCGAGCGACCTCCACGGCTGCATCACCAACCACAGCTTCGAGGCGTCAAATACGATAGCCGTCCAATTTGTTTTCTTTGCACGAAGGTGTTGCTACCTTTTGGACTGGCGATTATCCGGAGGGCTGCCGACGGAGGTCGTTGCAGTCGCAGTTCCAGCGCATTCCAAGGTTGGGTCGACGGTACCTAGGTACGATACATGTCTCAGAAAACTTGGGTGAACCGGGTTTCCGAGGCTTGTTTTGTGTTTGGCAACACGCCCGTTCGTCCTCAAAAGGATCGATCTTCATATCTTCGACAACGGATACTTGGAAGTCGTATGAAGACGGTAGAGGGAACGTGACGGCGATTCGGGGAGCCAGGATTGAGAGCTTCGCTGAGTTGGATGCGTGTGTGCAGTTCTTGGTCGTGGATTCCTCGTAGTATGCTCTCGCGGCCCATCAAGCGTGTACTGTGGCAGAGGCAGACAACTCACCAGAAATAGCGTGATCCGCAAGGGGATGGTTGTGTCCGGAATGATTGCAATGCAAGGCCAAAACGAGGCGGATCGCCGGGGAGACGTCATCAGGCCTTCGCCGGCCCTGTCGCCGCACGTGATGATCAACCGGTTGGGAGACAGACACAAGTCCAGTGCTACCGCCGTCTCTCCACCGTGTCCAACACTCTTGAACTCTCATTGCATGCAGCTCTGGATTGCGCTGCTTCTCCATCATCCTGCTGGTCTCGGCTCTGCGGCGAGGTCATCTTGGGAGCGATCCTCGAGTCCAAGGGTGCGCCCCTCCGTCGACAAGTTTCCAGCCGCTAGAGACCGGCACCGACACCACATTGCGACACAACCACGCGTCTGCCCGTTGCTGCACCCGATAAAGCCTCCTGAAGCTGCCCCTACTGCCGCCTTCATCGCCGAGTGAAGCGCGCTCCCAGGTGTGACGCCATCTACCAACCTCCCCCGCGCTCCGATGAGTGCTGTCGAACCCTCCAGGTCGTCGGCCGCACCGTTGCTCGACGGGGGCAAGCCGGCGGAGGAAGACCAGTCTGGCCTCCTCGCCAAGGGCAAGCGCAAGCTGCTGGGCTTGGGCAAGAAGAAGGACGGCGACAAGAAAGAGGGGGAGCAGATGGAGGCCGACAAGCCAGCAGCAAACACGCGCACCATGTCTCCCCCGAATGCGCCAACGCTCCTCCCCTCTCCGCCCATGACTTCACCGGACCGACGCGCGTCTCCTCGCGGCAGCCCGCGCATGTACCCAGCGGGCATTGGGGCATCCCCAAACCGCCGAATCAACCGCTCCACCTCTCCCGGCCTGCATTCTCCGGCCTCATCCCAGATATTCGAGCGCAACGTGCAGGAGCCCGAGCCGTCACCTGCCATCCCGGCCCATATAAAGACGGAAGACCACATACCAGCGGCATTGGATGCGTCGTCAATAGCAATCACGGACGACCATCTGAACCCGGATGAGGTGGAGATCATTATGCACTCTGCCCACCAGCCTGCCGCCGCTGCAGTTGCGGGCAGCGTCACGGATTCTGTCTACTCGCCCTCGTTGGCCCACGAGGAGTCTATGTTCAGCCACCCCGATCTCGCCGAATCTGCTTCCAACTCGGGCTACGGGTCTTTGGACACGACGGACCCACGTCGCCTGAGCTTCATTTCTTTTGCAGACGTCGTTCAGGCTGAGCACGCCGAAACGGACAGGGATGCCATGCAGTTTATGAGCTTATCCTCGACGGCCAACCGCTCGCCCTCGCCGGTACGATCGCCGGCGTCTTCTCACGGCTTCAGTGCATCGCCGCCCAGGAGTGGTGCCACATCTGAAAAGGGCGCAGATTATGGGGCAGCCAAAGGCGGCGCTCGGACTCCCGGCAGCCCTACGACACATGGCACGCATAGCCCGCCATTGGGCGGCGGCGAACTGCAGATTGAGACAATGCGGCAGGCGCTGCGGCGGACGGGCTCTGGCGACCTCAGTGGAGCGCGGTCCCAGCCGCTGAGCGCTGTCAGTCTCGAAGACGCCGTTGCCGATCAGCCGCCGTTCAAGTGAGGGCGCGTTCGGCGCTGGGTGCCTCACTCTGGGACCTGGGTGGGTGGGTGTTTGTCTGCAGCGGCGAGTCCGACTGTGCAGACTGCTTTTGGTAATTTGGCCATGTCGCGAGTGTTGGAGACACTGCGTTCATTGGACGGGGCACGGAGCTCGGTTTCGATATCCACGTTGGCGTTTATCATCTGGCTTACCTGGGTACTTGATCTCACTGAGATGGCTGGGCAGGGCGGAGAGGGCATCTGGAAGGGGAAGTGGTGCACATCTGGCTGGCTGAGAGGTAGCACGGGCGATCTTTCGGCGAAGTAGTTGGATAGCATTCTACTTTTTCTTGAATATGATTTGCAGCAACGGCGTCCTGTTCCTTGCAGTTCCGAGCGTGAGGTTGGGTCGCCACGCTGCGAGGCTTGCGGCCGGCCCGGAGCGTGATTCGCTGCTCGACGTCGCCCTCGGCACTAGCTGCCCCAGCAGCACGACGGAGGGTGTGCGGTGCGTCTCTTTGGTGGCTCGCGGTGCCTGGCGGATGTCGGGGAGGTCAGCAACTCAGCAGGCCGGGGACCAGCAGCGCGCGCCCGGCCTGAAACGCATCAGCAGGGCCTGCAGATGTTTGATAAGCCGGGGGCTCGAGAGTCGCCATTTGCCATTACCCCCAGGCTAGCTGTAATCGCATTGGCCGGCGCCGCGGATGCTGCTGCCAAGGGCACCCGGCCGGCATCCATGCGCGCTGAGAAGAACCTCACGACTCCACGCTTCGTTCATTGTGCCCCTCGCGCCGCCGCCCGCCCGCCCTCCTCCAGCCAGCGTGATGACCCGGGCCGCCGTTGCGCTGCACTGAGAGCGTCCACGCCCTGCCCCGTCGCGTCGCCCGCTGGCGGTCCCGCTGCTGCCAGGCCCTCCCACGAGGCGATGCGCCACACCATCTGGAGCCTCCTCCCGCCAGCCCATCGCCCTTCTGTCGCCATTCTCCGGTGACGGCCGGCCGGGTATCTGCTGGCACGCCCATCATCCGTCAATGACAGCGCCACGACGCAGGCCCAGGTTGCGATAGGACACCGGCTGCCCTGCTGCTCGCCATTGCCTCTGAGCATCCCCTCCACCAGGTCCTGCCGCCAGCGCGCCGACACAGTGCTTCTTTTGTAATTAATTGCCCAGGATAGCCCGCCCCCGGCGCGCCCAACCGTTCGCCATGGACCCGTCCAGACAAAGCCGGCGGATCAGAAGGGACGCTGGCACGCCCGATGCCGCTCAAACGGCAGCCAGGAACCAGCAGCGAGACGACCGCAGCGCCTACACCATCCGCGCCGTCACTCCCGAGTCGAGCATCCCGGAGGATGCTATCGCCCATCCAAACTTCACCTCCCCGCCCATCTCGCCGCGCTCCAACAGCACCACGTCCCGCAGCAGCAACCCTCGCAACTTCGTAGCCCGTGCCAATTCGAACGAGACCGACTACTCCCTCAGAAACGCCAGAGAACCGCACACTAGGCCGCGAACACGGACGCTAGAAGAGCGGTCGACGAGAGACAAGTCCCCGCCGAGCCTATTCGTGACCAGTCGTCATCGCATTGGTTCGGTGCACAGCACTGCCTCCGCTACCTTTCAGAGCTTGGAGGAGTCGGTCGTCACTTCTATAGGCCATCCGTCGACCATTTCTCCTGCCTCGCAACCGCCGCCGCGCACCTCGAGCTCGAGTCGGGGCCGTCTCGTCAAGCAGCCCCAGCGGACCGCCTCCCCCGTCGCAACCACCGTCTCGCCCAATGCGCAGCCGGATTCGTGGGTGTCGCCTGTCCCCGCGTCGGATGCCAGGAAGGTGCTGAAGCTCATGCGCGCCACGTGCGGGAAGATGCAAGGCATGTTGGCCTTCCGGCGGGGCGAGACCAGCCCATGGTCCTTGTCATATTGCTACATCAACGAAGAGGCTGGGAGTCTGGTGTATGAGCCGAAGAGCGATAATTCCTACCACAGGACCCTGGTTCCGGACCTCCGAGGCTGCCGGGTGAAGAGCGCATACGACGCCGAGGCCTACACTGCTTATATCCATGTTGTCGGACACAATTCGAAGTTGGAAGTTTATCTGCGGCCGCCCACACAGGAAGAGTTCGACTCTTGGTTTGCGGCCTTGCTATGCTGGCAACCTATCCGACCCAAGGGCATTCACAACAAAATGGCCAAGCCGCAAACGCCCGTGGTTGCAGAGCGCCGACTCGCAGACAGCAGGAGGCATTCCGAAGTGTCGCTGCTGAAAGAGGCGCCAATCATCAAGGTCGGCAAGATGATCTACTGGGACACTAGCGTGACGTACAGCAACACTGGCACGCCGAAGTCCGCCGGCTCCAGGCCGCAAGCGTACCGCGTGCAGAGCCACGGCTCCCGGCGGTGGAGGCGAGTCTCGTGCACCCTGCGAGAAAACGGTGAGCTCAAGCTCTACTCTGATACCGACGTCACACTGGTCTCCGTCGTGCAATTGTCTCAGCTTTCGCGTTGCGCCGTGCAGCGATTAGACCCGTCCGTTCTGGATAACGAGTTTTGCATAGCCATATATCCCCAGTACACCTCCACATCTACCTCTCTATCGTTATTACGCCCCATCTTTCTATCGCTGGAGTCACGAGTCTTGTATGAAGTTTGGATAGTGCTTCTGCGGGCCTTCACCATTCCGCAGCTCTATGGGCCGAAGCAGCCCATGTTGAACGAGGAGGGCGCCCTGTCGCCATCATTTGGGACGCAAGATATGTTCCGCATGGAACGGTCGCTTTTTGTCCGGGTCATTGAGGCGAGGCTGATGCCACCAATAAGTCCCAAGGTTGCCGAGAACACACCGTCTGCGAGGCCTTCCTCGTCCGCCACATCCAATTCTGGAGGCTACTATGTCGAGGTATTACTAGACGGAGAAACAAGAGCGCGGACTATGGCCAAGAACGAAGGAAACACTCCGTTCTGGAGAGAAGATTTCGATTTCCTAGATCTCCCTGCCGTCCTCTCGACCGCTTCGCTCCTGCTCAAGAAGCGGCCGCCATCTCACTCGCGGAATGATAAAAGCGTTCACGAAGCTCAGATCAGCGCAGATTCCTGGAATTCCGAAGGCGCTGGCGGCTATACCGGCATATCCTTCGACCAGACCTGCGGCAAAATCGATATCTACCTAGACGACCTCGGCCCGAATCATGAAACGGAAAAGTGGTGGCCGCTCGTCAATATGTACGGCAATAGCGTCGGCGAGGTGCTCGTCAAGGTCAGCACAGAAGAGTGCGTAATCCTCATGGCCCGCGACTACCAGCCTATGTCGGAGCTTCTGCACCGATTCGCCAACGGCTTGACATTGCAGTTAGCGCAGATGATACCGAATGAGCTGAAGAGACTGTCAGAGTACCTTCTCAACATATTTCAAGTGTCTGGCCAGGCTGGCGAGTGGATCATGGCGCTCGTTGAAGAGGAGATTGATGGGACTCTGAAGGAAACACCAGCGAGCCGGTTACGCTTCAGCAAAAGGCTTGGCTCGAGCGACTCCAATGAGACCCAGTTCGGCTCTGCAAGCGATCGAGAACTGTTCGTTAGAGATATGAACAACAACGCGAAGCTGGAAGCAAATCTTCTGTTCCGCGGAAACACGCTCTTAACCAAGTCCCTCGATTTTCATATGAAGCGGTTGGGCAAGGAATACCTCGAAGAGACCTTGAGCGACAAGCTCCGAGAGATTAATGATAAGGACCCTGAATGTGAGGTTGATCCTAACAGGGTTTCATCCCAACACGAGCTGGACCGGAATTGGAGGCGTCTGATCAACTTGACGGAGGATCTTTGGCGAGCAATCTACAATTCAATATCTCGGTGCCCGCAAGAGCTTAGGATTATCTTCAGGCATATTCGAGCCTGCGCTGAGGATCGCTTTGGCGACTTCTTGAGAACGGTCAAATATAGCAGCGTCTCCGGGTTCCTGTTCCTGCGGTTCTTCGTTCCGGCTGTGCTCAATCCGAAGCTGTTCGGCCTCTTAAAGGGTATGTGCATTCTCCGTTCTTCTCAAAATACCACACATCACCACAGAGTTTGCTTCTAACCTACCTATGAGCAGAGCATCCCAGACCTAGAGCTAGAAGAGCCTTAACCCTCATAGCGAAATCTCTGCAAGGTCTCGCAAACATGTCCTCCTTCGGCACAAAAGAAGCCTGGATGGAACCAATGAACGTATTCTTGAACTCTCATCGCCAGGAATTCAAGACGTACCTAGACAACATCTGTTCGATATCCTCGGCGACCGCGCCCGCACCGCCTATCCCTCCGTCCTATAGTACACCTCTTGCCATTCTCCAGCGACTGCCTCCCACATCTCGCGAGGGATTCCCGTCGCTTCCTTACCTCATAGATCACGCGCGCAACTTCGCGGCGTTAGTCGACCTCTGGCTTACGAATACAAGGAACAGCGCGCACAACATACAAGCCTCCGATGGCGATTTGTTACGATTCCACCATATTTGCGTCGCTCTCCACGAACGTACCAACGACTGTCTAAACCGTGCTGAACGCGCTGAACGACCTTCCTCTTCCCTCAGCGTGAAATGGGAGGAACTTGTGGAACAGCTACAGGGCTCCGCAAGCTTCGAAACTGGCAGGGGCGCCGCAACAAAGAATAGGGGAACAATCAAGGAGGAAGGGGGAGAGAGCATGCCAACGTCACCCGGAACAGGCGATGAGCATTCGTCTTCTTCGACGAGCACGCCTATTACGATGAAACCCGTGAGACCACCAAAGACACGGCATCAGCAAACTTCAAGCATTTCGGCATCTGCGAGCTCCCTAACGAGCAACACCTCCAACACAGTGTTGCTCTCCAATCCGTTTGGCCCAAAGATTGCTCGAAGCACAGGCTACGCACCCTCATTGACTGCGTCGGTATCAGAGCCAGCTTCTGCGAGCGCATCAGCCTCCGCGTCAGCGGCAGAAGAAACGCCGCCCGGCTCCAGCGACGGACTACACATCGCCCCTCCTCCCTCTTATCCTCCAACTCACACACATCCGTCTGCCTCTCAAGGGTCCTTCACCTACGCAAACCCAAACACGCACATCAATACATCCAGCCTAATGAGCTCAGGCGCCTTCTCCCGCCCACCGCGCAGCGCAGGAGGTCAAAGCATGGAAGGCTCCGACGGCGGCAGTATGCAAGAGGAAGAATACACCACAGCACTCCCGGCTTTCTCCAAAGACGCATCCAATAAAGAGCGCAAAGAGCGCAGCTTCCGCATACCGTTCCAGAGGAGACGCAAGGATAAAGAGAAGGAGAAGGGTAAAGATCGCGAACGGGATCGCAGCGCCGAGCGAAGCGAAAGCGGCGGCAGAGGCGGAGGCAGCGCGATGGGAGAGTACGGCAGCTCGAGGGCTAGAACGGGTGCCGAGGGCGCTGAGTTCTGACTAGATGGTTGGTTTACCGGGCGGTATTCGACTAAGGGTGAGAGCGTGAAATCTCTCACGAAGAACGAAATCAGGCGCCGCAAGAGCGCCGGGGAGCTGTAGGAAAAAAAGAAAGAGCGACATAAAAGCGCACAGCGAGCCGCCTCTACCCTTATAACGGGATGAAACGCACCGCCGTCGTCTTTCTTACCCACACGGCACACGACCCCACACCACGATCACACCTTTCTAGATACAAGGGAGGAAAGTTGTTTAACTCCACGTTTGTTTACTTTTTCTCCTCTCTCTCTCTCTCTCTCTCTCTATCATCACGCTTTCGCACCTATCGTTGCCGCATTTACAAAAGCGTTCCAGCGTTTCTCTTTCTCCTTCACGGCGTGGGTCGGTGGTTGGGTGGGCGGCGGAGTGAGTGCGTTAGTTAGTTTACCACCAACCAACCAGATCGATTCGACTCGAACAGCGACGATCTATGACTTTTGGCAGACATCCCCCCTTCTGGATGAAACGACGATTGATGAACTGGGTTGGTGTCGGCCGGTCGGGGCAGGACGGACTATTTGCTTGCTGTTGGTTATCCCCGTTTGTGCTCTTTTTTGCGTAGACGTGTGTGTGCTTGGAGCGACGCTTATATATCTTTTTTTTATTGTCTGTCTGGCTTGCATATATATTATGATATCAACATGGTGCTGAGTCATCTTTTACGTTATGAGTGTGTTGCTTGCTTCTTTTTTTGGTGGTGATGTCTGCTGGGCGGGTCTGGTTGGAATGTGATGCTTCCATCTACTTATCCGTGGGTATATTCATTCCAAGATTGTTGTTCTATAAAGTGAATGAAGGAATGAACTTGGACGGACCGATACAGAGTAAGCGAATGTTGCGGGCGCAGTGCCGCGTCGAGGGTCATAGTTTGGTTTGGATTCATGCTTTTTTTGAGTCGTTGAAGTATCGTACTACCACAGGAATGCACTTGTACCTTCAGGCTCCCCTCGCCCGCCAGCGCCGCCTCCGTAAAGGCCCGCCTGAAGCAGTGTCGCCGCCAATCCCTGCCCCACGCTCAATCAAAGTTGAACGCGTTCTTATACGCCTTCTTCTCCCTCTCCTTCCGCTCCTTAACCCTCTTCCTCACGCTCTCCAACTCCTTCATAATCGCCGCATCGCCCGGCGCATACTTCTGTGCCTCATGCAGGTCCGCCAGCCCATCCTCCTCGTTCTTCTTACCGACTCGTGCTTGCGCGCGCCTGAAGTACGCCTTGGCTTTATCCTTATCCGCAATGCCCTCGATTTCTAGGGCTTTGCTAGCGTTCTCTGCAGCTTCGTTGAATTGGCCGACTTTGTTCTGGAGGAGGGCAGAGTTGGAGTAGAGGATGATTTTGAGGGCATTGAGGTTGGCACCGAGGTCTGCGGGGTCCGAATCTAGCGGTGTTGGGTATTCGTGCAGGTAGCGGAGGGCTTTTTGGTACTTGGTGATGCCGAGGTTGAGATCTCCCTTTTTGAAGGCTGTGTTGCCTAGGTCTTTGAGCTCGGTAGCAATTTTGAGGATGTCGGTGCCTTTCCATTCTGAGTCGGCGGGCTTCTGGTCCTCTGGGTAGTCCTCATACGGGTCGCCGGTCGCATCTGAGACCTTCTCCGTGGCCTTTTCGTAGTCTTCGCCGGTGAGCTCTCCGCAGTCTGCGGATAATTAGTCCCGAAGGCATTCACGGCGCCATGCTGAAGGGGAGACTTACCGAGAACGGTAGCATCATGCCATGGCTTGTCACCGCTTTGGGTCTTGAGATTCTCGACCTGCCGTACAATGCTCTTGCCGTTGATGACCTCACCGAACACGACGTGCTTCTTATCTAGATGCGGCGTTGGGACTGTGGTGACGAAGAACTGCGAGCCGTTTGTGCCTATCAGCCGTTAGTGCCTGGTCCTGATCCAAGAAGCAACTCCAAGGAGAGTAAGGCAGCACTGGGCCCTGAAGCATATCAGGCACCCAAATCCCAGCCTCTCTCCCGCAGTCCTCTTCATGACTTACCCGGCCCAGCATTCGCCATACTCAGCAAAAACGGCTTGTCATGCACCTTCTCGAAATTCTCATCCTCAAACTTCTCCCCATATATGCTCTCCCCGCCCGTCCCATTGCCCTGTGTGAAGTCGCCGCCCTGTATCATGAAGCCTTTGATGACGCGGTGGAAGATAGAGCCCTTGTAGTAGAGGGGCTTGCCCGATTTGCCGACTCCTTTCTCGCCAGTGCAGAGCGCGCGAAAGTTCTCGGCGGTTTTGGGGACGACTGTGGGAGGTCAGTTGAGGAACTTCTGGAGGCTGTTTACGGAAGCGGTGGAGGATTTAGGGTGGACGTACTATCATTGTACTATAGACTTGTTAGCTCAAACATCCTTGACTCTTTATCGCGGTATGTGTGGCACTCACCAGCTCGAAAGCGACCCGTCCAGCCTTGACGCCGCCAATCGCAATGTCGAAGAACACCCTCGGGCGCCCTATGCTCACACATTAGCACGTCTCCCCTCTCCCATTCCCAACCTCTCCCAACCACTCTACAAGCTTAGGGCACATACTAGTATCCGAAGCCATTTTCGCGGCTCAATCGCACTCGCAATGCCAGTCGCAACCGTGTTCTAGCTTCAGCAGCAGCTCTGACTGCTGAGCGCCGGTGTAGAGAGAGGAGATCCTTCGCAGGCAAGTCGTCGACAAACGCAGGCAAGAAGACAAAGAAGAGTAAAAGCGTTCTCGTTTGTGGGGTGAGTGCGTGAGGCTGAAATAGAAGAAAAAGAAGAAGCTGCAGCAAAAAGCTACCAGAACTTTCTACAGGTAGCTCCTGCGCGCCAAGCGGTCCCTGCAGGTCAGGCAGCCGCAAACCACCCAATCACTCTTCCTGCAGTAAGCAAGCCGGTGAGATCCTCGAGCTGGAGCTAGAAGCAGGGAGCAGAAGCAGGAAGCAGCAGCGTTCAAAGTGAAATCTAAATATGAGAGCAAGAGTCATGAAGCTTCCGCGCGTGATGGAGGGGCATGGCGGGGTACACGGATGAACTGAGAACCGTGCCCCCCGCATGAAGTTCGCAACGACTTCCCAGCAGAGGCAAGCTTTCGAGATCAAATGAGATCTCGCATATCCTAGCCTCGGGATATCCGTCCAGTCACAGCGGCGATCAGGAATTCTTGGGAAGATCTCGTAATGCAACTGAATTCGCACACCTGAACTTGACTCAATCCGCCTCCTCTAGGTGCATTCCTTCCAGAACCCGACGCTAAGGATGTAGGGGTATTGTATGCTGGTGATAGACAAGAAAATAGTAAGGTAACCTAGAACCATGCTGAATCCATGTATGCAAACAGTGAGGTGAACCTGCCCCAGGAATCCATACCCTCGGTCCTCCCATCTAGCTCCTCCCCGACATTGAGAATGGCAAGCAGCGTGAAACCGCTTCATTCTCGTCGAAGTGATGCGTGAAGCCACCTTGGAGAACTCGCCTCAAAGCATTGAGCCTCTGAAGCTTCCACCACTTGTCGATGCGGACCTCGACGCTGCGATTGATCTTCACTCTCATTCTGCCTCCGTAGGTTCTTCCAGTCTCCTGGTCGAGCGCTGTGGAATATTTCGGTCCACGCGTGGGCTTCTCGACGGAGTTGCGGATGTCGGCAAAGTTGGAATGGAGTGTTTTCCGATCCTTTTTGGAAATCCTCCGGGTTGAGACGGTGGCAAGCTCGTCGAGGGAATGGAGCAGCTGATCCTGTCTTCGGTAGACATCGTATCGCTTGACCATCTTTTGCCCATGGTCCGCTTCCTCGTCATCAGACTCCTCGTCCGAATGCTCCTCGTCATCCTCGCGCGGCGTGTACGATTTCTCGTATAGTAGCGCAATGTTCTCACCAGCAGCGATCTGAACACCAGCATCCGAGCTCTGAAGTTGGTCTACGAACGCCTCGATCGCTGCTTCGGTGGCCTCTTCAAGGTCGTCGATCTCTGTGGCAAGCAAGCCCCATTCCTCGAGGGCAGCAATAACTACAGATCCCTCGTCGTGAGCCTCGACCGAAAGCCCGTCTGACTCTACGATCTCGAGGAATAATGTCATCAAATCCTCCATTTCTTCATCAGAGGCTCCACCGAAGAAGGCAGCGGTGCCAAGAGCGTGAATGGCGCTGATCTTTGTCTGCACGGATTCGGAGTCGGAGATTATGCGCTTGAGAAGGTCGGCAACTGAATCGTAGATATCTTCGGAATCGAGAGTGATTACCGTCGCGGCGAGTGCTGCGGTATGTTAGCTAAGCTCCGTGCAAATTGGGAGTGAATAACCCACCTCTCAGAGCCGTGACAGTCTCGCGCTCGGTCGTCTCCGCCTTGATGCTCCTCAGTATCGACGGCAGCAGCTCGCTCATGCGCGGGTCAATCTCGTCCTTTGCGTATCGCGCCATGAGGAAGTGTGCGTAGCTGTTCAGGCTGTCGGCACGCCCCTCGGTGCTGCTGCGCTTGCGGTCGACAATCTGCTCGATGCGGGTTTGCAGCTCCGACTTCCACGCGTCGACAGGGATGTCGGCATCTTCGCTGTTGAGAATATCGTCGATGGAGTTTGTGCTGCTCGACAGGTCAGTCAGCGAACCCGTCGTGTCGGAGTCGTAGTAGTAGCGGGTCATGATGTCAGAGAAAGCGCGTCGCGAAGCGTAAGCCAAAAAAAAGAAAAAAGAAAAACAAAGTGAGGAACACCAAAACTTACCTCCAAGCGGTACCGTCGCTAAGATATTCCTCATCGTCGGACCCATGTCGGCTGGGATTGCGCGAGTTGGCCCTGGACTGCGCCGGGGAGTTCAATCTCGAGTTGGCCTTTGACGACGTGGTCGACACCTGGCGCGAGCGGGCCTTGCGCGACACCGTCTTTCCGCTCTCGAGCGCCCGTCGGCGGAGGTCGTCGTGCATGGCGAAATGAACTGTATGGGTATTTGGCGGCTAGAGCGGGCTCCCAAGGGCAGAATACGGTAGGCAAGCCTGTAAAAGGCGGCGGATTGATGAGCTGGCGTGTCTCTACACCGACTCGTCAAATGCGGGGCCCCGGGGTAAGGGTAAAGCGCAGCTATTGCAGTGGTAAGGAGTCGCGAAAGGCAGTTGAGGTGTAGTTCAGGAAGTGTTGAAGCGACATGAGTCAGAGCCGTAGGCAGCAGAGTTGTTGCGTGGAGTTGGAGAAGAGGGCACAGTAGAAGCGTGAGTTGGTGCGCGGGTGGTGTCGAACGGTCAGGCGGAGATGTGGAAGACTAGACTCCAGGGCTGCTCGTGGGAAATGCCGGAATCTGGGCTCTTGTGCGCGCCAAGCCGCTCCAGCCGAGACACATCGCCACATGTCACGCCGCCGGGTGGCAGGGCAGACGGCTCAGGGCAGAGGCCACACTTCGCTCTCTCGTGCGAATAACGATGCCCGTCTCCGCCCTGCATGTGCTTTCTCAGCGTTGTTAGGCCCGGCAGCAGCCACAGCCAATCTCCAGACGTTAAACCCGGACCCCACGATCTGGCTCATCTTAGTACTGACGACTCAGCAGGCGCTTTAAATACCACCCCTACACTATTCGCAGCCATTAGCTAGTCGTTGGTCGCATTGCCTTCTTGTTCAAGCAGGCGGGAGGAAAAGAGGTGGTGAAGCGGTCGCAAATGCGAGCTGCACGCCATATACGGCGCAGGACACGGAACACCGATGCCATAATGCGGCGCATCCGACCGTCGGTCTGCGAATGCGGTCGAACCTTATGCTGACGTCGACTCACTGAAGGATGGCGGCACAGCTGGGTACTTCCGTCTCGCCCGTCCCGTGACCGCTGCTGCACCTGGACATGCTGTTCCAGCTCCCTGAGACAGCATCGTGGCTCATTCGCGCTTCTCGAAAAGTCAAAGCAGGTGGGAGCCGGTCTAACGGGGAATGAAGTACTGTGTACAATTGCCTATCAAGGAAAGAATGCAACAAGGGCCGCATTGGAGCGGAGCAAGAATCAAACTCCTCCAGATCCCCTTCGCCTGGAAATGCGTCCGATCGCTATGCAGTGACAAATGCTGTAGAATACATCATGGTCCTCCTCTTGAAATGACTGTCCGCCAATCTCTCCATTGCTGAAAGTCGACAGATCGGGGCAGTCCTGTGCGGAGCACCGGTACGCGACTCGAACCGTGCTCCGCGACCGATCCTGGGTGCACATCAGATCGCGCACGTTCTCCCCATGTCCGACCGCCGGCGAAACTGCCTTGCCGCAGACGGCCTATCACCGTGCGATGCACGCTACGCAACGTTGTCCCGAAATGGTAAAGGTGTATACAACATCGTCGACAAGCCCTGGAGCTTCCCAAAGTCTGCCTTCCAACCACACCGTCTATCCAGCTCCTCTTTTCGCCCTGGCACCTCTCGTCCGCTTGCTCACCCGATAGTCCGTCCTGTTTGTTTCAGGAAACGTTGCGGCGCAAGCGGAGTGAAGGGCTGCTTTACTGGTAGTTCGGCAGGCCTAGTGGGTGAGCACTGCGCTCACCAGGTCTGCGCTTGGGGATGTCGATGTGGTGGAAGTTCCGCAGGTGCTCGACGAGGTGGTCGCGGCGCGTGAATCCCTTGTCGCCCACCCGCGTGCAGTCTTTCACCGTGCAGGGGAAATCAGGAGTGCCGACTCCATGTACGGTGGATTGGTGCCGTTGCAGGTCTGCGAGCCGGGTGAAGTTGGCGCTTGAGGTGCAGTTTGGAAGGTCGCATCTCCAGGTCCTGTTGTCTCGAGTTAGCACTTGTATGCAGGAGATGCTGAGCGTCGATGATGATGATTATTGTGTGGCAGGAGGGATGGTGGCGTGCTACTTTACTAAGGGGCGGTAGGTACCTCGGGCTTTTGCTCCTGCTCCAGCCGTCAGTCTTCCGTGATCTCCTTATAGATACTGGCATTGTCTTGGGAAGGTGCTAACCTTTGTGTTTCTGGGACGATAGCAAGGTTGCCACCCGCGTACGCCGATGTGTAGCCCGAAGTTGTGCTGGCCGTCGTGGTATAACTGCTCGGGACGACAGCAGCAGGTTGAGCGTAGTAGCTATCGGCGATTACTTGGTATGGCTGCGGGGGATAGCAGCCGTACTGCTGATAGTAGGCATTGATTTGGGATTGCGTGTACTGTGGTACAGGGTAGGCTGTCGCTTGGGCGTAGTAGCCGGATTGGTCACCCGACGAGTACTGCAGTCCACCATATTAGCAATCGCGGTATCGGGCGCAATCCCGCGCCGAGGGCATAGGGCTGAGATTATACCCCATATCCAGACATGGTGGGCAGTGGGTTCCCGGTTCTGCAATGGACGTTCTTAGGCGCGAGTAGTGCCGGGCGAGAAAAAGGCAGCGGGCGGGGAAACGGGCGGAATGGTACGCGATAGTTCGTTCGTGCGAGTGAAGGAGACAACAATGGAGGCCTTTAAATGAGCATGAAGTAGCCCTTTGTTGTCGTATGAGTCAGTGCTGTTGGTCTGGATTGCTGCCTTCGATGCTGGTTCTCGTACGGAGAGCGTGCTGTTGTTTTAAATATCAGAGATATGCCCCCAGATCGTGTCACTGCCCCCAATAGTCTCACTCAATCCTTATACCAACCTACGAGTCTACCGAGATCCAAATAACCAAGTCCGTGGCTGGTGAGCCACACAAAAACCCCCACAAATCCTTCCACCGCTCAGTGGTATAGCAATTAGGAGCCACCACAGGCTGAGTTATCCCCCTACTACGCGGTGAAGAAAGGCCGATGTCGACTGTGCCGTATGTCGAGCGGGATGGAAGGATTAAGTTGTTCTAAGCTTGAGGCTATGTTGGCCATATCCAGGTGTATGAACCCGCACGTACCGACTCCGATAGGGCTGACATTCGGGCGAAAGATTGAAAGCATTTGCGGCACGACCGTTGCCGTGGAGCGAAGGTGCACCATAGAGCTGTTCTGAGAGTGAGGCAGGGACTTGTGCATACGTCAACTACCGCACGGCTGCACTGAGCACGACAAAAATGGTCGATCCTCCCGTGCAGTCATTCCTCCCGTCTTATGTTGTGCATGCAATCTTAAGCGCTTTGGGCACCGGTGAGGTGTTTTGGCCCTGCAGAGACGGGAGCGAGACAAGATGCCAAGAAAAGTAATGCTCTCCCAAATGGAATGAAGTGCACTCTGGTACTCCGTTTGTAATGACGACTACCTTCCAAACTGTGGATATCGACAGCCTTCACCGCCAGGTACGTAGCCGAATCGCCCGGTGAGGGCATCTGCGTATGCCTTACCGCTTGGTAGGCATCCAACCCTGCTAATGTTGCCCGGCAGCATGGAGTCACGCCGCAGGTAGGGCGCTTCGAGAAGCCTTCCTATATCGTGAGAATGTCTCTCCCTAAATGCGGGCCGCTGCGTTACCTCTATGCTAACTCAGCGGGGCAGTGGTTGGTCACACATGTGTGAACCTGAAACAGAGCAATCGGATGTTGCCTGGCTTTGGTGGCGAAAGGCTCCCAATTTGCGAGCCACGGAGCGACCGTGCTAGACCACTACCATTGCCATGCACAGCTGCTATGACGGAGTGTCCGGGTTCATGGTCATCAAACGCCCGGTCGCTTGCTGTGCCCTTTGGTTGTTCATTCCAACTGCGAAACGGATAAGCGTTGAGCCGTCTCGCCGGAGAAGCTACTCGTAGATTTTGCGGTATCAACCTTGTGCTTTGTCATTCGTGCGAGTGGCAGCTTTGCGTTCGAGGGAGCGTGAGGACTTCATGCACCAGCGGCGCCACGGACAGGACCATCAGCCACGGACGCCACGGACGTTGACTCGCTGCTGATCAACGAATGGCGTTTAGGCGAATAAGCGGGCTGAACGGCGGGATCTGAGGGTTTGGGGGCGGACAATTTGGAGCAGCAGTGCGGACCAACGAGATGCGGCAGCTGCAGTATTAGGTCAGAATACGCCCGACCAGGTTCAGATACGTATCTTCAGACCGAAATAATCCGGAGCAAGATGCAGCCTTGTGCAGAGCATCTTTCCTTTACGAGCTCATCTGACAATCTGAGCACGTCTCACCGCAAATTCGCTTTGCCCTGACATTGATCACTAAATAACCTGCACAGATTGGTTAACGCGCACCATGTCATTTGTGAAGGGCCACGGAGTGCATGCGCATCGGAGAACTGCCCAGGAGGGCCCAATTGACTGACTACTTAATACCTCATACATAATTGCACTACCGTCATTCGAAACTAGCTTTGCCGGGACACGTCGTGCGGACGCTCAGAGTTCGTCTTCCAAGAACTTGTAGGCGAACCTGAAATCAGCTTTCCGACGATTCATCCTGCGGGATGTTAGCGCATTTGCTAGACTGAGGCGTAACGGTAGGAGGCAAGCGAGTTGTGGCGGGGCGGTGAAAGGATTAGGTGCTTACCACGTGCTCTCATAGTCGAAGAACCTGTATGTTCCCTGCTCATAATCCTCAGTAATAGCCTTGGGTTCCTCGTGACGTTGGAACCACGTTTGATACTGCTTGTGGAACCTCCAGCTCTGAGATTTCAACGCCTTGGCGGCGAGATACTGTTGGTATGTCCCTTGGCGGTAGTAGAACGCATAGAACAGAGCGTCTGTCTCAATGCGCGAGTACAAGCGAGGGTCGTCGAAAATAGCCAGCGGCTCTTGCGGATAGTGAGAGGGTGTGTATGGGTAGGGATTCTGTGGTCGATAGTGTCTTGGAGCCTCCGTGTCGGCGGAATCGGGTGCAGTGGCCATCGATGCGGCGAGCATGCGCTCATCCGGGGGCTTGGATGACGAGGCAGTAATGTCGTTCTTAGTAGCTTCGAACGATTCAAGGAGATCCTGCAAGCTTGACGGGAGGTGGTAGACCGACTCCTCTTCCTCGTCTTCGACGTGCGACTCGCCATTGGTCAATGGTGGGGTGGCTGATTGCGATCCTTCCTCTTCGACACGTTCGGGGGCCGACGCCTTTCTGCTAGACCGGCTTGCATCGTCTGATGAGGCGGCACGTGACAGCGCTTCCTTCTCCGGGGCGACGGTGGCTGGAACGCTGACAGTTGGTGCCGGAGATTTTGTCGTCTGCACTTGCTGCGCGGAGTCGGCACTCGTTGTTTGAGGCCGTGATGCCGGCTGGGGATGCGAGGGGGCCGGGGACGTTGTTGCGCTTGTCCGTGCGCCGGCCGGAGCTAGTGCTCCCTGTGCCGCAACAGCTCCCGGTGGTGGTGGCAGTGGTGCGATGCCGACCCCGTTCTTATCGCTTGCGGCTGCCGCCGCGGCCGCCGAGGCGTACTTTAATGGTTCACCTGGTGTTCGTGTTGGCAGTGGGGCAGGCTTCATGGAATTGGCTGCAGAGTTCGAGACACCAGGTAACGGTGTGTGTAGCGTAGCCAGTGCGGGCAGCGGGGACTTGAGCTGTGTTGACGGTCTGCGTGTTCCTGTTTGTGAGGCGTCTGCGGACTTTCCCTTCGCGCCGGATATCGATGGCCGGCCTTCTACCTCCGCGACGTCGTCCTGTATTGACTGAGTGTCCTGTGACGACACCCGGTCCATGTCCTGTCCCAGGCCGAAGATGGCCTCCTCCTCTTGCAGATTGATGTCGTCGTAGATGGTGTCGTCTTCCATAAAGTCGGGTTCCTGGTTGCTCTCGACATAGTATCGAATGCTCTCCTCCAGCTCTCTGACCTGTTCTGTCTCGACATTACTGTTCTCCAGCGCTCGCTGCAGCAATTCTAGCTTATTCTGATGCCATTTATGCCGTTCTGCCGTCTCTTCTAGCTCCGATATCCGATCCGCCTTGGCGCTGTCCTTCTTCCGCTTCATGGTGGCCTGCAGCACTTCCATCTCTGCCTCGATCGTCTCCACCTGCCGCTCCAGCTCTTCGTTCATGTGCTGTAGGAACTCCACGGTGTCCATCTTCTCCTTGTCTTTCGGGTCGAGCTTCGATGCTAATTGCAGGCCTTCTTTCGAATATGCCTTCGTCTTCATTTCCTTCTCGACCGCCTTGAACCTCTCCATTTGCTGCGAGCCATCAGCATCCAGCCAAGCGAGAGGGAAATGGACTGCATACTGTTTCTATTAGCTTCCGCTGGTCGAGCAGCGGCTTCTTGTCCTTGATGTCGCTCATGGTGGCCCATGTCTTGATCTGGTCTCGCGACCGCTGGAGCTTCTTGATCTCCTTTTTCAGCGAGTCCTCCAGCTTCTCTTTCTGTGACTGGTTTGTTGTCTGCTGTATCTTCTCGTGGATGCTCTCGAAGGTCGCCACGCCCTCGGCGACCTTCTTGAAGCACTTGTCGATTTCCTGCTGGAGCTTTCGCGCTGCCATGGCGTCGGCGGAGCCTCGTGCGCGAGGTGCGGCGGCGGACCTAGTGCGGGGGTCAAATCGCTCGGAGCGATGTGGGCAGCTTGATTCGGGGCGAGCGCGCAATTGTTTGCTGCTGGCCGGTGGTCGAGGGCGTGTTTGTCGTAGGCTTGACGGACACGGAGGTTGAATGCGTATCTGTAGGTAACGCGCTTCGGGGCTAGCGCCGTCGATCAGCGATGCCGCTAACGCCTTGGCGGCAGCCATTCACCCCGCGTCGAAAGCGCGCTGGAAACCTCCCCCAGCGCGCGCCTTGTCTCCATGCGATCATGGCCACTGCCGCCTATCTCAATGGACAATAGCACTGGATCTGGATTCTGCCTGGTCTTTTCCGTTGCACGCGTATTCGAAAGCGCTGCTGCCGCTTAGAGCAGTCGCAACCGGCCCACCAACCGCCTCAACACCCGCTCTGGAAGCTACCCCGCCATCATGAGGAGTATGCCCGCCCATTGCATGCACATGACGCCCGCTGACAAAGACCAGCCGTACTGCAGCGCGTGAAATCCGCCTCTGTCACCGTCGATGGCCAGCTCATCTCCTCAATCGGCAAGGGCATGCTCGTGCTCGCCGCCATCTCCAAGGACGACACGGAAAAGGACGTCGAGTCGATGGCCGGCAAGATACTGAAAGCGAAACTATGGGACGACGAAGACAAGGAGCCTGCACTCCGCGTGAGTAGCCGGACAGTCAGGCCGGTGACACAAACGCTGACTGCAGCAAGTGGAAAAAGGGCGTCATGGAGATCGGAGGGGAGGTCCTCTGTGGTAAGGAGCTCATGCTGCCGGACCAGCGTATGTGGTGGTTAACGGCATGCAGTCTCCCAATTCACGCTGCTCGCTTCCGTGAAAAAGGGCAACAAGCCCGACTTCCACCAGTCGGCAAGCGGCCTCAAAGCGAAGACGCTCTATCAAGCTTTCTTCAAGAAAGTGCAGGACCTCTATGAGCCAGATAAGATCAAAGACGGCGTTTTCGCAGCTATGATGGACGTAGCACTTGTCAACGACGGGCCGGTAGGTATAGACTACACCTGTCTGGACAATGAGGTACACCCTCAGCATCTTTCACCCTGCCCCGGCTTACGAAGCACGCTAACAACCCGACCTAGGTCACTATTCAAATCGACACAAACCCTCCAAAAATGGACGACCCAACCTCCCTCGGCCCAAGTGGCGTCGGCACGCCCAGCAGCAGCACCGCCTCAACTGCTGTCGACGTGAATGATTTAGTCAACAACATGACTAGGATTACGAAAGAGTTCAAAATACCAGTCGAGCTTCTCGAATGAACTATGATACCATTGTTACGCTATACTATGCAGCGAATCGACACCCGATTATAGCAACACGTCGATCAGTGAGTGAAGAGCGCATGAGCAACGACATCCACGACATTACCACATTACCGGGAGCTCCGTGATGCCAACATCTTTGTCCGGCGGCGTCCACTTGATCTCTTCGAAGGGGATTGCGAGTTTCAGAGCAGGCAGTCTTTGGAAAAGCGTCGCTAAAGAAGTCAACGTGGTCAGTGTATTTTTGCTTCAGATGGGGTTCATGAGACTTGGGCCAATGAAGACTTACCGAACACAATCTCCAATTCTGCCCGCGCAAGCGGCTCCGCGACACACCGATGCTCTCCCCATCCGTATCCCATCGCCTTGTACCAGTCCTCGCCGCGCCCACCCTTCTCTTTGTTTACGAATCGCAGAATGTCAAATGTATCTGGGTCGGGAAATACATCCTCGTCCCGACTTGCAGATTGAGTGGCAGCAATGATGCCCTCGCCTGCCTTGATCGTATGCCCAGCAAGCTCAATATCGACTTTCGCTACTCGCCTGGTAGCCATGGCAGAACCAGTATGATATCGGCACAGCTCCGAGACGAAAGCTGGGGAAAGGGAAGGATCGGCTTTCAGCATTTCGAGCTGGGAGGGGTTTCGGAGAAGAGCTACCACGCCCAAGTTGATCATATTGACCATCGTGGCATTGCCCGCGACCAGCATCAGGAACGCGATTTGTACTGCATCAGAGCGCTCAATGTGCCCGGGTTTGACTTGCTCGGTAACGAGTTTGCTGATCAGGTCGTCTTCTGGCTTTTGGGCTCGCTGGTCGACTAGCTTGCCTATGTAATCTAGAAGGGTCCTACCAAGCCTCATGTCAGCATTCTCACATCGACACATGGCAACCTTCTTACATACTTATTCGCATTGGAAGCCTCGGTTGCTGTCGCGCTACCATTGCTCCGGATGGCATTCTGTTGCGTAAGAAACTCAAGGTCTTCGAAGGGAACGCCTAATATCCCATAAATGATCTAGGTCGGTGAGTTTATCTCATTTGCAAGCATCAATGGGCACCAGGACTCACGTATGACGGTAGCGGTAAAGCGAATTTCTCAACAAGATCGACCGGCTGCTCACACCCACCCTGAACCATAGCATCAAGCAGCATGTCAGCTGTTTTCTGTATATGCGGCCTGAGCCTGGCGACGGCGTCATAGGTGAAGAGTGGCTCCACCATGCTCCTTGTCCCTGTCAGCCATCTGGGATGGGTGTGGAGATGTTCAGATCTACCTTTGCTGCATATGCCGCGGAGGATCTATATCCACGAAAGTCGGCTTATTCTTCGCAGCCTCTTTCCCACCAGCACTCATCTCCGGGAATCCCGGTCGCGTACGCTCCTACCACAACTGTTACCCACCTTGCTCATTCCCAGACCTGATAGTGTTTACATACCTTCGACAATCGGGCATCGGTCAAGACGCTCACGACGTCCTTATGCTTCACAACTAACCATGGCTGGCTGCCGTCCCAAAGTTGTACTCGTGAAACTGGGTTTGTGGCTCGAAGCTTTGCGTATTCGGCGGGTGGATCCCAAGCTTGGGGGCGGGCGAAGGGGAAGCTTGGTGGTGAGGACATTGGGGTGGATGATGAGAAGGCTCTCAAAAGATGGGCCGCGGTGGTAGAACGACGCGTCGAACGAAAGAGGGTAGAAGCGCGTGAGGAGATGAACATGTCAATTCTTAGCAGTGCAGAATCTCAGTCCACACATCAGTCGCTCATATTTATACCCCCAGCCTTCCCAAAGCACGGAGCCAAGTGGCCGCTGCAGCAAGGACGACAACATCGTACGACTCTCATGCTCCGTCATCTTGACCGCGTCTTCCGTTACTGCATGTATGTAACCGTTTCCACAATTTTACCATCCTTGAACTCCCGTCCAAGTCAGTACCTCCACGTTTTCCACGGAGATGCATTCTGCAGGCCCGGCGCAATGATAATCCGTCGGTCCGAAGTAAGTGTCACGCCTGGTTCGGGCAATTATGCACTTAGTAATGAGGAAGCTGTCGTACGAAGTCGTATTGGGTGAGTAAGCACGTTCGGATGGTTTTCGGTTACTATGGGAGTGCTGCTAGAGGTCGATTGGGGAGTAGGGGAGGAGCCAGGGCCAGGATAGCTGGGTGTGGACGGCGGGGAATGCAGCGCTGTAGGAGGTGGGGTGATGTGCTGATTCAGGCGTTGCGTGCGTCAATGGGATATGAAAGTCGGGAAACGTCGAGGAAGAAGTGCCGCGAGATCTATCCGCCCTGTAGTAGACGTTGCCGTTTTCCCGTCCTAAGCCAGGGTCACTCGTTTCGAGAGCATTATATTCTTCCTGCTTCTCCAGCCGTTGATTCCCGAGCAGTTGCTCTCAACGCCAGCTCGTCTGGTATCGGAAAGCCGATTGCTCCATATGCAGCATTCCCGAAACTACGAACGAGAGGAGGCGAGTGTTACTCAGGCAGAATACGCTCTCAGGTACAACATGGGATTGACAGAACAGAGGGAGCTAAGCCCAATCAGGTAAGGAGCGACCCAACCTCTTCCTGAGGTTCCCTCGAAGTTGGGCTTCCTACCTACTCCAACCCTCTTAGCTTTCTTCCATGCGTATAGGTTGACTTTAGCACATTGGTATTGTAGCGCACCTTTTCCGAACCTACCAACGGAGGCCGCCATCGACAGGACGCGTTTTCCGCATTCCCTGCCTAGAGACGGTGCACCGAACGAAGAAAGCGAAAGCATCTGGGCATCCGCTCTGGAAGTCTCGCTTATCTTCTTCACTCCGCCGCGTCTTTTAAGCCATGCCAAGGGTGCTCTTAAGCAACGTCCAGTTACAGCCGTTTGCGCAGCAGAGTCCTCGCATGGACTTTCCCCTTTTGGCGTAATGCTGCTGCAAGGTGTGGCCCTATGGAATGCCTATCTCGACTTCATTATTCGACACATCGCGGGCTATTGATAAGCCCTAGCCGAGATGGACGACGAGTAAAGCCTTAAAGAGACGACTGACTTAGAGATGCCGCATTGGTTTGTGCACCCTCATTAACGTCTCAAACATGTCCGAAACCGTGTATGCAAAGCAAGGCTTCAACGATGTGAACCGCTATAAGCATCAAGGTACCTAGAAGTTGCATCTTTGAAGTCTTTACTTGCTAATACTCCCAGCGACATATGATGTCGAAACTATCCACGCAATTGTGAACAACACCCCGGTCCTCCATGTATCGTTTGTTCCAGATCCAGCGATCCCAGCTCCCGTCGTCTTGCCCATGATTGGCCAGCTAGGTCTATATCCAGGCGACGAGTCCAAGGGCGAGCTCGACTGGAAATGCTATCTCCACGGCTACGTCAGCTCCCGGCTCATGAAGCTCGCAGACGACGCAGTAAAGCGAGGCGAAGAGGGACTACCGCTGTGTGTGGCCGCTACGAAAGTCGACGGCTTCGTTCTCACGCTTACGCCAAATTCACACAACTACAACTATCGGTCCGCGGTTCTGCATGGTTTCGGCACCGTCGTTGAAGATGTTGAGGAAAAGATCTGGGCGATGAAGCTCATCACCAACTCAGTAGTCCCAAATCGGTACGACAACACGCGGGTTCCGCCTGACGGTGCAGAGATGCAGTCTACCCGCATCCTGAAGTTGAAGATATCCGGTGCGAGTGGCAAGGTTAGGGAAGGCGTGCCGGAGGATGAGCGGAAGGATATGAAGAGGGAAGACGTTCTCGACTCGGTGTGGACGGGAGTCATTCCGGTCTACGAGAAACTAGGAGAACCACAAGCCGGACCTTACAATCGCGTCAAGGAGATACCGGAGCATGTGCGACGGTTTGTTGATGAGGAGAATGAGAAGAGGGAGCAATATGCGTTCAATGCAGCGGGCAAGCCTGCTCCTTTGAAGCGGCCGAAGAAGAACGATGAGAACTAGCGAGCAGAGTATATCGGGTGAGTAAGCCACCCTTTCTATTGCGCAGGTCACTTCTTATCAGTTTCGTAGCGCCGTTAATTCGACGATTGGGATGATGGACCGAGAATCTGGTGATTGTGCTTGCATATACGGAGTCTCTTTTACAAAGGTTGTATAAACTGTCAGAGCGTCCTAACATTCTGTTTGCAATCTATTGTAGGCCACTTCCGCCCCTGAGTCACCCGCCCTCGAGGTCGCCTCTTTCTCATCCGCCTAATCTAGATGCGTTGTGTTGAATAGGCGATGGCCCGTATCGGTGTTTCCTCTACCAGTGTACTTGTTCTCAGAAAGACGCAGTGCGATCAGACTCAGCTTTTTGTCCTTCTTTAGTAGAGATCCGAAGCTCGCTTCAGAGAGTACAGCCCCCGCTTGGACGACGCCGGCGACGACAATGATTTGGATATGAGGGTGTGTCTTGCGGACGTGCCGAACGAACTCGACGACGGATTTCCCGCTGTTGACGACGGAATCAACGAGAATAATATTACGTTTGCCGATCATGTGTTCGGCTTCGAGATCTTCCGGCTCCTTGGCGTGGACGAAACTCGCGGTCTTCATTGCTGCGCTCACCCCGAATGCCATGGGCTCACCGCCGCGCATGAGTGGAACTATCAGTGTTTGGCTTTCTGCTCGCAGTCGGTATCCATCTGCGATCTTCCCTTGAACGTGCGGAATGGGTTGCTGCTCGACACCCAGCACGTACGCCAGGAGTTCTGTCGCTAGGTAGAATCCCACACGCTCATGAGCTTTCCTGAGATCGTGTCCACCACTTCTCGCATCCCGCATAGGTGACATGAGGAGTTTGGCTGCGTTTCTGTCCGTGGCGTGAAGGTAGGGTTCGTGGTGTCGAAGAATCCAATTGACTTCCATCTTTCCTAGCTCGAACTTTGGGAGACGTGTCAGGTCCAAGCGCGGCGTCTCACTCTGAGGGAGTATGATTTGCTCAGCATAGAGGCCATCTTCAACGGCTTGTCCGAGACTGTCCTCCATGGATTTACTTCTCTCAGCTTCCTTCCCGACGACTATGAAAGCGTGGTCCGCCTTCTTGAGCATCTCCATATCCAGCGGGCTATCGCCGAACGCGAATACGCGAAGACGTCGAGCTAGAAGTTTGTCGACCAAGGTGCCTTTGAGCGTGCCCGTAACGACAAAGCCGTCGGACAAGCGTTCTCCTGCCACCATACGCACATTAGGCATCACCTCCCTCTTCAGTACCATTTCCCACACGGATCTCAAACCACACGTCAAGACGATGACGCCCACATGATCCCTCTTCTTGGCCTCCTTCAAGAGCTCTACGAACTCCGGATACATTTGAACTTGCGAAGCGACCTCCACGCAGATGCTTTCGAAGTGGTCCGCTTCCTCTTCGTAGAGCAACGTCGCCTGACGGAACGAAAAATACGAGTACCCCGCGCCCGTAAACAGTGTCTTCAACGGGTTACCTCCCTCTCTTCCTTTCTTCGCTCGGACAGCCTTCCAGAATAGGGCTCCGGTGTCCTGGGGAGCGAGGGTCCTGTCAGCATCTAGCACAAGCACGGATTCCATCTTTGGATGGTCTGCAATAAGGTAGTCGATGATTGCCTGCGCTGCAACCGTGTTTCGCACCTCGTTATGGTGTTGGAAGTCGCGCACCATGGCAGTGACTTTGCCGAGCATCGCCTGGCTACCCGGGCGCTCGGAAACGACCGAGAACAGGATCCTCTTTTGGCGGCAAATGTCCCTTAACTGGCTTGCGTCTTCGTCTTGCCACTTTGCTAGATGAGCGATAGATGTGTCCGTGCGCCTCTTCCTCGCGTCATCTTTCCGCCTCTTCGCAATGACCTCCGCGTCGACTCGCAGGTACAAGATATGCGTATACGTCGCCCAATCCGCCTCGGTGCCGATCGTCTGTCCTTTGCCGTCGTCCTCCGTCTCCCAGAACATGAAGTGGCCGGCGACGACTCCGACCTTTCCATTGTTTGCGCACTCCTCTCCGATGAGCTTGATAGCACGTTCGCGGTATTGGCTTTGCTTGTCGGCAGAGAGTTGCTTGAAGTCGTCAAGACCTCTAGGAAGGAGTTCTGCGAGCACGGAAGAGCCGTCGTAATAGGCAAAGGCGGCTTGGCCGAGCTCCTTCTTGAGGTACTCGAGCATGTACGTCTTTCCAGAGCCTGAGATGCCGTAGATCCCAATCACCGTGGGCCGCTCGTTGCTTTCGGTCGTCATCCTGAGTTCTGCGCTTGCTCGATGGGCAACTGAGGGGAAGAATCGGTCGGGTTATATGCTCTTGTAACGGGTAGCTTGGGTGTGGTCCAACGCAAAGCAGCCAGGCGTACAAAGAAAACAGGAAATTGACTGTCAGAAAGTGTACACTCATGATGCTTCTAGAAGTAGACTGTTGCTCGTTGTCTTCCGGCCTTTTCACCTTCTCGAAGGATCCAGTCCTTCAATTGGGCGGTCTAGGTGCGGGCTTGGGCTACAGGAACAAGCGGCGACGTTGACCGCCCCAGCGCATGCTACGGTGAGTGAGCGGGCCCAGAAAGTTACGATTCAGCATTTACGTTTGACCTTTCGTCGCTTCCTGTGCCCACAGCGGCTCTCTGATACGAAACATAAATCAAGCCCTATTCAGGCTCCTGCACTAGATTAGAGAAGGTTGGCGAGGAGCGAGCATTTGCGAGTCGACCATGAGGTAATTACGCCTGTATCCAATGGGCGACGTACTATAGATCGGGTTGAATTCCTTCTCAGACGAATCCAGTATAATCTCACCCCTTTCCAGTCATCTCTCTCGCCCGCAGTACTAGATGTGGCCCGTTGTGGCTAGTGCTGAAGTGATCGTAGAGTTGAAACTCACCCCGCCGGGCGCGGACACCGCCCTTCTTTGCCGACCCGCCGCCAACGTCTCCCTGCTCCCGGGGCGCGTGCTCGAAGTCGAAGTGCAAGAGGACCTTGGCCATGACGAGGCTAGATTCCATGTACGCCATGGCTTTGCCCGCACAGCCGCGCGAACCACTGGAGAATGGCGTGAACGCCCGGTGCATAGTCTTCATTGCCAGCTTAGCATCTTCGGAAGTGTTCGCTGTCTCGTTCCAAAGCCATCGCTCTGGTTTGAAGGCGAATGGGTCGGGAAAGTACTTGGCGCTGTGGTGGATCGAGTAGATGTTCACTCCGACAAAGGTTCCTTTAGGAATAACGTGGCCGTCGATGGCCAAGGGCTCAGGGTCCGTTGATAGAAGCTCTCGCCATAGCGTGCCTAGCACTGGCGGTGAAAAGCGCAGGGCCTCGTCGAAACAGGCGCGGAGATAGCGACAGTTTGAAAGTGCTGGGCCGGTATGGATCTCTACATCGTTCTTGAAGGTCGAGCGAACCTCTTCAGCTACCCGTCTGTAGCAGTCTGGGTAGCGGGAGAGATAGAAGAGGAGTGCACAGAGAGCTGTGGTTGTAGTATCGCCGCCTACATTCGCTTGTTAGTCTCCTTACAAGAGGCCGACTTATTAAGAGATTATACGTACCTGCTGGGAAGAAGAACATCACTTCCTCGGTGAATTCCTCGATCGTGGTAGCCTTGCCAGTCGTAGGGTTCTTCGAATCAAGCATCAGCGAAAAGAAATCCTCGCGCGAATGAATGCCTCTCTCCATCCGCCTACTGATGAGCCCGTCGACCATGGCGTTGAACTTATCACCCCGCGCTATCAAGAAGATTAGAAGCGGAATGTATAGACCGAGCCACTTCACCGTTGGCGCCTGGATGTGAGTGTTGTTCCGCACATGGGCAACCTCCAACCAGCGAATCATCCATCGATACTGGGGATCGGTCTGGAGTTTCAGTGACTCGCCAAATCTCAAGTCGGCAACGACATCGAAGCCAAAGCGATTGCAGTACGTTGTCATGTTGGTCGATTCTTCTCGCTTTCTCGAATGGGCAAGTTGCGTGATCAGAGTGTCGATGTGCCGGATCATAATGGGCTCGAAGCCGCGCATTGATCTCTCTGAGACGCATCTCCCAATGATCTTGCGCTTGTGCCTATGCACATTCTTGTCCAAGACATTGAAAATATTATGGTGCTCGCTCGTCTGCGAGACGATAGTTGTGTGGTTTTCCAAGTCGCTCATTATGATAGATGTTGTGCAATGACGTGACGGTGTTGAAGACGAGTTTATTCGGTCCATGCCGCATAACTTCGCCTGCCGTGACCGGTTAGTTATGGGGAAAGTAGGATCGTTGATCCTTAGCTCACCATATTTCTGATGGTCTGCGTAGGTGATGAGATGTAGGCGTAGACGCAGTGCATAGTAGGCACCGTACCATTCCGTGAGCTTCGCAAGTAATGGACCTGGATACTTGTGCAGTGGGTGCATAAGAAGGCGGTAGCTCCACACCACGATGCACTCAACTGAAAGTTAGCCGATGACGCTTCAGGCGATGTGCGTAGTGGTCAACTTACTCGTAGGACGGCCGCGAGAGCTACTCAGCTCACGGCGAAGATGCAAAAGTTCCAGGCGTCCATACCGTGCTAATTCGCTTATGAAAGGTGAAGTGCAGTTGCAGTCTGCGGGGATATAAGAAGTCAGTCAAAGCGGCGCAGTGCGGCGAGACTCTGACGCCAATCTCGAAAGCCAATGTGCCCCGAACTAGGTTCCACAAATGGTAAACTTACTCGGCTAAAATTATACTGTAACGACTAGTGGTCGGTAAACTGAAGCTGCATGGTAGATGAGTGGATACATTACACACTGTCCGTCTCCCGCTCAAAAGCTTCATAGTTCTCCTTCGCTGCGTTGATGCCCGCTTCATTGACAACCTCGTTCACCAGCTCGCTCTGCAAATTCTTAAGCCGCTCTTCTGCACCCTCCTCATCGCCCCCCCTGGGTAGACTTTCTTCGTCCTTAGACGACTCCATCGTAAGATCAAGCAGCGAGTCGCCGAGTGACCTCAGGCGCTCCGCAGTCCGCTCATCAATGATCTCAGAAAAATCTATCGAAGAGCTATTATCCCCATCCACTGCGTCACGGTCGTCGCCGTCTCCGAGTTCTGAGCTCGCGACCGTCCATACGCGGGACGCGACATCGTCTTCCGGGCTGCGTGCTCTCGACCGTCTACTTGCATTGTCTGCAAATTCTGAAGAGAGGAATTGCTCGAACGGCTGAAATCCCTCAAATTGTGGCATCTGAGCCATAAAGAGACGCGCAAGGCGTTCACGCCGATATCCTTCGTATAGCGTCCATTCGGTCATGAGCTTCGGAAGCCAGGTCGTAAAGAACTTGGAGCGTTTCTTTCCGGTTGTCATTTTGGTGAGGACTGTACCAATACCTCTAGTGAGGCTAGGCCATATCTTGGGAACGAGGACGCGGGGGTCTATTGCGGAGTGGTCTTTTGTCGGTATCTTTCTCGCTCTCTTGTAGAGTCGCTGGAGATGAAGAGCATGATGAATGGCTAGGGTGACTAGCGTATCGCGATCGAAGCGGCCAAAAAGTCGCTTTTGTGTCCGATGGAGCCAACTTAGAATAGCCTTAGCGATCTCGTCTAGCTTGAGAGTTGCACATATGAGCGCTGCTGCCATCGCAAAGCGCATTGCCAATGTCCAGTCTCTCTTTCGCGCGAACAGCCAATCATGCACCTTATCAATCTCCTCGCCGATCTTGGTGCGCTTGAGAACCGAGTCCACAAGCGTGCCAATCGCAAGGACTTCGCCAGCTAACAGACTAGTTTTGTGTTCGGCGCCGCGGATCCGCTTTTGGAGACTGAACTGCCGATGCAGGATATGCCTGCCTTCACGACTGTGTCTCTGCAACAACAGAAGGAATGCTTGACTATAGGCAAGCGTTCGAGCTGTTGAGGAAGTCTCGCCCAGGTCCTGGGTAATTGCGGAAACGGCATGTCGCACGAGCTGGTTGCCCTCCAGGTGCCTCTGCTGTATGAATTCGAATCCAGCAGCGGTAAGTGCGGAGGCGTTGGCTATAGCTTTCCATTTCGCAGACTGGCCACCTCGGTTCTCGAAGATCCAGCTACAGATGTCTGCTGCATTCGGGAATTTTCCGTGGCCTGCAGACAGTGATGCGAGTCGAAGGGCTGATGAGAAGGTCGTGGACTGATTCCCATACAGCTGCTTCTTGGATTCTAGAGCGTTCTGAAGTAATTGAAAGCCGTGCTCGAAACTCTCGGTGCTGGACGTGAACATTGTACCAAGCACCTCGGAGCTTTCAATCACTTCCGCAGACACGAGTCCGAATACCTCTGCCCGCAGATCAAGGATTGATTGATGGATAGCCACGGCCGCTTCGAAGTTGTTGTTCATGAAATAAGCTTGACCTAGCTGGAAGCCGCTTGCAAGAGATTCTTGGTCTTTCTCTCCGAGGATTTCTTTTCGATGGTTCCAGACTTCTACTAGAACGGTCTCTGCTGTTGGAAGCCGTTTCAAATCCAAGCAGAGTGCACCATACTTATGCCCGTTGGTCAATGTGAGGACTGAATCTATGCCAAGGAATTTCTTTTCGCCCACGAAGACGGAGTCGTAAACATCGGCGGCATCCGCTTTCTTGTCTTGCTTGAGCAGAAGCGGTCCCAACTTCTCGGCGATATGCGTCAAGTCTTCGGTGATGTTTTCGTGAGTAATGGGACGACTTGCTATGAGGGCGGAAGACATTCGCCTCTCTGCGTCGTACTCCTCTTCCAGTTCTAGCAAGATGTCGGAAAGCTGATCGGTTACCTTGACGGTGCGGGAGTGACTCCGACCAAATTTCTCTGAGAGCCCTTGGAGCGCGATGGTGAACATATCCCGTGCTTCGGAATTTCTGTTCAGGCCGCGTAGAGCTGTTGCCAGACATTCGGCACTATCGAGAGTGAAATCGTGGTTCTTGGAGGGTGTTGAAGGCTCTCCTAATTTTGACATAATTTCCCAGACAGACCTGGCTAGCGGCTCGCATTCTCTGTAGTTCCCTTGATCACTATAGACCATTGCAAGCTCATGGGCACACCGTAGTGCTAGGGAATGCGCATCTTCTAGATCTATGGCGCAAGCCCGGTGGATTGGGATGAGTATCTTGCTGGCATCCGAAATTTTCCCTAGACACCTGAGCGCTCGTCCCAGATTCACACCAGTGTCGAGGGTGATTTTGACGTCATCCGTACCGTGAACCTTGGTGCTTCTGTCGTAAACCGTTCCAAGAACGTCCGCTGCGACGTCGAATCGGTTATGTCCGAGCAGAGCATGGCCATACTCCTGCCCGGTTCGTAATGCAAGGCCGACTTGAGAAGGTATGGCACCCTGCTGGCGTAGAATGCTTTTTCGCAAGTCCCATAGAGGTTTGTACATCTTGGAAGCCTCTCGCCATTCCTCCCGTCGACAATAGATACGGGCAAGGTAGTGTTTGGTGAGCTGGGTTTGTTTCGGATTCTCTCCCAATTGCTGGTTGAGTACATCCCTGAGAACACGCACCGCGCTTGCATATTTGCCCAGCTCCCCAAAGATAACACCAGTCTTGAACTTGATCTCCATAATTTGGGCATTATCCACCTCATCGTTGGCTTTTGAAAGATTATATGCGTCTTTGAAGAGGGACGCCGCTTCGCTATATTTCTTGAGTCTGATGAGGTTGTTGCCCATCTTGATCAACTTATGTATTTTCCTAGGCACTGGCTCGTCCTCGCAAATAGATGAAATGCTGCTAGATACGGAAGGGGCTTGGGAAGACAGGATAGAAACTTGCGAGAATGGCGAGTGAAACCGGTATGGCATGTTTATTGCGTTTGGTGGCGGCTCGAAGCTGATGTTCCCTCCATCATCAGACAATGCTGAGGAGGCAATCCAATCTTCAATTCGAGAATCATCGAGTGAAGATTCATCCGGGGATGTCGGAAGATCTATGCGAACTCGGCGATCCTTGTGAGAGGCTCGTCGAAGATCACGTATCGTCTCGTTATCGTCATTGTCGCCATGACTTACAAGAATTGGTGTCAAGAGTGCCTCAGGACCCGGACTCATCGGGAGAGTTGGTGTTGCAGGCCCTTCCACATGTTCAATCGCGGAGAGACGCTCTGCTGTAGGAGTAGCTGTGCCCGAAGAACTGGAGTCTGAACCATCCGTGTCAACCAAGGCAGATTCTTGGAGCGCTCTGATATGGCCCGCTAAAGGAGCCCCGGTTTGTGAGTCTGAGTCTGAGTCTGACTCAGTATCGGAATCGGATTCGGAACCTGAAGAATGGGATTCTGGCTGGCGTGCGCTATCCTGTTCGCTGTCTTTCGATGGAGCTGTATTGCTTGGGTGGTCCCCGGCTGGCGTTGTTACAGCAATGTGTCCATTTCTGTCCGAGGTTGATGCAGTCGAATGCGGAGTTTCGCCCTGGTTGTCACCATCTCCAGGTTGTGCTTCACTAACAGTAGTCCATTTCTCGAGTAGCATTTCCACGTCCTCAGTGGCAGATCCAGTAATCGACCGCTGAGCTGCCGAGAGTGTCCACACGCTCTTTGCGGTTGTCGTAGATTGAGCATAGCTCATGCTTCCCGGCGCGCTCAGCCCCACAACTTCAGAAAGCCAGGCCGAAATTCTGGCAAATTTGACGCCATCTGTAGAGCTCGCATACACTTGTTCTTCAATGAGCAGCAAGTCGGCCAAGCATGCTCGTTCGCCAACGACAAGTTCACTCGCAACATAAAGCGCGCTCCGGAGTTGCGGTGAAGTCTGCTCCCCACTCGTTCCCGTACTCGATGATGTTGGTAGTTCACGACCGAGCTGGATGATGGAGACCATGAGATGGATAGTCGATTTGAGGGAGTCCAGCTGTCCCTTCAGCAGGCGCATGTCATCTTTCTTGAAGTGGAATTTCAGCCTCTCGCCGAGCGGAGGATGCAGGAGCGGGTCGCCATCCGCGGAGCGCAGAGGCGCGGTGAGGTCCTCGATGCCATCGAAGACCTGAGAGCATTGCGAGAGCAGGTTGTAGATAGTGCGGGTGGCGTCGGCGGAGTAGATGCTCTTGCTTGTACGCAAGGCGCGTTTGAGCTCCTTGAGTACGGATTGAAGGAGTGTGAGCTGTGTCGCGATGTCTCTCACATCGCGCGACGCGTGCCGGATGGAGTGATAGATGCCGAAGAGCGCCTTGGAGAGTGCGGCGCCGGTCGCGGCGACCCCTGCGATGGCTAAGCCTAATTCGGCCGACATATCGACAAGCGCTTTGGCATGGCCCGACGCAACGCGGGAATGTTGAACAACGCGCAACCAACACTCTTTGAATAGAGAAAAGGGAGGATGATTGGGGATGTGATACAGCTGGGCGGGGGTAAACTAGGCATCATCGGCGTCAGAAGCTGAATTTCAAATTCAGCCTTGTTCAGCCCACCATCAAGGCCTGGAGGCCGCCCCTTCGCTTAGTCCGGAGCCGGATTGGACGTCAAGAGCATGGCACGAACCTCAGGCATACAACGAAAAGAGCCTGGTAAGGTGACAGCCTCGTATCAGCTGAATAATGCTTGAGACGAACCTGCAGCCCACTCTTAGCGAATGCCTTCTCCGCCGGTTCTCCACTCCCCAGCCAATCTTCCTCCAGATAAAGAGCACATATCACAGCACAGGAAGCTTACACTAGACTGTTAGGAAGCTATTCAGCCGCAACCTATTCCACACGGCTCAAGCCGGATTTGGCGCTATAGAAGAGCAATTCCTCGTTTAGGACTCCCAGGAAGAGTTGGAGAAGTACGGTGATTGTACGGACGGAGTCATGGGCGTACATAGGCAAGAGGCTGGGTGATCTAGGTGGGCAATGGAGAATCGTAGTGGAAGTTCAGCATGGAATCATCCACATACTGACCGGGAGCCTGGCTGGATACCAAGGTACCTACCTAGGTACGCAAGCTACGCCGTATCGCCGCGTTTCTTCGCCGCGCCTTTTGAAACGCTCTACCGCGACCATTTCCTCTCTCCGGTCGTTTGGTGGCTGCTCTATTCCGAACATCGCCATGCGTCTCTGCCACTTCCTCCAATGAACCCTCATTATCTTCAGCTCTATCCTGGCTCGACCCTACCGGAACGACCAACAGTCAACCACCCATCCATCGCCCCTTCACCGGCGCAGCACCACTGAGGCCGAAGTAATACCGGGAATGTTCTGGGTCGAACTGTTTGTTGGCGTGTCTTTCGCCGAGCACTGCACAGAAATGAGCCCTAACATGCGCCTACAGTTGCATCACGAGATATGCCACCCTGTCAGGATCGCTCAACTAGCCAAAGAAGTTGATCATGCCTTCGCGTATGCGATTCGAGCGAATGCGGGAGTGTGGGCGATATACCGTGCGGTAGACAATGAAAGTCTGGATCCTGGGAAGTTTATGGTAATTGACGCGAATAGCATAGAAACACAAGCTAAGACCCACGTCTCCATAATCCACAAGGGGGATAGTACGACTGTTCACATGGTACGTGAGGCAATGTAGTCGTGGGATCTGCTTTTACTTATTTTCAATTGGAAGAGATGTTGATTGAAATAACTTTTAGTCCGCTCTGCTTTAGACTTTGCACAATATTCCCAGCGCTATTGCGTTATCCTGTAGTGCGTTCTAGAAGATTTTCATTAGAAATCAATATTCAGCCGAGGACACCATGGAGAGAGAACTGCAATTAGAAATCAATACTGATAGTCGTGTCGTTCGTACGCCAACAAAGTAGAGACTATAACTACTGGCTCTAGGTCTTTTCCCACGTTACCTACTATCTGCCCCGCAGCTCTTACTCGATACGTTATTCTGTCAGGAGCCGCTATGGAAATTCAACGATCCGATCCCCAGTCGCAATCGCCCACCACGACGCGCAGCCAAACCCTTCCCAGCCCCGAGAGCCTCCTCGCTACAGCAAAATCCTATCTCAATGTCTTCACAACCCTGAACGCGTCCACCATCGCCCACATCCAAACCTCGGACTACACACACGAGTTCGCGCCCCAATCCACCAACCCCCCTGGGCTTCTCTCTCGCGCCGAGTTCGCAGATTTCGTCTCGCATCTTCGGAGTGTCATTCACGATTTCAAGGTCACAGCTCGGGAAATATGGCCGAATCCGAGCTTAAGGCAGGTGGTGATCCGCGCGGATAGCGCGCCTGCGTTTCGGGATGAGGTGAAGGATGGCGAGGACGAGGATGAATGGACGTACAGGGGCGAGTACATTTCTATCCTGACTTTCGATCAGAAGAGGGAAAAGGTGAGCAGGGCTCTGGAATTTGTAGATAGCAAGGGGACGGATAGGGTGAAGGCGCTTATAGCGCGGGCCTGGGCGAAGAAAGAGAGCCTTGAGAGGAAATAGCGGATGTACTGTCTAGATGCTTAATTGTCGGTTCCCTCGTGGTTGGCAATACGGAATAAGGTAACTGCCTACCTCGGGAGAGCCCTCGTGGGTGGTGCCGGCAGCGAAAGTAATCCGTCGACCGTCGCTACTGAATTTGTCAGCTTGGGTTACTTCCCAGTGGGAGTGCGATTAAAGTTAAGCACTTGCCGGCGATATATCCTTCGACCCCGAAGAAGACAGAAGCTATACACTTCTCCGAAGCCCCTTAGGGACAGTGCCACCAATAGGCCACGGTGACATGGAGAAACGTCCGGCCAGCAATGCGAATAGCTGTTCATTTGTCACGACAGTGCTTTGATCTCCGCTGAAGCGCTCCAACGATTAGCAACGGTTTTCACCAAGCGCCCTAATAGTGACGGGTTGAAGTTCCAAATAAGTCGGATGGTCTCGATTGAAGATGGTGAGTATGACCTCGATCGCTGTTGCCAAATTCGTCTCAAGAGCACGTGATGACGCGAATACGGGGACGCCTATTGGACGCGCGGTCCTCCTCTCACCTTCACCAATCTCTGATCGGACGAGGGATCACATACTTCCATCCCACCACTCGTTTGCTCGAGAGGGTTTCCTCAGCTCCTGCCTCTACAAACCCTCGACCCAGGACAATGTCAGACAGCGCACCGGCCGACTACATCATGGACGGTGAGATCAACGAGCAGCCGCGACCACCGACTCCAATTACAGGCGGAGAGCTAGTCGTGCTCTCCAAGCGCAGCGACCTCACAATTTCCGTGTACAGCCCCAAAGACAGCCAAGGACAGCGCGCTCTCACCAAGTTCGCAGTCCAGAAAGATGCGCTGACAGCATTCTCGGAGTACTTCACCGCCAGCCTCCGCTTCAATAGCGCTCTCCATGCCGGCGACTCTCACCACGTTGAGCTGAAAGATGACGACATCGGCGCCATGCGCGTGTGGTTCGTCTACATGCACGCCGCATATAAGAGCGAAGCAGCAGCAGACAGTGAGACGGATGAGCGCCCCGCAAAACGCATCAAAATGGCTGCAGACGAGAACGCGGTCGAGGAAGCGATCTTCCACCGCGACGGCGTCTTCGACACGGACATCGAACGCATCTGGCATATCATCAACGCCGCGGACAAGTACCTGCTTGACGCCACCATCCTGCAGGGCTTCTTCGACCAATGGTACCGCAAGAACGTCGACATGGCCCAGATGGAAGCCGACTTCGCACGCCAGCTCGCACTCCCGTGCTACATGTTCGACCACGCGCAGGGCTTCGCTGAAGTGACCAAGTGGCTCGCATACAACTTCGCCGGCCACATCACGGAGAAGCGTCCCAAGAGCTTCAGATGGCAGCACATGCGTTTCTCGCCGCCAGACTTCGTCCGTAAGTCCCCTCTTACACCTTTGTCGAGCGAAGAACTGACCCTCGCCCCCAAGGACCAATGAACCACGCCCGCGGCGCACTGAAAACCTGCCTGCACAAGGGCATCTGGGACGAGATCGGCGCGCTGCTCGCACGCGGCGACTACGCCTGCACCTGCCGCCACTGGGCCACGACAGCCGGCCACTACTTCGCCGCACTGGTCAAAACGGACGCCTACCCGCTCGAGAAGACGTTCTCCCGGAACTCCGTCGTCGCCGTCCTCAAGTACCTCAACGCCTTTGTCATGCCCGGCACGACCACGCCCCTCTGCCGCATCTGCGACGTCCAGTGGAACGAGGTGGTCAAGCAGGCATGTGCGAACACGCTCCGCTATTTCGACGGCCTGTGCATTGATTGCATGGATCGGAGCAGGGCGAAGCGGGACGACACGGATGTGGATTACTGGCGGCAGCTGGAGAGCGTTGACGGGCGCTGGGATGCGAACTGTCGGGTGCGCCATGATGAGCCGACGTGGTATGTGAGCTGGTGCGGGCGCGATGAGCATCGGCAGAAGCTGTTAGATCGGCATCGCGATCGGAATCTGGGGCTGTGGCCTTCGCTCTCGCGGAGGAGCCTCAGGCTGCTGCACTAGGCATGCCAGCGCCATGACGGCGTGCAGGAGGGCGATGAGTAATCGCGATGTGTTTTCGACCATGGATATAAGGGAATGGTCTGAGACTGTGTCGTACGTATATGGAAGCGGATCTGAAACGAAAATCGAGTGTATTCCCGCTAAGCGAAAGGGTGGGTATCCAGCAGCGAAAGCGTCGTCTAGTAAAAATACAGCGCCCCATAACATGCAAAGGGGGTATCTAGCGAATGTGCGTGCAGTCCTCTAACGTCGCAAAACACCAAACCGCGCTCTTATTCTAACCAAAATCTTCCCAACACAAACTGAAAACGCCAAAGAAAACGATTGCGTATGTCTTCCTCTCTGCCGAAAACAAGAAAAAACCTTCTTACACTCTCACCCCCTCCTTCTCCTCAGCACGCTCCAACTCCGCCCTCCACTCCGCCAACCCAACCCTCCTCCCCACCTCCCTGCTAAGCACCCCAGCAAACCATTTCTGCACATCGAGCCCGATACCCCTGGACAGCGCAGCCATGCGATTCAAGTTCCGCGCCCCGTCATCCCCGTACGCAGCATAGCTCAGCGGCACGCCCTGCTTGATAAACTCCCTGCGGCGGTACTGATTCGCGCCCGCGCAGTCGAACGGCGAGGCACCCAGGACCAGCGAGAGCAGCGTGATGGCCAGGGACCAGAGGTCTGTTTCCGGCGAGGGAGAGATGGGGGCTGCGGATTTCGAGAGCAGCGTCGGGTCGAGGAAGTCCCAGGTTCCGCCGCCGAGGGGGGTTTTGGGTTTGCAGGAGGAGGGGGATGGGGAGGGTAGGGAGGGCAGGAGCGCGGAGGAGAAGTCGGAGTAGACGGTGTGCGGGGCCGGGGATGCTGATGTGGATGGTGATGGGAAGGAGGAAGGGGCGGAGACGAGGATGTTGGAGGGTTTGATGTCGGCGTGCGTGCAGCCTTTGTCTTGTATCCACGCCAGGCCGTCCAGGAGATGCGCTGCAATGACGGGGAATACTTCCGCTAGCCTATTCACCCGCGCGGGCTCAGGGAGCGCGTTTAGTTCTTTTTGCACCCAGCCTTCCAGCGTGCCATCCATGGCTTTGAGAACCAGCGCTTCGGTCCTGGTGTCCTGGCCGTAGAACGATACCACGTATTGCTCCGCATCGGGGAACCTGACGATATGCGAGAGGATACGGGATTCCTCTCCGAGCACTTGCTTCGCGGAGCGCGAGGCGGATACTTTGATCGCATAAGCCGGTGGGACTTGCGGCAGCTTCTCCTTTGAAAGACTCGAGGCGCGTGAATGCACCGGCGTGATTGGGGGTGTCATTTCTGCTCCGGGCGCGGCTATCGAAGGCACCTGGTCAACAGGGTTCGGCAGACATGGCTTCGCTAAATAGACATCGCTCCACAGCCCACTTCCGAGGCATGTCTTCTTCCCCTTCTCGTCGACCTCGATCTCGTACTCCGATAGCCAGTATGGAAACTTTCTCGGTTGCGTACTCCCAGGCTTCTCACTCTCATCAATAGTGTCGCGTCGCGATCGTGCTCTTGTGGAGGACGTCGAGTCGCCACGCCGTAAGCTAGACAGCGAGCTAGCGATGCTGGATGCAGAGTGCGATTTCGAATGCGTAGTCCCCGTAGGCGTAGGCGGTGGTGTAACGGCCCCGCTATCATGGAGAAGCGGTGGGCCGGATGAGCCCATAGTGTACGAGCGCTGCCTGGTCGGCGAGTCTGGTGGCGTAGATGATGTCCTCAGCGGCTCAGGCGGCGAGTGCCTCTGACCCGGTACAGAGAGACTAAATCCCTCCTCTTCCCTTGTGGGTGTCTGCAAGTGTATCTGCGGCCTGTCCTTGCTCAATGTCGAGGTATCAGATCCGGATTCCGGGTCGGCAGCGGCGGAGTGGCGAGGAGGAAATACGAAGCGTGGCAACGCCGCCATGGTGCCTCCGTGTGCGTATGCGGTGGCCGTTAGTATATAAGCGTCTGATTGCTTCGGCCCGGCGAGTAGATCTTGACAGATAACCGTGAAGTGTGACAAGCGCTGGCTGGCTGGCGAAACCCTTCAAGCGCGCACACAGGTAACGTATGAAAGATAGACCCCGGAACCCAGAAAAACTATGCGTAACCTCTTTTTGCACAAGAAGTAGAGCGGCTTCCGAACGTTGATGAGATGAAACGATGCAAAAGATAAGAAAGACAGAAAGAAAATTCTCGAAGAACCGTAGACAAGAAGCAGAAAAAGTGCAGCTGTACCGTAGTCGAAGCAAATCGCAACCGAGAATTCAAGAACCGCTCAAGGAACCCGACGAAAGGAAAAAGAAACCAGGGTATATGCTACAAAATATTCGTACAACTCGTCGCGCTCTCAGTAAAAATCCATAGCGGTCGCGAGATAGCAAAAGCGATGCCGGGTGTTGCGGAAGCAGCACCGCTGGTGGTGTGTGTGATGCAGATGAAGTCACAGAAAAAAGGCCTCTTCTTCGTCGGGCCACCCTGCTAAATAATAAAGGGCTCAAGCTTCCGTCGGATTCGATCGCGGATACGCACGGATTTCGGGATGAACCCAAGTCGTCGCGATAGCGGCAAATAGTCGGTCGGTATCGCCAGATCTTCGTCTTGCAAATAGCCAGTCGAGCCAGTCGATAACCGGCGATAGCCAACTCGGACGAAAGCGAAATGAGCATTCGCAAATTCCGACATGAGCGACATCGAGGAATTCCGGGATCTCTCACACTCGGTAGCCGGGCCGCGCGCATGCGGCATCAATCGCTTTAAAGCGCTAGCCTTGCCAACGTGGGGGTTTTGATTGGACCGCGTTGAATCGTGCCCCTGGACGCATGTCGATGTCAAAACTGTGTTGTCCCATGGGAGGTTTTGTGACACGGTTAGCTGTCCTCCTAAATAATATCCGGTTGGCTTCAACGCCTCCATTTCCGGAGGCGGTTGCGTTCAAAAACGGAGGCCAGCAAGCTTGAGATATCTTGGCATCGGAAGAACTTAGATCCGTGCTCAGCTTGTAATCATTACATAACGCTAGTCCACACCGAAGGCGGAGGAGCAAAGTGAGAATACGCCATTTCAAGTGTGTTTCTTTCTCTAATACCAGCAAGGCAAATTTCCCTCTTATGCTGCAGTAGCAACGCATTCGATAATGACACCAACGATGACGATAGCGACGACCACGCAACGTGGCAAGCGGAAACGCTCTCTGCCCCCGTGGCAGACCGCTCTCCCTTCCTTCCGGCCGAAAACCCCTTTCAGTCGCGCAGTACAGCGGTTACGATACCAAAACATGCTATAGTGCTGATAGCAGCGGCGACAGCAGCAAGGAAAGCAGTGGTTGCGGACGCCGTCTTGCAAGCAACAAGCGACCAAAGTCAGTCCAAGCCTCTGTCGCTCGCCCAACCGCGGCAGTGCGGACGGAGACGACGAAGACGACGAAGACGACGAATACAAGGTGGAGCAGATCCCCTGCGCCTGGACGTGACATGAGAATGTAGGAGCAGCAGCGGCCCGTACGTTTCGAGGATGATGGCTCGTCGTGGAGGCGGCCCCTCAGAGCATGTAAACTAAGCAAGAGTCAAGAGCTTGTCCCAGCTGAACGTCGAATCGGCTTGAGAGATGTGCCGACACTGTGTGCCAAGACTATCGTCGTGCCGCATCTACGCCTAAATCAACCTCAAGTTTTGATTAGAACGTCGTGATTCATCTCTGCCATGGCAAAGCTCGACCAACACAGGTGTCAAACTACCTTCCTGTCCAAATTCTGAAAGCCACAATCCTGCCGCGTCCGTCGCCAACCACTTCACTCTGCTATCCTAGTCAACGACGACCGCGGAGATACAAAATTGGTTACTAGTTTTGGATCTTTCTACAGCCTCCCCCTTTGGACAGCCAACTAGATCTTCGCCGAGGAGAAAGGCAGCATATGAAAGTTAACAAGAGATCTACCAAGTAGGGCAATATACTGTTCGTGCTCTTCAACCCTCCCAAGAACCTCAGTCTTCCGTAGTAGCACAGCTTATGCCAGTATGCAAATCCAGATCCAATTGCCCACTTGAACGAGTGGAAAAACGGCTCTCTCTGCTATGCTGTTTGGCACCGCCAGGTTTCCCGATTGAATCCCGGTTGCTGGTATGTGGTGGTAAGGACAGGACATGCTGGACATCCTCCGGAAATCTAGAGTTCTTTGGAGCCAGAGATATTGGACTTGATCTTGCGACTGTGGACCTACTGCGAAACACCAGAGAGCTTGACCGCAGCTTCAAGCAGCTTCAATCGTTGACTTATGTCATACAAGATAACGGGAGGTTAGAGGTAACGGCGACCTTTCCTGATCCGGTTATTCGTAGCCTTCAAGCTCCTCGCGGTTTGGGCTTTTGGGGCTGCCGAGATGGGAGACGCTGAAGTCAGAGTACTGGCAAATGCCAGATCGCTAAAGAGAGGTGGGACCTGATCCAGGGTGGTGCTGAGCCCCACTCCATCAAAGCACTGAACGAGCATTTGAGCCGCAGAAGCACGGTCTTCGGGGTTGACGATAGCCATTTGCCGAATCTTGGTGACGGCTTGCTCATTCGAGGCGGCGAGGATCGTCTTGCGGATATCGCCAACGGTCTTGAAAAGCTGGCACGCTTGACGGAACGCCCTCAAGTCAAGGACCCATAACATCGTAACAAAAAGCGACCAAACATCCACTTTATAGGTTTGCTTCTCTTCTCCCAAGATCTCTGGGGCTAAGTAGATGTAGGTGCCAGCAAAGGTCTTGGCGTTGATACCAGTGTTGCAGAGGCCGAAATCTCCCAGTTGGAATTGGTGTTGGCCGTCTGGTTGCGTCACGTAGAGGATGTTCTCCGGCTTCACGTCGCGATGAATGATGTCGTTGACCGCAAGGCAATCTAACGCTTGGAGCATGTGGTGAAAAACGGTATCAGCAACTAGGGGGGCTCCCTTCTCTACTAGGGATACCAAGGTCCCTTGCTTCAGACCCATGAATATCTCTATGCGGGGTACGTCTCCCTGTGATGCGATGTAATCAAGGATGTGTGGCTGGGTTTGTCAGTCATCTGCACAGGAGCCTCGAGGCGAGCTCACTTACATGATCGATTCTGGCGAGAGTTTCTACCTCACGCTTCAGTGCCTGAGCTACATATTCCCTCCAGGTGTCTCGTTCCAGTTTTGTTGCTATCCGAGGTTCCTCCACCACCTTGACGGCCATAAGCCTGCCGGAATCCGCATCGATGGCCTTGTATACCATGCCGTACTGCCCGGCTCCTAGCCTGGGGCCTATCGTCGCGTACCTGATCTTCAGCTGCCTGGATCCGGGAGTGTGAATCCTAGTCTCTCGTCGAGACGGCAGGACGGTATCCGCCTCATCAGCGACGGTCCGGGCGAGGCGGGAGTGCTCCTCGTAGCCGCCGCCGTTGCATTCCCGATTCCGTACCATCTCCATGGTCACATCGGGATCCTGCCGCCACACCAACTGGAATTGAACGAGGTCGCGCCCGCTGCCGCCCATCCCGATTATGGTGTTCGAACCGTCCTGCACGACGACTTTGCGCAGACGTCCATACTCGAAAGGGGTCGCGTTGACCCCAAAGACCTGGGTGGTCTGACCGTGGGACCGGTCGTAGAGCATCACGACGTTGGTTGCTAAGTCGATCTCGAATGAGCACTAGATCTTCGCGATGCTGGAGCCTTCCACATAGAGGTCGGCAGCATCGCCGCGGCCAAGTGTTGCGAGGGTGTTCTTACCCGCCTTCGAGCGGATGTGGCCGATGTCGAGAACGAGCGTGCCATTGCTCCGCTTTGAGACGAAAGCCTCGTTCTCCTGGCGTGCGAGCACGAGCCTGGCCCGCTCATTTTTGGGTTTAAGGCAGAAGAGGGCGAGGGGATGAGGGCTCAGCCGCATGTTAGATCGCTGAACGAGAACAGGACGTCGGAGCAAAGAAGATGAAGAGAAGTTAGGAGACAATCAAATTCCAGTACGACAGGGGAAAGGTGCTTGGAAACATCTACGAAGGACTTCCTCTTGAAAATGGCTGCCTTGTGTTTATGGGGCGCGAGCGACCATGGTAACATAACACAGCAGTATTGGCTGAGCGTTGAGCCACCAGTCTCAGTATCCAATAACTGAAGGCATGTATAGTGCCCGAAGCGCAGGGCCAATGGATCGCGGAATGCGACACATTGATGGGACCGATTCCTGAATGCATGGTCGATGCCGCAGCCACAGGCGCGTAAGATCACTTGTGACTCATCCGTGCTGTCCACGGGTCGCTCCGGCGCTAACCCTGGAACAAACACGGCGACGTCCGCCAAGGAAGAGTCACCTCGGCCCTCTCACACTGTTCCTCACTCCTCCACCTCCTCCACCTCCTCCACCTCCTCCACACATCGTTCTCCACTGCCGGAAGATCATCCCGCCATGAATCCTAGCGCTCTTCGAGGAGATGGACTGTTCAGAGCCCACAGAGCTCTAGCAGCGCTGGAAGATGATCCGCAGCGACTGGAGCGTGCGAGACTGCGGTTCAGCGACTCTCCACCATCGTACAGATCTCACAACTCACACAATTCAACACTATCTCAGAGCCCCGACCCCCCCAACGAGGAACAACGACGTCGCGAGGAGCGAAAATGGCAGCTGATAGGAGAGCGGCATGCCTCGCACCCCTACGATCAATTTGAAGCGCAAAGGAGCGAGGAGCAAGCATGGCTCTACGAAGCTGAACGAAACGGGATCCGCTCTCAACCCGTCCATGTGGACTTCTACAGACTCGCGTACGATACTGTCAGGAAGCGCTGGGAAGAGCAGGGCATCTGGAGTGACAAGTGGAACGATATGGCCGACGGGGTGTGGAAGCATGAGCAACCGCTCGAGTCTGAGCCGGAGATGGACACGGACACTGCAGAGGCGCGCAATCCCCCATCTCTTTTCTTCGGTCTTCCGCAGGAGCCGAAGCCGCCACGGGTCAAGAGCGATGAGGAGCAGCGACAGTTCGCGGAGCGACGAGCCAAGCAGGAACGCCACCGTGAGGCTTCGCGGCCATTCCATCAATTTGTCTACCAGTTATCAACAGAGCGCGAACGAATTCAAGAGGAATCCGGGGGCGGAGCCGCCGTCCTCCCTGCCCCCACCGACATAAACACAATGGCCTACGCACGTGTCAGGGACACCTGGATCAAACGCAAGATTTGGAACAACGACTGGGGTACGCTGCCTGGAATGTCCTGGAAGCATGAGGATCCCCTTCCGGCCGACGTAGCTAACGCGGCTGACGAGCCGGCTCCCGTTGACGCGAGTCCTCCCGAGAACGGTAGTTATGAGGCTGAATCTCCTCTCAGACTCATTACAGGAAGTCTAGTAACAGATTTTACGAAGAGCGGCATTTTCGCAAGACGTGCTCCCGCCAAACTAAACCATGTAGGATCCAGCGTTTCCAATGCATCGTGGCAGGGGCCACCGGCGGACGTTGTATCACCCGGCCTGGAGAGCCGCGACCCCGGGCGTTCGCCCCTTCTCACGGCGGAGCAGCCGACCCGAGCGGGGCGCTCGAAGTCGTCCCGCAAAGATGGGCAGACCTACGCATTGGATAGCACATCGCTGGGCCCCGTGCATCAATCGAGGGTGTCCAAGACCTCCACCAGCAAGCATCCCAGACCTCGGCAGCGGCCTCGCGCTCCGGAAGATGCTGACGATGCACCGTCCTCGCTC